GCGCGCGGGGCGGAGGGTCGTACCTTTTATGAACGTACTCGCATTCCTCGTGGCTCTTATCTCTATTTCATTTTTGTTCTTTCGGCTCTTAATCCCAAATCCAATTTAATCAAGATGACGGTTTTTTAGCGACGAAGAAGCGAGACGTCCCGGCGCAATCCGTCTGGACGAGGAAATCGTCGACCGAACGATAATCAATATTTAACAATAGCCAACATTTATAGAATAAGATACCGATTCAAGTGTTTAATCATTAATTGTGTAAATGTATGTTTTTTTTGTTTTTTTTTTTTTTCATTTTGCATTTAATGTACTTATCTGATCCACGTGTAATGCCGGTGTCAGTGTCACTATGTATATGTCTATAATCAATAATGATCATTTGCGTTTTCATAATTGCTTCAGTCCGTAATGCGAACGTCGCTTTGACAATTCTCAATAGTCTGTATACCTATGTGTATATATATATATATATATATATATATATATATATACCGTGCGTGATTTCGCACATGCGAATCTGGCACAGTGTTTTTCGAATATAATTGCCAAAAAAAAGATACAGAGGTACGTCATTCGTATACAAAAAGAAACATACGTTCCGCATAAACATCCTCTACGCGTCTATTGCTTTTTTGCTCGAGGAGCAATTTTCTTAGATTTTTTTTTCAAAGTTTCAAACGTCCCAATTTATAAAATTTCCCAAGCGTCGTATATATCTATTCTCGAAAAGCTCTCGTTTTAATCAACTTTCGCGCGTTATAATTGACACAGTCGAGAATTATCGCTTTTCTTTTTCAATTTTTTTTTCTACATTTTCTCATGTCCCACTCGCAAATTATGCCGCTCTAGCTGATCGGATCGTTCGGAAACGAATATTGCGCGATTCGAAAAACACCGAACCAGCGGTCGCTCCTTACCTGGTTTTCAAAATTTTTAAATTTATATATTGCACGACACTCATTATAACACCGCGAAGTACTTCCTATTCTTCGTTTCTCTTTGTCCTTCGTTTCCGAGTACAACGTCCGTCGCCCTCGTCAGTCAATTATACAATTATATCTCAAACAAGCTCTTCCCTTAAGTCAAAACTGAGATATGGTCAAGTCCAAAATTTACATAGTCCTCGGATTTTCGTGTTTCGACAAAATAAATAGTCCCAAGGTATTATCCAATATTAGCAGTAGTTGGTAGTAGTTAGTGGTAGTAGCAATAGTAGTATTAATAAACAATATTAGCAGTACCGATAATACTAATAATATTATCATAGTGACGCGATAATAAGAGTTAACTATTAATAATAATAATACAACAATCATAATATTCGCACCGAGAAAGCTCTCAAAGGAAATACTTAGTGGTATTTCATTATTTTATTGCTAACGACGAAAACAATGCGAAAATGTTTCTCTTCTTTCGCATTTTCCCATTTTTTGCAAAACAATTTAAGACTCGATTTTCGCATCGGGGTCTGTTAATCAATGACGATGACACGATAATAATAATAACAACAACAACGACGTTCATAATAATTAATAATAAAAATAATAATAGTCGACTACGTGTATATATACATATATATATATATATATATATATATATATATATATTTCTTGTATGTATATATGTATATACTCTAGCGTTAAACATTATGCTTAGGAAATATCGCACGAAGAGTATCTAAGAATGTACGCGGCAACGGATAATCAAATCGCTTATTTACTTTCATTGTTACGACGGTTTGAATCCACGTAGTTAAAGTCAGACGAATAAAGCTAATAAATCGTTAATCATTAATTATTGCGATAAGCTATCTCTTTAATGTAAAGAAATCTGGACCACTCTGGCAGAGGTATGGAAGTTCGACGAGCCACATAGGATATAGTATTTCTTATCCCTTGTTCATCTTCTTCAAGAATCATCCTTTACTTTTCTTCTGTAACCACCACCACCACCACCACCACCACCACCATTACCACCAACCATTTTCAGTCCCTTTTATCATTTTAATTTAATCGCACACTTTTTTTCTCAGTTACCCTCTTCTTGTATTTTTGTCAAATTTATTAGGTACTTAACATGGTAAAATACTAAGATCTTCCAAACCCCTCTGTTGGGCATACCGAGAGAGATAGAAGAAGAAGAAGAAGATGAATAAAAGTTAAAAGAATATATGAACATACGTGACATTTTGATAATTCATCTGATTAAAAAGAAATCGCAAAAAGTGTTTGGGTAACGTACAGTTAAATCAATATTGAATCAATAAACAGACTATTAAATTCGAATGATACACATTCGTTTGATTAGTGGTTGATCGCCGTACCGAACCTAAGACCTGTCCAGAGTTCGCTAATTGTATACTAGGCATTAATAAGTAAATGAATTATTAGAAATAAGTAAAATACAACATTATAATTCTGTCTATGCGTCTTCTCTATGCATCTCTGTACTTATGCTCGTGCCACATGGCAAAAATTATTTCTATCCTATGTAATTCGCCGTGTCCTTATTTTACATAAACTCAATGTTTTATATTGACAATTGAGAATATTAACTTAGATGAGAAGCATTCGCACGATGAATTAATCTCGGATGGCTACGATTCTATTATTAATAATCTAGTGTAATTTTAAGGATCTGCACTTATACGTGTACTGACGTAGCAAATCTTTCAACGAATATAAATGGAAAAGAGAACTATAATACACTTGGGTATCAGTGTCAGCATCTGTCTGTCCAACACACTGGCGACCATGTTTTCATGCAACGACAGATACTAAAGATTAATTATTGTAAGAGCTTCATTTAATAAATTTGACATACATCACAAGGGAGTTGACTCCTTGCAACTGCAGTACAGATATTAAACTGAAACTGTGTGACAGTAATAGCGTGTTGGACAGTCGGAACGGTATAGATGTGGAACCGGATACGGAAGTGATGTCTGTGAATCGACCATTAGTCGGGAAACTTCAAAAAATTGATAAAGTAATTGAAATTAAGAGACTGACTGGAGCCACCGAGATACGTACGAAATTTGGAGGCTGTCTTAATTGGACTCTAGACTTTTGTGCAATTAACATAATTGAACGCTTCTACATATATTATTATTAACGCATTATCCGAATAAACGCTACGGGTTTAATAGTATTCAAATTAAAATGGGCGACGTCGACCGGTGTAAAGAGTTACGTCATAGGTACTGTATGTGATAAGTATATACCGAGTGGTCCATCGAATATCGTTACAAATTAATAAGACGGCGAAAATTTATCCGAAATTATGCAACCTTTCTAGCATTCATTTTGACTATAATGAAATGCTTCTAAATAATTAATTGCATTATCAGTTGTGTCGATAAAGAATCAATTTCTGTTTTGTTTTTCAAAAATTTAGATTTATGATGAATCTAATAATTAATAAAGTTTCTAATCAAATCGTAAACGGTGCAACGTTATAACTCTTATCTAATGTCTTTTAAATTTTATTCCTCAAACACTGCTGATTGAGCATTCTACCAGTTCAATCCACAATTCATTGAATGCATTATGGTACTATAAAATGGCGATAATTGCACAGCTATTAACGAAACCATACTAATTAAAATTTGATTCACGTTAATTCTCCACATAACATCTTACACCAAATGCATATATAGATTAGAATTAAAAAATAAGTATACAATTAATTAATTGGTATAATCATTTGGAAATCTATCTAGTCCACTCAACGTATCACTTTGTATCATACAACTTTGGTCGGCAACGTCTTCCCACGATTCTAAAGATTTGCTGCGACATTGCCGAGGGAGATCCATTTCGTTGGACCACCCTGTAAATACTTTATTAATAATATATATATATATGTATGTATAATTATATGTCCTGTATACGTAAGTATGGAGTCCCTTACGTTGATAAAAGACACTATAACGTTATGTATGTACAATAACATGCGTATAGAGATTTTGTGTGGGGATAGGGGAGGGCTTTGTAACTCGGATCTCCTTGATAAGGATAAAACGATAACGCAAATAGGTCGATAGTAGGGTTTAGGTTAGGTTAAGATTATAAGTATTTTGTTGGTAGACACGAATGAACGAATTCAGGAGTTATTTGGCTTCAGAGTCGTCGAACCATTTTAAGGTAGTGGCACAACCACCTGCACATAAGTTACAGGCAAGTAGCCAGTGCGACCATTCAGGCTGCCCTCAAACCAATTCTCATCAATCTTTCGAATCAGGGTGATCGTGTCGTTTTCCTGAAAAAATAAAATCAAACTTATGAACAGTCATAGTGAACGATGGTGTATATGCTCAAATTTAATATATCTGACTACATTTGATCTCTTGACTACCGATGGATAAAGCAAATATTATTTTTTAATTTTATACCTTGAATCCAAGTTCGCCTGGGTTTTCAGCTTGAAAGTCATAAAGTGCTGTGCAGCAAGGTTGCTTTGCCATTGGCGTTCTGGCTGGTGACTTGCTGGGTGATGGCAACGGAGAAGCTGAAATTATTGATGTTTTTGTATCAAATCAGCTATCAATTGTTGGTTAATTATTTTTAACGCGGAGTTTCAATCCAGGTTCATCATGACTACATAAAAACGTGCTACAACTCGAACCTGTATGCAGGTTTTTGGTTACTACATTGATGACTCATCGTCTAGACTTTTGTAGCAACATTAAACTTTATATTATTATTCTGATTGAAATATCTCTACTGTATTACTATAGGTAAACTCGTGCTAAAGTTTTGAATGGAAAATTTATGATAAGAAAAGAGATATGATAAATCAAAATATATTATGACTGATAAAATGATCTCGAGTCCTCTGGTCACATTGAGGTGGATGAGAATAAAATAAAGGAATCCTTTAATTACAGTACAAGAACAAGTAGTATGAAGTAGCATTCAATGAAGAAGTGCCAAGCATGCCGATGAACAGTGTGGATGGTGTGTGGATAAATTGGAGAACTGTGAAATCAGCGAACAAATTCTATGACTTTTTTCATTATTTTCTTTTATATAAAGTGCAAGAAAATGAAACTCTGGCGTTATGTCTGTTACAGTTTTGCGGTTATACAGCCCCATGCAGAATTTACCATTGGCAGATTGCGGCGGGTTTCCGGCCGGAAATAGCTCGAGCTGTGAGCGCTTCCCGTCTCCGTGGACCGGAGACCCCGCTCGACTTGACCCTACAGTGTGTCAGAAGGACATACATTCAAGTATGCGACAAGTATACACAGAGCAAAAAACGGAGATAAAAAATTGCAGTAAAATAGAAAAAGTGTAAAAAGTGTAAAAGTGAAGATATTCAGATACAGAATGAGAAACATATAAAAGAGGGGTAAGTAGTGGGATTCCCAAGTACTTTTATAAAAATATATTTTGACATTTGTTGTCTTTCGAAACCATCAAGATTATAGAATATTGACCAAAAACCAAATATATTATTCCTTTCCCACGAAAAATAATTAGGGCGAACACTATATTTACAAATTTAATTTTTCTCACTAAATATAATTTTAAATTGAATCAATCTGATACATTCGATCAAATAAATTATACTACTCACAACCAAAGAGTGTCACCCTCTCACTGTCAATATTAATAAAAATAAAAGTATATGACAAATGTATACTAACATAAAAAGATATTCACATATGAACAGTGTTTCTGTGTGTTATGTGACAATCAACGACACAACAATATCTTTGTATATATCGAATATTTCGAAAAAAATAAATAAAGGATCTTCTCCGTAATCAAAGAAAAAGAAACAATACAAAAAAAAAAACTATAAAATAAGAATGAGACTTCACGGAGAAAGAAAAGGGTTAAAAAAGGATACAACGATGCAAGTGGGAATAGAATCATTGCACACAGTACACGCATAGAAGGGATTGAATGTAATATATATGTATATATATACTATACATACATATACATTGATAAATATGATAAAAAAATGTATACAGCCAACCCCAATGTCGTTAATTGTACAATAAACTGTAAAAGTGGTTTTACCGTAAAATGAGTAGTTCCCACCGTTCATGGTATCCGATGAGCTGATTCCTTCGACATTTAGATCAGCCAAGGTCTTCGGTACGAACTCCAATTTTGGTCGATTCGCCGCTTCCTCTTTCCTGCGTAATCAAAAGAGATTTCAAACCCATGAAATTGACTTGTATTCAAAGTTACCTGAAATTTTGACAAAAAGCATTACGTACTTATCCAGCAATGTTTCGGTGAGCACCTTGAGGATCTCGATGCACTGCTGATGATATTCTAGAAGAGCCTCACTGAAGGTCGCCAGCTGGGCGACTTGTTCGATCTGAAAGTGAAGGGCATTCTTTAAAGTCGTACGTAAAACCTGTTTATAATTTCGATAAATCTTCATAGAACATTGACCAGATACTTACGTCGTTCTCAAGAAGATTGAACATTCCCATCTGAGCGAGATGCAGACTCTCTGCGAACTTCTCCTCGGCTTGACGAATCTCGTCGTCTGAAACGTGAGAACCTGTACGCAAAGGTTGCGCCATAGGAACATTAAAAAGTTGCACTACTGGGTTTCTCTTAAACGAACAATAAAGAATAATCTAAAGTTCTTAGGATCGTAGTGTATACGTAGATACGTCAAACTGGTATCACCAATATGGATTGTCTAATGAATAAAGGGGACGATAGGCCAGACATAATGTCATTGTAAAACTAAGTGAACATTATTCTAGCTGGTTTTTCATACTTCGTGTCAGTAAGTACAAATACAGTGCACGTATTACGTATACGATGAGTTCTTGTAAAAGCGGTTAATATACACAGATTACATGCTCAGATTCTAATCCGGTGATTATATACTTGATCTAGAACATTAGTTCTCTTTCTAGGAATATCAATATAGACCGGATGTACGAGACGGATATTAAAGTTCAGTCAGATATAAAAGTCAGGAGGCCGTTTTGCCGTTCTTTTAGCTATTGATACGACAGCGACTACCGGATGTGAAAAATCAATGTTCGTTCATTGGCAAGACTGGTAATATTATTTGTTGAACTGTCCAGGTTATCATGACGGATATTGACGGATGTATGGAGACTGAAGATCTGGTATTAATAACCGTGTCTCTTTAGAGTACGTGAAATTTTAGGATTTCTACTACGGACTATAGTATAATCTAGCAAAGTTCTAAAAAACGATTCGTTAATGGATGGGTGATAGACGATGAACTCTGCGTACCCACGGAAGTCGACGGGGTGCTCGTTCTAGCTGGACTTCCAAAATGTGGGCTGCTCGACCGTTTTCCAGCGGCTAATATTTGACCAATCGATCAACAAGAAATAAAATTCCAAAAATGCAGGTCATGCCAAAGAGATTGGATGACTTTGCAACGTTAGAGGAACTTGGATTAACGATATTACTGTTATGACTTGAAGGAAAGCCGTTGTAAGTTCCGTTATAAGAGCCGGAAGTCTTTTGTGAATCGAACAAATCTCCTCGTTCGTAGCTAATTGTATTCTGTCATCCAATCACGTGATGGAAAACAACGACGCGAATAGCTATTAAATATATCTAACCGGAAGTACAGTGCTCTGGAAAAACGATTATGAGGTTTCAATGTTCAGATATAAATCTTCTACATAAAAACTTAATCACCATTCCTATACGTGCCGCATCATGCCACATGGTAGGTTCCGGTGCAGCATGCAGATGCGCATGCATCTAGCTGCACGTTCTTAGCCCTTTCATTAAGGTAAGGTACCACGTTCTCGCGATAAGTGCATCAATATAAACAGACAGTGATTTCTTCTAGAATTCTATTAGCCCTCATCCATTTCATCCCCCTCGTACCGTCAACTCACTCAACGTAAATCTTCTTCACTGGTTAAGAGGACCAGCAGCCCTACGTTAAATGAACGAAACTTGATGGACAAAAGTTACCTTTTGCCTGACGTCGACGCTTGCAGTCAAAATCGAGTCTTCGGCCTTGCAGTTTCTTCCGATGATGCTGAAATTATAATAAATGACTGGTTACGAAGACATATTTGAATATGATACATCGTGTAAGAGCCTAGCCGCTAGAAGCGACGTGAAAAGAAATGAGAGTGAAAAACTTTTTAAATAAATCCTCACCATAACTTCCTTCAGGTCCTTGGTCTGCAGATGGTGCAGAGGCTCCAGGAAGTTTTGCTTGATGTTGTCATCTAGTGAATACTTCACGTCGGCCATCTGCTTCATGGCCTCACCCATTTCAACTAGCGCTTGACCTGAGGAAAGGATGAGTCAATGTCAAAATAAAATTGTAATATTAAGATATTGAATGAAACAAAAATTGATAAATTAATTACTTACCGAAAATACTGTCTTCTCCCATTTTCTTCCCGTAAATCAACATACAATCTCCAAGTACGCCTTCGGGCTGAGGATACGTAGAGGCTTTTGCCTGACCACTGAGCTTGCTTATTCCTTTCACAGCTGCCATTTTCGCTCTGGCCGTTGGATTTGGCTGGAGAAATTCCTTCGTCTTCATTTGCAACTCCTCGACCAGCTCGCACGTGACGTCCGTTTTCTTGATTGAAAAGAAAAGGAGAAAAATATTTATTATTTAATAAAATGTCATATATTATTACTTCAAATACACAGCGTGATATGATAAATTATTAATGGTCATCTAGATCAAGTGGCTTTTCAGATCTGTATCCTAATATCCCTTTTCAACCTCCACTTCAAAGATCCCAGATGAAAAGGGTTGATATTAATGTCACCAGAAACTACCTTAATCCAGATATCAAATCATTTTCGCCCACTGACTTCCAGCATGAATTTTCAAACTTGTCGCCAAGAACTTTCTCGTATCCAATGATCTCCTCTCCATTCAACGAACATCCTTTTCATTGAACTTCGCAGAAGCCATCACTCACCCTTCCTGACTCTTTCTCTTTCAAGGAACCGTCTTCGTCCACGTAACAACCACAAATAGAAACCGTAATGATTTCACGACAAACAAAAATGATTTTACAAAAAAAAAAAAAAGATGACAAGAACGGAAACGTGTAATTGTCAGAAACTTTAGAATATATTAATAACTCACCCTCTCCATATCCACAAAGTCGACGTCCAACTTGGTGCCTTCCGCACCACCCATCTTCTCAGTGACATACTGCAAAATAGCAATTTGCGAAATTCATTATAACGTCAATCACATAAAATAGCAATAACACGTGACCATAATGTATCAAGTCGCGGCTTAGAAACGAAGTAAACACCCCAAGAGTACAACAAAAAAAAATGAGCACGAGCGAGTCCATTAGTAAGATTAGCCAGTACATTTTTGATGACGCGTGACTTTTCCTATCGCAAATTAGAAACATGGCGGCCGACAGCCGCACGTGCAGAAAGTTTTCAAAATTTGACTGACTCTATGATACAAGATAGAAGTGAAGATTTTCGTAGTTTCCTTTTGCAGGCTGTCTAGAAGTCTTCAAAGTATCCTAGTCAAATCAAAAGGTAAGTTATTATAAAAAAATTTAATGTTTAGAATTTTAATAATTGAATTAGGAAAGAAATATTAAAGTTTCCAGATAGGTCGATCAATATCCGCAACATTTAATCTAAAACCTCGTGCAAGCATAAGGATGTGAAAGATGAGTTGAAAGCCTGCCAGGAGACACGAAGGCATCCTGAGAACGTCGCCAGCAGGCAACGCGGCACCAGGCGTCTTTCCTGTGACTTTTGGCGCCGTTTACAATTATCAATTCACCAAGTACTCGTTCGCCAAGGAAGCCGTACTGCGCGATTCTACCACTTCCGCCCTCGGCCCTGACCTATATTTCAGTGCGACCTATATTCCCGGTTTGCCTCTACGCTTCTCCCTTACTTAACACTGAATTGTGTCTAGAACCTTTATGTACGGATATAGCGGGTGGTGGCATTTATACTGACCGGATAGATTTTTTCGGAAACTAAGCTGGATATAAAAAAATATTTCAGACTGAAGCTACACAGTTACAAGGAGGACGAAAGATTACGTTATGAAATTCCTTCCTAAGTGCAGGCGTTAACGTAATTCGAAGGTCAAATTATATTTTTTCAATTTGTCGATTCAATTTTTCTTCCGGAAATAAATAAACGTCACACCCTGTATATGGGCTTGAATTGATACATATGTCTTTGGCTCTGTAATAAGTTATCGATTACTTTTATTACTTTATGAAAACACCGATACCAATTTTTTATATTGACTCTCACAGTTATCCAGTAGCAATAACAACTAATTGCAATAACAAAAAAGATAATATACTACATTCGTTATAATATTTACACAGTTCTATCATTAAAGAAGTAACGCAATGTGATAATAACTTAATTTGATCGATACTGCCCCATATAAATCGAAACGAAAATATATAAACATAATATAAAATAATATAAAACATATAAATCGATACGAAAATCACTCTAACTGTCAAATTTCAATGTATCAAGACAAAATTTAAATATACCTAAGTGACGGAACAAATTTTTTATACTTTTCCTTAGACCAACAAAACAGCATGGTTGACAATGATCAAACTGAGATTAAAAGATCTACCTAACCAACATTATTATATCCAATACGTGTAACTGGAGTAAGGTGTGACCTGATTGTTAAGGGAAGAGGTCAGTTTCTTCGGTAATAGAATATAAATAACCAAGAATTGTACAGGGGCATCACAATGGAAATGCCCATACAAATTCACGGATCGCCATACGCACAGATTATGCCAGGTAACAACGTAGTGCCATTTAAAACAGTCATTCATTAATGGGACATCGAACGCAATTAAGGCCAAAGGTCACGAGCCGAGGACTGAGGCCGAGGCCGAGGTCAATATGAGTAGAGTAACTCGTGAGAATGAAATCCTGTGTCCCAGCCTCCATTCGACTTGTTTGGCAAAGTTGCTAGACGACGATCACCATATTCCATGCTAATTGAAATTGCGTTAGGAACGGAAGTGCGAAGAAGCGTCGGGATGAGGGATGAAAGTTTCACAAGCTTTGCGTTGAACTGGTGATATGGAAATTTTGAAAATAAATGTAATAACACTGAATAATGACAATTAAGAAGAAGCAACGAGAAAAGTTTACCTGATTCGCCTTGTTAATTTGTTTCCTTAAGCCTGCGAACGCCATGGCGCGCTGCTCTCCTTTATTCCTCTCCGATTCACGTAATTGACCAACGTGTCAGATTCTGAAAGACAAAATTAAGCATTAGATATAATTAATTGACAGACGAATGATATGCTGGAAATTTTTCTATTTCCATAATTATTGTCTATCGTGATTTGATGATATTAATATTTCATTAAATCGCTTGATTTATTGGTTTTAATCGTTGACTGGTATTAATTCAGGTATTAATGAATTCCTTCTAGAAAAGTTTAAGATCGGATAAGGTCAAGGGTGAATTAACATAGTGATTTTGACAGAATAAAATATAAAGTATATCAATGATATTTCTGTTTAAATTATTATCTAGCATGTGATATATATATATATATATATATATAAATGACAATTATAAATTACTTCAATTAAAATAAAACGTCTAATCTACGTACACGTAGAGATTAAGATATGGCACGAGAGAATCTTCGAAGAAGCAACCAATAAAAGAGGTTTAAATTATTATCTAGCATGTGATTATTAATGAATTCCTTCTAGAAAAGTTTAAGATCGGATAAGGTCAAGGGTGAATTAACATAGTGATTTTGACAGAATAAAATATAAAGTATATCAATGATATTTCTGTTTAAATTATTATCTAGCATGTGATATATATATATATATATATATATATAAATGACAATTATAAATTACTTCAATTAAAATAAAACGTCTAATCTACGTACACGTAGAGATTAAGATATGGCACGAGAGAATCTTCGAAGAAGCAACCAATAAAAGAGTCTCATTTTACGAGCAATTTCGTCGCCTTTTTAATAGGCTTAATGAGAGCAAGTACTCGTACAATGAGACAAGAGCCAGCCGATTCGTATCCAGCGAGCAGACATCTGGCTTCATCCACTGTCAGAAGCGAAGTGAAGTAAGAAAGAAAGATCTTACGACAATAAAGTCCGGTACACAACGCGAGCGATCTAGGAGGTTGACGTTGGTCTAACAAAAATTCATATGACAAACATCAGACAGTATAGTTTCGAAAAAATGACGCTAGTCGAAAATAGAGCGCGATTATCGCGATTACAACGGTTAGAATTCAAATCGGCAAAGCGTAACGGACGATTGTTGTTTTTCTTTAAAAAAAAAAAGAAGGGTCGCTCAGACTAAAAAAAATGGAGGTCACAGTGCACGAAGGACACGGTGTACGTCTGTTACAATACAAATATCTCGTCTTCTCTTGAGTCCCGGTGAGAATATAAAAAATGAAAGACCGAGAGGGGGTGCTGAATGGGAGAATAGAAGTAAAATGAAAAAAAAAGTCTATCAGGAGAGTGGCAGTGAAAATGTAGAAAAAGATAAAAAAGAAAATGTCCTTCTCTCACCTGTTACCTAGGCCGCTGGACCTTATCGACTAATTTATTCGGAAACACCCTGGACACTGAGTTTATGGACTTTTAATAAAAGGATAGAAATTCTTCTCTTTTTTATGTCTGATACTCGAGGATATAACAAAAGTAAACGTATCCGCGTGGATATACGAGCACCGGGAGAGTCTTTTCGACACTGCGCCTTTCTAGGGGTAGTTTTCTGTGTTGCGATCGATACGGGGACGGCTTTCTCCTACCACCGTGCGCCACCAACCCTCTCAGGCACGCGTGTCAGTCTATAGGGTGGTTCAAATATGCGGGGGCGATATTCGTCTGCCTTTGGACGCTGTTGCGAAGCCACTAGTCGTTGTCGCGGAGACGCAGGATCGGCGATATGAATCCGTGGAACCCTGGGGGAGAATTCATCTCGCGCACCACTCGGAACCCTTCCAACAATTTTAGTGAACTTTATAGATTCCTTTTTTACCTTTATTTACGTAAAAAACCTTGCTTGAATAAATCAATTAAAACCGATTGAAAATTGTCGGAAGGAACCAGATTCGTGCAATTGAAATTTTTTTGGGGAAATTTTATTAATATTTATTACTGGCAATCAATGAGATTTATTATAATTAAACATTTGTGTATGGGGTAATCACTAATATAGTCTTATTAACACGATACCTACTCGTTGCGAATTCTATTCACTTCGAATTCAAATATCTCCGATTGCCCCAATCATAACTGAATTCAATATTTATCGGTTTCTATTGATTTTAATCGAATTCTTTTAACTGGGAGAAAACGTGTTATCTAATAAGAAGCTCGAACGAACCTCGCACTAAATTGAAGGGTTGAAATATAGGCTTTGTAGATTTAATAATTAAATTACAATATTGTATTTCTTATTTATTGATTTATATGTTTTTGTTTAATTTTTTGAAGAATTTTAATCGAAAATATACTGCTATACCCAGTTCCGTTATACTAACTTGCTATCGGCAGATAAAATACTGTCGGCATTTACGCCTCCTCTGACTCTGAGTATGCATCCGCTTTGTAAACCACCCTCGCACTTGGTAAAAATATCTCTAAAAATATATTCCACCGTTAACGTGATATGAAAGGAAAAATTAATTTAGACCTTAATGGGAATGGCCCTAAATCATTATGTTGGTAGCCTATTGCTACCTTTTAGAATGTATGATTCGAGAATATCAAAGACCGCTTTGATAATTCTATCAAGAAAATCAGCAACGACTATTCTAAAGAAGTTTCTTTTCCCATTCGTTTTGTCCCTCTTTCAATTGCTATAGCAAGATCTTTTGAAATACACTAACTCCTCAAACAGAATTGATCGATTTTAATAATATCTAAATACAATTCTCATTTTGTTTCTTAGCCTATTAGACTTTTATCTTTGTTTTACGTAAATTTAACATTTCCATGTTTCAGCTGATTAAAAAAAGTAATAACAAAGAAACGTGAACATGCTAAAACTTTTAATCTGAATTTATTATTTTTTATAAATCAAGCTAAAAGTTACCTATGTTTTCTTTCACATAATTTAACTTTCCACACACCGTATTATTACTTTGTAAAATTACGAACATTCGTCACGAGTGGTCCGATATTAATTCATGACTAATTAGAATATCAGCATCTGTGTTGGAAAAGCGATAATATGCATCAAATAACGTGCATTAAACGATAAAGCCGCAAGTACTCGCGCAGCCACGTTATTTTGCACAGAAACAATTTCGGAATGACATTTTCCATAAAGGAGGAAGTAAAAATAATACGTTTGTTAAATTTAAATCTGAATACGTGAATCGTTGCGTATTACAATCTGTAAAGTATCTTGAACACAGTTAATCAATGTATCGCTATGAGGGGTCGAGCTATTAAATTATTTCCTATTAAGCCATTATTCACGGTACATATATACGATACAAAAAGAACGAGACACCGGCATAAAGCAGCGTGGAAGCAAAGGATCATGTCACAAATAATTCGAATGCGTTATTTTTAATCCTAATTTTATCCAGGCTATTATTTAAATTCACAAAGTTAACGTACTCACTGAAAAAAAGTAGCCTACCTTATTCGGTAATATTTTCAAATCCAAACTGTAATTGTAGTTATCAAACCAATCAGAAAGTTTTAACTGGTTTTGACGCAACCGGCAACCGATAAAGAAGAAGCTGTACCAGTGATAGTTGTTTTTGAATGAAAATCGGTATTTATTGAAGTGTCATCAAAACCCACGCTCCTTGATCCATGGCCGATGAATGCTAGTGGAATTATTATAATTTGACGATAATCAATTCGATTACTGATAAAATAGAGCTGGCCTCCATCTTTCAGTATTGTCAGAACTTTGAGGCTATGCTGTCATCATTTGATCTAATGATTGAATCTTATGCGTGCTATTTATACTATCAAATTCTCTTTAGCTTACCTTTAACGATTTAACTCTGTGTTGAGATCCGACGGAGCACTATGTTCCTAACCCCCTGCATCGATTTGACACACGCGAGCGAACAGCTGTTCGAAGACTACTGAAATGGCCTAAGGATGGCTCTCGAGTCATCACGCCAGAGCCAATGGCCGCGCGGTTTATGTAGGGAAATAAATAAGTAAATGATGTTTATTTTTAAAACGTTATGGTTATACAGTTGCACGCGCATGAAGGAACGTGTAGACCTTCTTTGGAAATAGAAATACATAGACGCTAGTCCGAGTTAATTTTTAAATGGCGACATAGGTCCTTTTATTATCAACATTATTAATACAGTGAAACAGGTAATATTATACAATAAAATAGGGCCGTTTTACAATAGAGCGCTGTCAAGCTTTATACATATTACGTTGCGTATGAGCATATTCCACTTTTACTGTTGACATGTTTAAAGGGATATGTACTCCTTAAGCTGCTGTTCGACATCAGGAGTGATGGTTAACATCAACTGGTCAAATTGGTTGTCACCCACGAGTCGTCGAAGTGTAATAAGCTGATAGCAGACAACGTTGTCTTATCAATCTAGATTTGATTTAAAATAATTACAAATAATAAAATCTACCTGGCTTTGGAAGGTATCCTTCAAAGATACACTGTGTACAGGATCCCCAATTGCAAGTCTTCTCTTTCGTTGTGCGTGCTCAGTTTCATAGTCCACATCTTCATACTGTGATGGACTCGATTGTTCACCAATCATCAAGGAACTAAAATAATTGTGAATTTTACTTATAGAGCTTTGTGAAATCATATCATCTTTCTTTGTCTTACTCAATCGGGCAGCCCATGTCATCAATCTTAGTAATGTCATTGAGAGTCTCGACTATGTTCGAAATTATACGTGGAAAATGATGAAGGACAGACGGTGGACTGTTTGCACCCAGAAGCGAACAAAGCGCCAGAGCAAGCAATTTACGTCTCTCAGGTTGCGAAACAAGTGGCATACGATTCACCCAAATTTGTACGATTTGTCCAAGAACATCTTCTTCGTTGGTTTCTACACCTTCCATGTACCTGGCCAATTCATTAACGACCTAAGAGGTATCAAAATTTCATTGAATCTTTCTATGCAATCTTACGGTACCGTTAGAAAAACTAATTACCTGTATGAATATATCTCTCGAAATTAGCAAAACTCTTGCTACGATAGACAAATACATGGCCATCACCATTGGATACTCCTCGCCCTTATATACGCTTCTATAATAAGATGTTTATTGATCACTTTATTAGGAATATCTATAATTATTACTACAACAAGTATAGGAAAGATAAATTATTTAAAACTTACTCAAATATTCTGTTAAGTAGTGGTTTAATCAGTGGTGCTCCTTGATGGGGCAAAGCTCGAAGACACGTTTCTACAAGTTGCATTGCCATGACTATCCCCTCTGATCTCAAATCCGTTAAAACTGACTTTAATGTATCAACTACAACCGTGCCCCACTCTCCCAAAAATTCCTGAGGACTTAATAAAACATAGGCTTGCACTATGTACATACACAATCTTAGATTTTCTGTAGATGATTCTGTAAATATAAAAGTAGTCTATAAAGCACGTGTTATATATTGGTTGTCCGAATTTATAATCATTAGATATTTATACTGACCTAGCAATGCAGGCATATTACGGAAAAGCTCCATTATTTCTGGAGTAGGTGCAGGTGCATTTTCCAAAAGTGCTAACCACAACTCTAATCCATCTTCTAGTAGGTAAACATGTCCATCCTGATTCATGTCACAACTTAAAGCTACAGCACCGACTACTAATGGTTGCAGTATAACACTTTCACAGCCCAATGCCTAGGAACATGTATATTAAGCCAACCATCCTTGCTACAGTAATCTTATTACATAATCTAAAGTCTTTCGAGTAAATACCTTTTCCAACTGAACGAGTGCAGAAACAATGGCACATCGTAACATGTTATGATCTTCAGATTGGGGCCAAAGTGCTGGTAAATAACCAGTGAGTGCTGCGACATGAGGTCTTATTCCACTTCCTACTCTTTCTGTCATAAATGAGAGAACATACAACACCCTCATCTAAAAGGTCCAAAATATTAAAAGTGAATAAGTTATTCACTGATAGTAATTTTCATATATGTTTTACCTTAGTGTCGCATTCCTTGACTTCCTTTAGTAGAGTGAATAGCAAGGAAAATACAGTTTCCAAATAAGGAGCGAAATCATCTGTATTAAATTGAAAATCGTCTATCGCAAGTTTCAGAGCATTGCTAGCTGCTAATCTGACACCAAGATCTTCATCGGGGCTCAAAGCTTCTACCATTAATTTGTATAATTCTGGTCTTAGTTCCGCGCTGAGTTTTACACCTATGAATAAATCCTTTGGTCTATAAATACTGCATAACAATATAGAGATTCTAGCTTTATGATACTAGATTTCATTATTTAATATTATAGCACCTGTCCATTGTCCAATTAACCAGCATACGCGTCTTCTGATTATTCTATAGTTGTTGCCATGGACTTTTAATTCTTGCTTTAACGTAGTGGAGAACCATTGATCGAAGTTGACCTAGTGAAAATTTTTATAGTTAATTTATTATTATCGTTTAGGGGGCATTAATGTTACAAACCTCGTCATATAAGTCGAAGGCTACAAGGCCAACTGCATTGTAAACAGCATCTTTTAACAAAATGGCATGTAAATTATTTGGATCTACTGGCTGATGATGAATCTCTATTAAGCGCACCAAAACCGGAGCAAGTATATCTCTAAAGTGACGAAAAAGAGCTAGAAAGACGGACTCCGTACATGGCTGTGAATATAAAGATAACAAAATAATTCAAACAACTGATTATAATTAATTATTGAGTTACGTACGGACCACTTACTCTCAGATTATATTTAACCGCGCCACTATCGTCAACAGCTAAAAATACAGACCGTTATTGGAAGATTCGTATTTTAAGAAGTACGTTTTATCAAAGATTTCTTTTACTTACCAAAATTTTCCGGATCTGTATCCCAGAGCTCTAAATCAGCAGGCGTCAAAAGAAAATAATGCGTTACCAGTCTTGAGCAAATTTCAGTCAATGTCTCCACAGTGAAAAATTTTTGTCTCAATTGAAGTGCTCTCAGCTTTAGTGGGTCTTTGGTCTCTGAAGAAAAATTGTTGCGTTTGGTACAATTAAAAGGAAATAATCGTAACTGTAAGTACCACAGAAATATTCAGCAGTACACACTTTCTATCATTTTTGGGGGTCCATTAAACAGCAGTACGCCCTTCATTAAGTTCAAGCATTGTATAATGAATCTTTCGAAAGTCAAAGCTTGCCCTGCCTCTGTGAAACAGTAGAAGACAGAGAATTCCAACGACGTAGGAATTAATTCCACGTAGCAATGTGGATGCATTTCCAGCACACCTATTAAAACTTTCGTTAAATGAATAATAAACTTGTTGCACACTTCCATCTGGATACCTCTGGATATGAGGTTTTTCCCTGAAAAATAAACTCATATTCTGCTTTACCTATTACATGCAACCATGAGATATTATAAGATTTCATTACAAGACGAAGTACTAACTGCACTCCAGGCAAGTTCTTGCACGTTCAAATACAACTTCCAAAAATATCATAGCGTCCTGAGATTCAGATGGTTTATTGAATCCATTTACTATTAACTTTCTCAATATTCTTAGAAGGAGTAAAGCTTTCTCTAGCGCTTCTTGAATTTGATTTGCATCAGCACCATTCGATGCCAAAATGAGAAAAGAATCGGTATAAGTGTTCCATAAATTCAAAATGAACGTGAACACGTTGGTGGTTAACTCCTGGAACAGCTTTTTATCAGCTGCTAGTCGTTTTGATGCTAAAGTTTTAACGACATGATGTAAAGTCAGCAATGCTCTGTGTTGAGCTAAAGGGTTTTGACTTCGTATCCCTTCCAAGAGGGTTGGAATTAAGTTTCCCCATTCCCTTGGACAATCATACCTGTGCGAGGAGCAAAATGTGCATAGAGAAACTATGAATTTCATGCAATGTTCTTCAGAAAAATGAATGCTTTACCTCGCAATTTTAGCGATAATAACAGCAAGTTGTACAGCTAATTGATTGACAGGCTCATTGAAGCTTGCTATCAAATGCTGACGAAGGAATTCCTTCTCCTCATCTGCTATTGCACTATTCAAAGATTATCATATAATTGTCACATGTACATATGATAAAAGTGTTAAATATTTTGATTTATTTTGATCATGCAAGAAAGTCTTACTTTGGTGCGTTTTTTCTCCAATATTTATCTACGCCATTCTTGAAGCATAAGATAGCCATCCACCTAACGTTAATGGCCAAGGAATGATTCGAGAATACATTCTGTAATTAAAATATAGTTACACTTTATATCAACATTCTCTTGCATTTTAACATATTGATTTTTATTATAGAGAGAAGTTTATAAAATTTTAATAATTTTTACGTTCTTCTGAATGAAACATATTATGTTCAACAAAGTAAATGAAACTTCATATTATGAACAAAAACAATAGCACACTCAATTAAAATTCATTATTGTCACATACTGCAAAATTATAAAATATCACAGATGTGTATCGATATAGGGAATATTAATCAAACTTACGAATAATGCTGTGTAGAATCCACGCTGAGTTTCCCACTGTTTAAGAGTTTCTTCTGCAGGCTTCAAGATACCAGGATCCTGACTACCAGCCCGCTGAAGAGTGTCAACCACTGCTGCATCCATAGTTTCCTATGAAATAATAATCCTACGATGAAAGACATTACCAATACCATAATTCCATATAGACTATGTATAAGTCATATGACAATTATCTCCAAACACATGGTAGTGTATTTAACAAACAACCAAAAAAACTAATCTGATAGATGACTAAATTCCATGCAACCTTCTGTTGCAAGAAAAACACTATACTTATACATCTAAAAACATATCAGTGCAATTCATAAATTTTTAATAAATATATTCAATCTAATAGCAAGTGATACGATATCAATAATAAATTATTTCAATTTTATCCCTTTTCGGGGCTATGGTTTCTAACCTATTAATGATGAGCAGCATGCAGTTCATGCGGAATTACCTTGCTCAATAAGAATTTATGATATATTTAGCGCACTCCATTTATAGTGAATAATTATGTATCGAAACAATACATAATGATGGGTTGAAATACTTTTTATCATTAAAATGTCACAGGCGACCGCAAGTCGGCATCTCAACGCTGTTTCTTTCCTCCTCCTCTCAAGCAACTCGACGTTGCTTCACGTCCAGTTGCACCACCGTTTCTCACAATGCCCTTAAATTAAAGATGACAGTCCTCGATGGTTACATCTAAATAGTACATAAAATTACTCGAGTACTTTTCCTTGACGAATATGCGTAATTGCACGTCCGATGGTACTATCAATAAAGGTCACGATCTGCTGACGATCGTTTCAATCAAATTTGTTGTCACTTTGAGAATATCGTTCGATAATGAAACGCCAGTATAGGAATAAATTTAGAACATACTCTAAATAGAGGCCGCTACTTTTATTTAAACTTAATAAATAGATATTACTTATTTATAACAATGAAATCTACGTAAAAAAGTTTAATCTCTGTGAGAATAATTACAAACTTGCAATAATACTTTGATAATATTCACCTGCGAATCATTCTTTTTAAATAGTAACAACGTTATAGTTCGTTAAATAAGTTTTCGATTCAAAATAATATTTACTTAGTGAAATATATTCTGATATTAAATATCCTATTTCGTATATCTCTTTTTATATACTGCAAAATAAATCGTGCCGACTAATCTTCTCTATTTAGGTTTTCGCGGTATATGTTGGAATCGTGTACTACGCTATCATTCGTGAAATGTACGATTACTTATAATTTGGTATTTATTGAGAAACATACAAGAGCAACTGTAATAATCTGTAATATAATTTATTTATTATATTTTTTTACTTAATGCTCTTTATTGATGATAACTTTCGAATCGATTTAGCCTGATGCAGTCTTATTTGAGGAATGTTGACACGCCTTCCGGTTAGCGCCGTCTGGCGTTCAGTGTGATCGTACAGACTCTTTCTTTTTCATGGCTCGTGGCACAGCTTAGGTCTTGTCACGATGAAGGTACGAATCCATGAATATTTCCGCGATCTTACAAATAATCCTTAAAACAGAATATTGTGTTCCCATTGTGAATCCTGCTCGTTATTTTAGTGTATATATTGTTGTATAATATTCAGTGTCAAAAAAGATATACCCAAACAGATAATCGTGTTGTCGGTCGGACATCAGATTTTGTGTACAGCAATAGACAGATAGAAACTTTCTTAAAGTATTCTTTTAAGAACTCTGTTTCATACGTATTGTGAACAGTGTCTCATCTTTAGTGTCAGATCTAGGAATATATTTTTGTTATTATCTCGTTTTAATTTAAAAGCAATCAAGTGACTGGTTAACCTATATACTCCATGATGTTTCACATAGAATGGAGCGAAGATTCATGATTGTTTATTTCGTAATATTGTATTTACTATGCTTATAAATTGCTATAATTAATGCTGAACTTTATTCTTTTAGTTGAACGTGTCGTACCCGGCAACGGGATGTCAAAAGTTGTTTGAAATTTCTGATGAACACAAGCTCAGAATTTTTTATGAAAAGCGCATGGGCGCTGAAGTTGAAGCAGATTCCCTGGGTGACGAATGGAAAGGCTATATTGTTCGTATCTCAGGTGGAAACGACAAGCAGGGTTTCCCGATGAAGCAGGGTATTTTGACCAATGGTGAGTTCCAGCATCGAGAGATCAATAAATCTACCATTAGCCTGTTATCAGAATTTTCGACTTACTTTATTTTAGATTTATTTAGCAATATCGACAAATCATGATGATTGTTTTGTTGTCTGATATACAGGTCGAGTACGCTTGCTGCTATCCAAGGGACACTCTTGTTACAGACCACGTCGTGACGGTGAACGCAAACGCAAATCTGTACGTGGATGCATTGTTGATGCTAACCTGTCAGTCCTTGCCCTTGTTATCATCAAGAAGGGAGAACAGGTACTAAAACAATATTTGGCAAATAACACAGACTTATACTTTGAATAAATGTCATGCCCAGGCAGTGTCCAAGATTAACAAACCATCTTGGGGGCGTTCAGGTGCATGACAGACTAAACTTCGTTTCTAGATTTGGGAAATCGTGTTACTATATCTCCACTTTTTCTCAGTGTACGAACGAGACAGTTATTCCTAACTTACGTCTAATCCGTAATTATTCTAAAAGTATTAAATATCTAATAAAATTTGCAACTTTTTCCTTCAGGAAATTCCAGGACTGACCGACACTAACGTGCCACGTCGCCTGGGACCAAAGAGAGCTAGCAAAATCCGTAAGCTATTCAATTTGTCCAAGGAAGACGACGTTCGCCAGTTCGTCGTTAAGCGACCTATTCAGAAAGAAGGCAAGAAGGAACGTCGCAAGGCTCCAAAGATCCAGCGTCTCGTTACACCACTGACTCTCCAGGTGACTAATTTTACCTTATATATAATAAAAGGAATTTCACCGTATATCAAAAACGGAAATTGACATAGTGCTTGTACATTTCGACTTTCAGAGGAAGAGACATAGGCTAGCCCTGAAGAAGAGACGTTGCTTGGCACGCAAGGAACAAGCTGCCGAATACGCCAAGCTTCTGGCACAGCGGCAAAAGGAAGCTAAGGCCAGGCGTCAGGAGGAGCTGAAGCGACGAAGGAGCGCTTCTATGCGAGACTCCAAATCGTCGAGCCAGTCAGCACCAACTGCAGCCCAAAAGTGAACTGACTGCAAAACATATACTTTACAAAAATAAAAACGGTGTGACCAAACATTACGTTTTCATTTCTATTTACCTTTCCATATACAACAAAAATAGTTTTGGCGAAATACAGATGACAAATCTGTTTAGACTTTTTGAGTACTCTGTTCCTTTCCTTTAATAATTCCATTACTAGTTTACATGTTGTCCTCACGGACAGCGGAGGTCTTTCTTGCGATTGCGGGTTGCAGTATCGCAGACACTTGCTAATTATCGACGGTTATTGGAATCTGTGAAATGCTTCAGTCAGAGAACATATATAATATAATTATAATTATATGTTCTCTGCTTCAGTATAGTAAACTTTTCAATATTCCTTTCAAAATAAATGAATGTCTAGAGTAATACTTCTTTTAAAATGACACACGCATATTTACGTTAGTCGTCTATCTGATTGCGTTTGATTTAACCAAAATTATTTAATAATTTATGTAAATGTATTTTCAACTATTCATTCTTATATCGCGATATACAATTTCATCATAAATCTCATGTAATTACTTGCAAGAGTGTCGATGAACTTGAAAGTCAAGCGAAATTTCTTTGTAACTAAATAACCAACAGATTTTCAAAATGGATTTTACTCAGGATCCAGGGACAAAGAAGAGTTTTACGAGATTCTTAAATCTACTAAATATTTCGAGTGCAAAGTTCAGTCGAACAAATTTTAAAAATTCTACTTTACAAAATAATGAAGTAATATCGCAAATTAATAATCAGCCTTGGAAATCCCTTCAAGATCAAAATCTTGATCCTGATGTTGAACTGAACGATCTTATTAATTTAGTGTCCTCCACGCTACAGGAACTTAAAGCAATCTCAGGTTCTAATGTCCTGAAGACTTTTCGGCCGCCCGAAAATTCAACAGGAGAAATACCTAATGATAAAGATTATGTAACAACTAATTTGTCGTTCAAAAATTCAATACAAAATTTAATGTCCTCAATTTATATCGATGACTGTCAAACGACGCCTATTTATACCGATGCACGGTCCATTAGGGGAAATAATAATTATTCAAAAGATTCTGGATATGTAGACAATAGAGGGGACTTCGATTTGATCAACAATATTATGAAAAGTTCAACTATGTTGAATTCTTCGTCATACTTGAATACAGATAGAATTATTCCTAAACACAATTGGAAAAGCGGTGACGCAGTAAATGAAATGAATCGTAGTTATCCATTGGAATACGATGAAAATTATATTGAGAAAAAGGCAAATGATAATTTATCAAAAATATATAATACACAAAGTTTAGAAAGTCCTTGGGATTCTAAATTTGCAAAATCTTTCTCCCCGATCAATATAAAAAATAATTTAAATAACTTTAAGAACCAAGATAGAGTTTTCTCTGCATCTCCAGTTAGATGCAACAATATGGAAGGTAACGTTTGGAATGATTTACATTTACCAATGTTTAATCTTTCTATATTTTTTATAAAATCTAATTCAATAAATGATTTGTTTTTAGAAGAAATGGAAACTGTTATACCTACTCGTGATAAAAATTTTAAAGAAATTACGGAACATGCTATGTTAATTAATGAAGTTAATGATGGTATTAATTCGGAAAAAATACAACAATCTTCATTAAATCGTTTAAATAATTTAAGAGAAGATACTAGCATAGTAGTCGAAGATAAAAAATTGAATTTCAATCAAGCATCTTTGAAAAGTATCAGTGATACAGGATATATAACGGATGAAGAAGTTGGTCAAAAAATGTCACAATTGGGTCTCTCAAGCGGATTTACTACAAGTAAAATATGCAACGTTGATCAAGAGATTTCTCAAATGAATTTTACCAATGGATTTACTACGAGTACCAGACCCTGTGTTGGATTAGTTTCCGAATGCCAATTAAAGATGACAAATGGACGAAACTTGTTTAAAGACAAGAGAGATCATAGTAATACTAGAAATCGTAAAAACTTGGCAAAAGAAAATTGCAAATCAAGTCTTAAACGAACAAATATGATGGATGTGAAAAAGAAAAATATCAAACATGACGTAGTGCACGATGGGTCCAAACAAATGATGGAATTGCTGCCACACAAGTATAAATATTATTGAAAATCAGTTTTTATTTTAAATAGAAGTAGTAGATGTAAACATTCAATTAAAAAAGTATTGCAAAGCAATATGTGTACCAAAGTAAATGAGCATAAAAATGATAATTTCTTTTTCAGATATGATGACAAACTTTCTTCAAGATACATAGATAAAATTTCTCCAAGATCTCCTAAAATTAAAGATACTATTAAAAATTGCAAAGCTATAGAAAAACACGTGAAACCCTTGACAAATTTGAAAGGCACGACTAACAGTGTTAAGAATCCTAAATTTGCTAGAACAAAAGTTAGTATGAAATCCCAAGACAGTAACAAAGTGTTTAAAGACAATAATAGAACTAAAGTGACAGAAAATAGAGTGGAAAACATAAAGAATATTGCACAAGAATATAAGCGAATTCCTGAGGAGCCTTCAGGTGTTAGAAACAAGTGTGGGAATAATGTTTGGGAAAAAGTAATTAAACCAACATCTACGAACATTACAAAAAGATCAGAGGGATCAAAGTTGGAACTAAAACGACAAGGAAACGTGGAGACAAGATCAAAAATACCAGTAGGAAAATCTTGCGGAGATATTCAAAATTCCATAACGCCATGCAAAAGGTTTCAAACTCCACAATCTGTTCTCAAAGTATGCAGCATTAAGTCTGGGAAGGAATCAGCCAGGACAAGGTAATAATAAATAAATAAACTAATACGTTTGTCTTATGTTGAGCACTCCAAGGATTAAAATTGCGGATTAATAGGGTATTGAAGATGTAATTAAGATGTTTTGAAAAGCCCTCGTATCCTTCACGTTACTTGTTGACTTAACAATGTAAAAAAATGATTAACTCATATTTACTTTCTCCGTTATTAGGTCCTTAGGTGAAAAGAAATTTAATTCATTGGATATTGGTGTTTCTCAAGATCTGCTATCAAAAGATAATAGAAATTTAATTGATTTAGAAGAAAATCGTGTAACCAGGATATGCCAATGTCTTGCGTAAGTGGATGGATACTATAAAATGATTGAAACTGAAAATGCTTAGTTAATGAATTACTTACTTTATGAACAATTTTTAATATTTAATTTAACATTTCGTTTGGTAGAGAAACAAAAGCTCAGCAACGATACAAATGTAGCTCCAGCAAAGAATTATCAATAGTCACTGAAAATCAATTTTTGAATGATGAGAAGGATCAATGTTTTAGCAGTAATCAATCAGTCAGTCCCTCCAAAAGATGTGAATCAGTAACTTTTGGGAAAAGTAGTGAAACAAACGTGAACAAATCGAAATTCAATTCGAAAACGAGGCCGGGAACACCCAAAAGATTTTCAACGACAACGGTTGGGCAAAATTCTTTGCAAAATATTAATGAAAGATTTGAGAAGCCTAAAGTTATTAAAATGCTAGAGGAAATTATCAACGACACACCAAAAGTGTTAAAAGAAAATAATTTGTTGAATAAGACTGAAAGAACTATACCACATTCCATAAAATTATCAATAACAAGTTTACAAAATAATGATCTGAAAGATCAGCTAAACTCAAATAATAAAATTATTTCTTGTATTAAAAGTTCATCGGTTACTGGTTCAAGATCACAGAATAATAAAGTGCTTTACGATACAGATATGAATGACTCTGATACATTACCAATAAAACTCAGTATGAAATATATAAATGTGACAAGTAATGCACAGCTCAGTGAAAGCCAAACTGATACTGATATGGAAGAAATTTTCAAAAATCAGTCTAAGAAGTCTGTTGCATTGCAAAAAGAAACTGATTATTCATCAGGTACGGATGGACGAGAGTATGCAATTGATTCTAAGACAGTAACTGATATAGATCATTCTTGTTCTAATGCTCAATTAACATTAACATCATTAACTGATGTGCCCTGGGGATTTGAATTTACTTCAGACTATTCAACAAGTATATCTACGTATGCTAAGGACTGCCAAACTTCTTTGCCGTCATTATTAAGTTCATCTAAAACCTTGCAAAATGGAATTCTTGAAGAATACGCAAATAAAGGTGCCATACAAAAAGAAACCTGTGAAAATTCACAAGAGTCATTAAATAGAATAAGAAAGGCATTGTCTGAAAATTGTACTAAGAGCAATCACAGTTTGAAGAAGCAATTCTTAAACAAACACGCCAAATCTCTTCACGTACTCAAAGAGATTTTGAAATGTCAGGAGTTAAGCGTCGATTTTTTAAATGCAGCTGAAAGAGAATTGAAGAATGAATTACATGATAAAGTACATAGTAGCGAAAGGGAAATATATATAAATACAAACTTGTTAGGGAATTCAAAAATTGAAAGCCGTAGTCAGAATTTTTTGAATACTGACATCTCAGATCGTATTATATTAGGAAAACAAAGAAATTCTAATGAATTCATTGACTCCGAAAAATCTTTTAAGGATTTGCAACCAGAAAGATTAGACAGGGATCCGTCTATGGTCTTTAGTAATAATGTTGATATAAGAAACTGTTCCTGTACTTCTTCTTGCAAAATTAATAATTTCTTCAAGGGAAATGAAATGATGTCGAAAGATCCATCTAATTTAGTTGCAAAGCTAGAACCTGTTTCCCTCGTATGTACAAAATCAAAAGAAACTTCTTGTAAATTAAAAACTGTTACCGAAGAAGAGGAAGTATCTTGTAAACCAGAAGACTTTCCATCTTTTAAAAAAGAAATAACAACACAGGCTTCGTTTACACGTGAAGTTTTTACTGAATCGGAATTTTTTCAAACAATTTGCACTCAAACAGGACAGCATTTTTCTTTAAGAGATATTGCCATCAGTTCGGAGGACGATAAAGAATTAATTACAAAGAAAACCAAAAGTACATCATGCGATACCATACCTAATTATCAAACTGTTGGAATCGAATGTACGGAGCAATTAAATATGCTTTACAATTCAAAAAATATAAACACTGACCATGTAGTTACTTCTACAAACGAAGTGACCATTTTTCAACAAGGTACTAATAAAAATGTTTCCATTCAAGCTGAAGATATTCCAAAATCAAGAAAGCTTGTTACTGATACTTTTACAGAAACTTTGGAATCATGTTATAGCTTCGATGTACCTAAGAATATAATTGGAGAAGAAGAATTAAATACAATTATAATCCTATGTGACAATGAAGAAATTATGAGCATTGAAGAAGCTCAATCAAATAATATTGATAGATCTTATCAAAACCTAATTTTAAAATGTGATGACACATTTTCTGCATATACTGCAGCACGTAAGAAATGTAGAGAAAAACTGCCAACGTTCAGAAATAATTATTTGAAAAAGCAAGCATCGGAAGACATATTTGTCCAATTGCAATTAATGTCGGGGCATAATCAAAATTTAGATGCAGAAATTTACAGAAAGAAATTCGGTAAAAGTTCTACGAACGTCTGCAGAGAAAATTCATTTTTTCACCTGGTTCAAGCTATATCTATTACTTCATTTAACATCCAAGAAACAAATAAGCACAAAAAAGAACAGTATGATCCTTTAAAAAAGCCGATTAAACTTTCTTTAAATTTGAAAACTACAGCACCATCGTCAAATGATATTTCTGTAAAATTCATTGCAAACACCTCTGCGCAGATGACACATAAGAAAGTTCTACCGAAGATCAAAGTATTTATACATTTTTTGTTAAATCATTTAAGACATAATTTTCATGCACGTAAATCTTCACAGAAAAATGGATTTGGGGATGACTCGACTGTCAAAAAAGAGTCGTGGGAATACGAACGAGATCAAAAGGCTTTGTGGAGTAAGAATAACGAAGTTGAATCTCTAAAAAGAAAAAGGATAAAGGACTACGAATATACAAAGTGTTCACAATATTCACGACAGCAATTATTCGCTTACATATACGCAGTTTTGTGCTCTATTGTATTTTGTTCTTTTCAATTCTCACACTTTTGTGAAAGTTAAATATTTCCATACTCTAATTTCCTCACTGTTGTTTATACAACATAACTAATTCCCACATAAACATTTAGTATACCAAAAAATTTGGGCAAATTTTAATAACCGAATGAATATGAACAACATTATTATTTAAAGATAATCAAATTTTAATAACATACATTTATTGTGAATGCGTGTATGGAGACTTTGGTGAAGTACACACAAAATATATATTGCCTATACCGTTAGTTCAGGTGACTTTCTAATATAGAATTATGAAATAAATGAGAATTATAATAAATGTTTGTTATAAGAAACCTAAATAATACATATCTACGTTAACCATAATTACTTAAATAATTGCTCTAAATAGTACAGTTAACACAAAGTATATTGTACCATTTGTAATATTCTCATATGGAATACAAATATAATCAATTAAGATAGATGAAAAAGGTAATTTAATACCTTCTGTAAGATCCTCTATTATTATTCCAAGTGTTTCCATTTTCCCCACCTCGGTAACCTCTACCACCTCGCTGACCGCCATAACCACCTCCATAGCCAGCACTGGAACCACTACTACCGCCATATCCAAAATGACTGGAACCATTACCACCGCTTCTGTTAAAGTTTCCCTGATTATAGCTTCTATCGCTATAATCATTCCTGCCGCCGTAACCACCACGATATCCCCCACTACCACGCATGAATTTCGACGAAGAGCCTTCCATAGAATCACGAACAGAATGCAAGAATTCTCTCGGTGGTCTTTTACTACCAAATCCACCTCCAGTAATCGGTTCCATTTCATACCGACAAGAATTCATACCACAGAGTACTTTGATGACAGCTAATACCTGTGCAGAGTATAATATAAATTAATAAGCAATTAGATCAAAATTAAACCTTATTAGTATTATTAACATCGAACAACCTTGTCTTCGAGTGGACTGAGTTCCAATATGGCTGTTGGTTCTTTCGATGCTCTAACAACAAGACTCTCCAATGCAGGTCTTAGTGCAACGATGGCAGCAGCTTCTTCAGGATTCATATCCAAATTTATCCAGTTATCCAGCCTAACCATACCGTCGACGTACTCGACTTTACGTGATCCAAAAAGAAGTAAATGGATAGGGGACACCATTGTCATTTGCTTACAAGAGACTGCCCTGGTGCGAATCTGAATAAAAGAATTATTTATTTAGTTCTAATAAAAATCCTGTAATAGTGTATGAACCTTGTGTAAGTTACCTTTTCGCCAAATACAAAGAACGGAAATGGGAAAGTCTGTTCAAAGGTGCTGCAGTTTACTGAAGTTTTGTGTATGAGAGCAGCTTTAGACTCGGTCGTGAGTACCTTTCGTTTTTCTTTATGGTAACAAACGTTAGGATATAAGCCCATACATAATAAAGCAGTAATTGTATCAAGTCGGACATCCGCACCAGCTTGATAGTTCAAAGGTGTCGGGCATAGAGTTTCTTCAGGAAATCCAGCACTCTGAAGTAGAGACTGTAGTTGATTCTATATCAGGAAGAGTGATGAGTAATTATTATAAGATATAAATGATTGTGATTGTATGTATAATATCTAAACATACTTTAGCTTCCCATGTGACTCTCAGCGTAGGAATACTCAAATTTTTAGCATCGCAAAATGCCTGTTCTGCATATTCACCAGAGAATCGGGCTTCTTCCCATGCTTGGAACGCGTGCATCATTGCTACGTGATCACTATATCTTGCACCAGCAAATTGTCTCTGTGAAACTGCTGAACGTTTCCCATCCAGTCCTGTATTATAAACCTCCGGAAAGGTTGTACTATTCGCAGCCATTGTGGAGAGTGCATCCCCGACACGAAACATACATCCTAATATCATCATTTTACCCAAACGTGGCTCTATAGGTAATCGAGCCAAGATTTTACCTAATGGAGTCAATTCGTCATTTGCGTCTAAACATTTCATCTCTGAAAATCATGAAACCAAAAATTAAAACCATTCTTCGCGTTCTACACAAAAATACAATGTATTACCTCGCAGTATGACTTCAGCCTCTATTACAGCATCTATGGGAGGTGGTTCGATAGCTTTCGACAAGAACTGTCCAATACTTCCCAGCCTTAATAACTTAATACTCAATGCTAATTCATGTAAAGGTGTTCTAAACATTTCAGGTGTCATGTGTTCATCCATCTTCTCGAAACGAGCTCTTGAGCACAAATGAAAACAGAACCCAGGCTTAACTCTTCCAGCACGACCCTTGCGTTGTTCCAAATTTGTTTTGCTCGCCCATACAGTTGCGTAATTCGTCATGTTATTGTGTGACGTAAATAATTTCATTTTGGCTTTGCAAGAATCAATGACGCAAACTACATCATTGATAGTAATTGAAGTTTCAGCTATATTCGTGGCCAGGATAATTTTCGTGACATCTGGTGGTACAGGGTCGAATACCTTACGTTGCTCGTCTCTAGGAAGTTGAGAATGTAGTGGTATAACAAAGTAATTCGATCCACCAAATATAGGATGGAGCTGTAAGTGTTTCATCAATGCAAAAATCATACTCCATCCTGGTAAAAAAATAAGCACTGCTCCATTGATATCTTGGTCTTTAATATATCTTAGTAGTGCTTCGAGCAATTCGAAACTGATTTCCTTCTCAGACATTTGGGCCATAGCATTCTTTGTTTGAATACTATATTGCGAGGAGATAACTTTATTTAAATTCTCCTCGGCTTCAAAGTCTGTCCCCAGGTCATCCGCTTCACGATTCTTTCTCTTCTTCAAGTCAGTCGGTGGCACAAAAGAGGTCAGTTGAATACAATCTTCTAGGAAATACTGTTGTATCGGAAATGATCTGCCAGGAATCTCTATTACCGGACAATTATTGAAGTACTGACTGAACAATGTCGTATCTATTGTAGCTGACATGAGGATCACCCTGAGATCTGGATACATATGAATCATATCGCGGAGTACAACCATGATAAAGTCGGAATTTACGTCTCGCTCGTGAATCTCATCGACAATCACGTGCGACACACCCCTAAGACCACCCTCCAACTTTCTGAGTAAAACGCCAACCGTACAAAATAGTATACTGCTGTATGGTCTTGGTAGACAGGATTCAAATCTGACTGAATATCCTACGGACTGACCAATACTTTCGCACCTTTCACTAGCAACCCGATCAGCTACGGAAACAGCTGAAATTCTTCTTGGTTGCGTTACAGCAATACTGCAGTATGCACCTTGGCCAGAAGATATATAATCATCCAAGATGAATTGACAGACTTGAGTAGTTTTACCACAGCCAGTGTTACCGCGAATAATAATAACTGGATTATCATTAATAGCCATCATGATTTCATTGCGCTTTGCAAAGACAGGCAAGTTCGATCGCTCCTTTAAACTTTTTTGTAAAGCAGTATCATCATTTAATCTTTGCCTGTGATCATTTGAAATGTCTTCTGATAGTACGTCTAAGGAAATGGTGGCCAGAGGACCTTCGTCGATGTTACATCCTGTCCAGGGATTCCAATTTTGCTGAGGTGGAGACCAACTAACAACTCCTGCTGGTTGAGGTACTGATGATATAAAATCATCAAGAACGTGATTTGTTATTAAAGATATTCCAGGAGTAGATGACGGAGGTTTAGTTTCTGGTGTCGGTGTAGCGACAGGCTGTAAAAAAAAGGTCCGTTTTCATTATAAATAATTATATAATTATTTTGGAGTAAAAGTATATATATGTATTATGTACTTACTTCAGCTACTTTTACGTCGATTGGCTTTATTTCAAGTCCCGCCAGCACATCATGGACTTGACTAATTATTTCTGGAGATATTTTCACTGGATAGGGCTTAATTTGTTCGGCGTCTTTGTTGCTTTTCAAAGTGCCACTGAATGCTTCGATGACACCAAGATGATATAATTGTCTAACCAGCGACAATGCACAGCTCTTTGACGCTGTTTGTTTATTAGAACCCGTCTCGCGACCAGTAACACCTGATTGAATGTTTTAAATGTTATAGCAATATTTGATTATAAATAGATTAAAATAATTATTAAAATTTTGTACATACATCGCCCAAGTTCTTTTACGTAGATTGACATTTCAGCCATGAAGCTCCTAAGCAGGCAAGAATGATATATCAGTATTTATATAAATGAAATAAAATTTGACTGAGTCTCTTGGTAGTAAAGAAATTTCTTTTTTATATATAACATGCAATAATAATTAGAATTAAAAGTTATTTATCCCGATCCTATCCAATTCAAGCAAGCTAATCTAATTAGCAAGTCAACCCCAATGCTAGTTTATGAAACTCACCGTTCGAAGTTATCCAAGACCAAATTGGAGTACATTGATAAAGTTTCTGCAAGTGCCAGCACCAAAACAATTATTGAATCTTTTCAATAAAAGCTTTGCTTATACACCAGTTATACTCGTTCAAGAGAATTCAATTTTTTTCTTTTGAACAAGCACCTGACGATAAATGAATAACATACTCCAAAATGGTCTCGATGAAGTTCGAATCAATTCTGAAAGAGCCAGTGCATGTCTGCCAGAAGGCATTTCGCACCACTTTAACATACAGTAACTATGCAATGTTCAAATAAAATATTCATAAAATACGAGAAAAATGTATTTCTTTTTTCTTTCTATTTTTCAATTGGCAACTCAACTGATAAACAAGTACAATACGTACCAAGAACATTAAGTCCTTAATACATTCTGTACCATATGATAAATAAAAAAATTCTTGTAAATGCGATGAATGTAGAACCATCCAAACTGGTTCATACCTTGTGTGATCTGGGCCAACAGGGGTATATTTGTAATCAGCATTAATTTTATTAATCTGCATAAATTGATGCAACTTTGACTTTGCATTCTCAATTGTCCAATTCCCATGAATACCAGAATTGACATCCACATCTTCAGCTTCTTCAACCTTTTTCTGTTCCGCAATTCGATCAATATATGTATAATTTCCCTGACCTCTCTCATTATAAGGTCTATATGCTTGACCTATATCATTGGGACCCAAGCCATTTTGAAATACTGATTTAACTGGAGTTCCTGGATCAGCTTTTACATTTGTCGGCGTTGCAGCTTGAACAGGTGGCATATTATGATCTTGCGGTACATCATTTGCATTAACAATTCCTGAACGAATCAGATAATTAGTAAAGTCACGAGATGCATTGCCCATTGCATCTTTCTTATTCGTTGAATTGCCTATGGCAACATAATCATATCCAAGAACACGTAGCTCACAAAGAAAACGCTGCCGATGTTTAGGACCTAAATAAGTAACAAAACCAGAATATTATTAACTAATCAAATATTTGCATAGACACAATCCTTAATAGTTACCTGTCGGCCTGGTATCGAATTGTGGTTCCTTGCCATTTTTTGAGCACCATTGGTGTACAAAGGCTTTTATATCGCCCATGCTTGATCTTTATACCCAAACCTTAATCGACTTTGGCACAAAACAAAAAATCTCTTTAAGATCACACAAGAAATTCCAAATGATCATAACAATCGAGATCAAAGTGGAAAAACAAATATTACAAAGCGTCACAACAATTGTCAATCTTCATGACCAAAGAGACGAAAGTTTAATATAAAACACAGAGATGAGTAAGGAGATGGACAACGCTACGGTTTTAAACGATTCTATAAAAGTGACGCTAAATCGTAGCGGAGAGTCCGGAAGTAGAAGTTTGTGATCATTGCCTCCGTCGACAATGCGGATCCCGTCGTAGCCTAGCTGACCGCGATCACCAACCTGTAGCTTGACGGGCAGAGGTCCTCCGCTACTTACCGCTGGTTCCCAAAGTAACAATTAGAACGCGGCAGCTCATCGGATATATCCTAAATATTTTTTTTGCAATCCTAAGTTCGAGTGCACAGTATAAGATCGTTAAGATTAATATAACAAAAGCTAGCACCTGATGCCTGCCTGCACTGAAGCGTATGATGCCACCAGTATATTTAATAGATATTTTACCGATGTTGTGTAGCAAAACTATTGCTAAAACCTATCAGGAACTATAGAACTCCTCGAGAATCATTGAAAAAGCCTATTGTTGAATCATTTTTAAGAGATTTTAAAAAAAGTGCGGTGCTGGAGCTGACACCCGTGTAGCACCTCAATTTTTCAACAATGTTTCACCAATAAGCTTTTTCAATTGTTCTAGAGGAGTTGTATAGTTCCTAATAGGTTTTAATATTAGTTCCTGACACGTTGAATTTTAAAAAAACTGATGGTGCAAACCATGGGATTCGCCACAGATGTACTACGGACTATACTGTTTTGAATGGGATAGTCTTAGCTAGTATGTGTGCGAGTATACATATTGCAAAAGAATATTGTAAACTTACCCATGCATCAGCGTATACATCTAGAATAATTTTATGCATTGTATTGCGTCCAGTATTTTATGGTAACCATAATAATTGATAACGAGAAGACAGATAAGGGCAGTTATGAGCGCTTATACCGGGACTGCACCGGGGCTTCATCTCTGTGGCGATGATGGCGGGCTGGCGGGCATCATCCCACGGGAGTCTCGATCATCTGTTTGTCCTCCTGCCCATGCCATCCCTGCCTTCCGCTGCCTCGGCGACGTAGCCGCTCTCGCGGTCCATTCAGGGATGCTGTTCCCTCGTGGCAGGTCCACGTTGATGTCCTTCCTGCTGGTGTTGGCTGTGGGTCCTCGAGGATGGTCCTCGAGCCAGTGCCCTACGGGGAAAGGGGAATGGTGGCAGGGAGGGAGGGGGATCTTACTCTAATTACAACAAACCTAAAACAACTAAATAAACGCAATTACCAATACTTAACTCTAAGACGCTATACTCGAGGCCTATGGGACCCCGAGCCAGGAGACGGGGAGGAGTTTATTGTAACATTTTTGTTACAACATCTAAAAGAAATGTATGCAGTGTATTGCACCGAGTAATTTATATAAATGTTAAATAATAAGCTAGCGTAAGTTAGCATAAGTTAGCGTAAGTTAGCTTATATAAACTGTAACGTATTTTTCTTACTCAACACCGATAGCGAAAAATCCGAGAACTAACCTACGTTACCTTCGGCCCTCCACCCTTCGGTCATGCTTCGGCAAGCCAGGCGGTCGCCAGACAATTCTTTTTTCACCGGGAACTGACGAGCCGGTATGAACTGGGAGTTGGGGTGGAACAGGCCCAACTCCGCCAAAACGAGAGCTCTGACTGAACCTGTCAGAAAGACGATAACATAACGGATCCTATAGATTTTTGGGAACGCGTAAAATCGAGAAACGCAACCGTAGGTGCTGATCGTTGAGGTCGCGAAAAATCAGCAAACGCAACTGGATGCACGGCCACTCAGGCCGCTAGGTCGAGGTAGAGAGTGTCGGAGTAAGCGTCAGGCAAATAGTGCGATTTACAGAGATCAACGGATCGAGAACGTAATAAAGCGAATTGGACTTGTCTAATCGAAATCCCTTCACCAATTAATAAATTGGGAGTACTCACCGGAGCTGGTGCAGCTGATCCGTGAAGGCCGAAAACCTCATCCAGAGGACACTCGGGTGGGCACTACACTAGGGCACAGTACTGCACTTCCGGAACACTCACAGAAAATCCACAGAATTTTCTGGTAATCGCAAAAGCAACGCGGGAACTACACGAGCGAGAAATTGTTATACCGTATCGAAACACGGCTAGAAAAACTATCAACAAATAGCACGGGAGCGCGAAGCAGCTTGTGACATGTCGGTCGGTGCCCCGAGACAGACTGCTTTGACAATAGCCAAATTCGAGAACTAATCATTCTGATTAGTCAAAATCCTTATAGGATCCTTATCAGGAGCTATAGATCTGCTCTAAAACTATTGAAAAAGCTTATTGATGAAACATTTTCCAAAAGTTGAGGTGCTGCAAGGGTGTGAAGTTGGTACCGCAAATTCTTAAAAATGTTCCAACGATAGGCTTTTCAATAGTTTTCGAGGAGTTCTATAGTTCCTGATAGGTTTTAACAATAGTTCTGCTACGCAACATTGGTAAAATACCTATTAAGGATACTAGTTGCACCATATGCTTCAGTGCAGGTATGCATAAGGAGCTGGCTTTCAGTGTTGTTTTCAGATTGTGTTTCAAACAGTTCCGGGATAGTTCTCTCTAGTATGCACTCCATGTTGGGACCATAGTTCCGCTTGGAACTATTGTTAAATAATGCTGAAAGCTAGCACCGCATCGCTGCACTCCTTAACGCAGGCAGGCATGAGGTGCTGGCTTTTGTCTTATTAAATCTTATCGTCCTTATATCGTGCACTCGAATTTAAGATTACAAGAAAAATATTTAGGCAATATCTGATGAGCCTCGTTCTAAGGGTTGCTCTGGGAACCAGCGGTAAGTTGCGGAGAACCTCTGCCGGCCAATTTACACGTTCGTTATCACATTCAGCTCGGCTACGACGGGACATACATTATCGACGGAGGTAATGATCACAAAATCCTACTTCCGGTTTCGCCGCTACGATTTAGCGCCATGTTTTTAATATCGCCTAAAATCGTAGCGTTGTGCATCTCCCTACTCATCTCTGTAAAACAGATCACGCATATGAATCATAATTAATAATGCAAAGGTACGTTACTAGATGGAACATGTGGTCCAACACGTGCGCCATGTCATTGGCGAAGCTTCAGTTATGAAAAATGAAAAAACTACCATTAACGCAGATTCCTTCAAATTTAAAACTACAGTAAAATTGTAAAAATCGAACTATTTCGTGCATTTATAACTTATGTAAATCAGATGAAAAATAATGAAATGCTTAAGAACATCCAACAAAAAAAACTTGTAAGTCTACTGCAGACATGTTTCAATCTTACATAACAAACGTACGTCGAATACATTTATATGCTATACAGACCTTATTTTATGTAATATAATTATATATTGATATGTCACGAATCTTTTCGCAATAAAATTCAATACCATTTGCTTACATAGATATTAGAAATTCCATTAAAAATTAAACGTGTCCACAATTTCACATAGAGCATCATGGATATCATTGAGTATCATTCCTTCCTTTCTTTATGGCTGCCATTCAATGAGGATATATGCTAGTACTGAAATATCTCCATTTACACATACAGTGCGTATTAAGACCTACATAACCTGAGGGTAATATACCTAATTACACCGGCCTACCAGACTGTCAGCACGTCTTATGGCAAAACTGTCCACGTTCGCCAGCTACTTGCAAAGTGACTGTGCATTTAGCTATAGTAGTCTGCATAATCGAATACTGCTTATTCTGTATTGATTACGTGCAGAAAAGCATGAGTTGCATCCATCATTCCCCACCTTCATGAGTCCCACCGTTTATTCCCCTACGTAATCGAAGATACTATAATTTCTGACGTACTCTATTTTTGCATGACAAAGTACTTGAATGAATGCCTCAACATTTGTTAATAACTTGAACAAATTCGTGAGAATATAATTAATCAAATATAATTATACTATAGTAGGACACATTTCCTGTTAATTATTATGAGCCAATTTTATGTTGAATTGTCTAGTACTGGCATATGGGAGATTATTTGTAATTTGAAATTAAAGACTAATACGTATACCTACGGTAATGTATTATAAGGTACAGTGAACCTTTCATGTAGACCTACATCAGGTTCCAAGAATATTTTTTTTTTTATCCAAAAGTCGTATAATATCTTAACGCTTGTTCACGTGTGTTTCGGACGGAGGAGGGTATGGTTGAGTATATATATAAAAGTGAAGGTCGGAGCTAAAGAACGTTTATTACTTAACTGTCCGACGAAGGCAGCACAGTCGTATTCTGACAGTTTTTCCGAGGTACGAGTTCAGATCAGCAAATTCCCTCGTGATTTCCCTGCCACTTTGGTACTGGCACGGAAGGATCGTGAAGTACGCCAGATTTTTTTTATTAAAAAATATTGTTTTAATTTATTGGATTTAACTCTGCAAACGGAATATTTACTTGAACCACGTTGGTAAGTTTGATATAGAATAATTTTATAGAACATAATTGAGTTCTCTGTCAGAAATTTTCAGTTCTAAGAATGGAATTAGACTAAAATTACTGATTGTATATCAGTATTGCTCACATAGAGATTTTTCTGTGGTTTATTTTGAAGTCTTGATACGAGTCTGCATGCTCTTGCTTAATTTTACCATTTTAACGTCCTTGAGCCAGCAAAAGTTGCTTTTTGCAATATTTCTAATTTTGTAATTGATACGGATTGGCTATTAATTCTTGCCACTCTTTTTATTAATTAATACATTTTCTTTAGCACCATCAATTCAGGTAGACTGATAAGGTTAGGTCAAGTGCTTCACATTTAGCATCTATAAAACTGTCTGTCCCGTTGCAGATTTAATCTTTCTCAAATTGTCGTTGTGATGTATTATTATAAATACATTTTGTTCTTAAAATAAATTCTAACTTCTTATTGTTGTAAATGTACCAATTCCTGTTAAATTATGTAGTTCCTTTCTTGGTGTTTTTGAATTTCACTTTAAACGCTAACAGGACAGATTATTTAATTATGAATTTAAATTCAGTTTAAAAAGTGTTCGCTATTATTGGATCTTGCATAATTTTTGCTATAAAGATGTAGCCAATACTCTCTGACCTTGAACCTGCAAGCGTCTCAAATATAGATGAATGGTGGTAACTCTGACGTCACTATTTTAGCATAGGTTAGGTTATCATTGTTAGGTTTAATTATCGGTACTTCTCTTTGTTATACATTGTTGATTGACCTGAAACAGGTATTATATTCTATGTACGGATTATTAGAATCAGTATAAAACCATGATTATCATTGTTGTATGAAAACCAATATGCGATATCTAACTTTGGATCAAATGTGAACAACATTCACGTGTAGTGAGTGATGCAACCTCGTGGACGTTGCGGAAATATTCCATTGAAAAAAATGAGTTAAAATAATTTTGTATTGAGATCTTTTAATAGATTTGATTTGAATGTGTACTTTATATTGTCACGCAATGTTTTGATAATTAATTAACTTTTTAAATGGAATTGTAATAAATTTCTATATTTTTATTGTTGCAGTATAGTGAATTGAAGATACTTTAATTTTAAAAAATGTCGGGGCAGCAGGAATTGCAAATAGATGAGGATTTATCAAGCAAACTTCTACGAAAAGGAAAACAATCTCCTTTTCTTATGCTTGGTACGTATAGTATATTAATTGATAATAGTAGAATTATATAGTTCTTTTAATTTGCACAAATTTATCCACTTGCATATTTTCTGTTGTAAAAGGAATTGCAGGCTTGATCGGTACCTGTGCCTATGGAGCATACAAATTCAAGCATAGGGGTCAGATGTCAACATCGATTTTTTTAATGCAGTTACGTGTTGCTGCACAGGGTGTGGCGATAGGAAGTTTAACATTAGGAATGTTGTATCATATGTATGTAGATTATGTTGTCAAAGCTCCAAAAAAGGAATAAATCTTGTAACCACATTAGAACTAATTGATGTATATAGATGGAATAACTCAGACTTGTGATAAATGTCGGAGCAATTATGCACCAGATCTTGAAATACAGATTTCAAGATGAAAATTATTTGGTCTTCGGAACTGGCTAGAATATTAACTAACACTATAGCCTGTACCTATAGGCATTCAAATTATTTATTACATTATCATTAAGTTTGTTATTATCAGTCCTGTCTACGATAAAAGCAAAAATACTCTGTTATGTATTCAAGGCTGGTACCAATGTGATTAGTACTGCCTCTAAAATGATTAAAATACTTGATATTATTAATTAGTGAAATAGATGTACACACTATTTAATATGAAATCAATTTCTTTCATAATTCTTCTCATGTGTATATCTTTAATCATTAGAAGATTAATTTCAAAAGTATTGAATTGCACGATGTATCAAATGATTGAGAATCAATAAAACCAGTAACAGGAAAAATAAATAATTGTATATTGAAATAATTTATCCCCTCATTGAAATATAGAATTATACTTTTAAATTATAAATGTAAGTCGAAACAATTTGTTTAAAGCAGTCTACCTTGAAACTATCATTTACGTATTTTCGCCTATAAATTGAAAAGTATGATTTAATATTTTACCGGTCGATTGGGATGAAACGATAGACGTAAATAGTATTCAATTAAATTTTCCTTTAATACATTTAAACTGCAAACATCAAGAAAGTAATTGGAGCCGTTTAACATCGTATTCAAATAATCGACAGGAAACGGATTACAAAATTTCCATTGAGGTATTGAAGTGACAGTTAGGAGATCCACACAGATTGTAATTATTACTTTTTAATTTATTCCAGTGAGAGGAATGTTACGTACAACAAACCATTCTGCTTGACGCTACTGAAGTTTCTTTTTTCTCTTTTGCTTGCTCACTTTTTCGCCACATAGTCGGCTCTCTGTTTCATCAATTAATCGCTTAAATTACTTAGCTAGTTTCTCTAAGCTAATCCTTACAAATGTACTGTGCCAAGGGGGTAGATGCCCTCGACCATTTCGTCGATGAGAAGGGAAAGGGCGAGAGCGACATATTTCTTCGTTTCCCGTGAAAATCGAGTAAAAAAGATTCGATATCGATCGATGTCTTCGAAACGATTTAATTACACAGAGTACTTCTGACTGGCACAACGCGGGCTTTTGTTGTGCACTAAATAATCTTCAATTTTTTCTTCTAGTTTTCACTTCCCAAACAGAATCCCTCATGCCTTTTCAAATCTGTATTGCTATTAATATATTACACAGTATTCGGCGAGCATTAGAAACTGTAATTACACTGATCGTACGAAAAAATTTCGAAAAATCATTTCATTGTGACGGACGATGATGTTCTCTGGAAAAGCCCATGTTATACAAGTCTTAAATGATTTCGCTAAATTCCCAAAACTCGAAAAGCCGTGTACTCAATATTTCCTTAGTGTGCCATCTTGTATTTTCTATATCCTTCTTGCACATTGAACTTATTTTCATACGACCACATAACTTTGAGTGCCAAGCAAGAAATTTCGAGTACGAGGGATTCTAACAAATTAAATTCGAATAACTATAGTCGGACTTCAAGATTAGTTTCATTTTACGGAGTCATATGCTTGTCATGCAATGTAAAAGAGTCACCTACATATGAAACTGATCTTGCGGCCCAATTATAAATCTAAATCGAAGATCGAGATCCGAGATGAAGAACAAAAAATGGAATACATTCGTCCACAGCAATATCAAAGATTCAATGAGCTTAACAAGGTCGAATTGGATTTTAAGTAAATGTACTTATGCGGTACCAGAAGGCTGGAGATTACAAAATACATGATTTCTCGACTCCGATTCCCGACGCCGAATGTACACGTAATATATAATAAATACAGGAGGAGCGTGATTCTTCTTCTACTTCTTCTTGTTTACTCGGACAAGAAGGTCTCGGCTATTGTGTGCCGAGTCTTTCGAACCTTGTCCGCCTCGCTCGGTGTACTTGTCTAGTGAAAATTCATCTAGAAATTGCGATTTCGAAAAATGAGGTCACGGCGCCTGCCAGCGAACCGTCGTACGGCCATGAATCCGGCTTGATTTGAGCTGCTGCCGCCAGTTCGACAGAAACGCTTAAGCTGCAATCACACGATTGTTACAGTCCTTATTATATCGGCCCTTTAGAAAAGTTGAGTCATTGCAATTGGTACGACAAGTGCCGCATTTAATAATCAGTAATCGTGTAACGCATCTTATTTTTTTTTGTTCAGGTAGTATTAAAAGTTTCTTTTTTTTTCATTAAGTTTAGCTTTCAAACTGGCATCACTGTTACTCGTATTGTTGTCACGCCGCTTGATACTTCAGCTACCTTCAAGTTTGAGTTTGAGAATTCTGCGAACCTGTGAAGCCCTGCGGCGGTTGTCCGGGTACGGAGTATTGGGGCCTGAAGTTGCCGAAGTTAACGGCACCGGCGAAGCTAGCCGAAAGTTGCCCTCCGGAGAAACCAGCTGGGAATTGCTGTGCTAAGAGTGCAGCCTGTCCAGTTTGCGTACTACTGCCACCTGGTGCTGTAGCAGCCAGTCGGCTCAGGATCGACCTTTCCGACATTTGCAGTCGTTGAGCAACTGGTGGAATCCGAGCCAACGTCGCCGGTAGTCGACTTACGTCTGACTTCATGTCCGACAGGAGTTCCTCTAATTGATTCAGTACCTGCACCCAAGAACAAAATGTATCATTACTATAAAAAAATTACCCAGCTAATTAATCTTCGTTAAATTGTATCCTGCCATAATCTATGTACCTTATGAAGAACTGCATTGGCTGGCTTATTGCCAGCAAGACTCTCCTTGCTAAGGTGCTGATGGGACTCGGCAAGGCACTCAACTTCGGCGAACCTTGCATTTAGACTCATCGCCGGATGGTTCGGATCCTGCGTGAGATTCAGGTACGCTGCTCTTCTCAGTTGCTCTTCAATAACCAGAGCTTGTTCCAGTAACTTGAATCGTCTCGCCAAGAATTTATTCTTGATTTCCAAGAAGTTACCCTTGCCCACGTCCATTTTGAAAGGTTCGTTGATGATAGCAAAACTATACATAATGAAATTGTGTAACTTTAAAAATTAACAAAGAAATTCAAGTGTAACCTATACGTACCGTATGTCATTTTGTATGTCCTGCCAACGACCGTAACCATGTGTGACGATACCGGCAAGTAGCCAGTAGTCGTGTCGCCGATGCCAAATTTCATACTCCCGTCCAGGAACAGCGGCCTTCTCTTCGTTCAGCCAAAGTGTATGGAGTTCAGTGAAGCCACCGTCGGCAATATTGAACATGAATTTACGCTTTGGCTTCATAGATTCCGAATCCGAATCCTTTGTCTCCTTCTCCTTGCCATCTCGTTCCTTATAAGATATCAATATTTTATTTTGATTTTACATTAAAAAGTTACTCTAAAATATTTTAATAATACACAAAGAAATTATAGAGCAGCTTCAACTAACCTCTCGCTTCTCTATTTCCTCTTCGTCATCCTTCACAATAACAACGTCTTCCTCGGACTCAGATTTCGGTTTACTTTCACTAGCCTCTGTCTTGTCATCCAGCTTAATCACAGTTTTATCGTCCTTCCCTTCGCCAGTATCCTTCTCCCGTTCTTTATCTTTATCGGACGCAGACTCAGGAGCCTCTGTATCCTTTTCCTCTTTCTTGACTTCATCCTTAACCTTTACCACTTCCTCAGCGTCTTTAGAAGTTTCCTTCGATTCCTCCTTCGAATCTTTCGCATCCGAAACCTGTAATTGAATTTAAAAAAGAACAATATTAAAAAGTATCGAGAAATAAAAAAGACAATCTACACAAAGTCTACAATTAAATAAATTTTTACGCATATGATAATTATCATTTACACCATTATAAATAATTATATTTACCTCCTTGTCCTTGGCATCATCTTTCTGATCCTTACTATCGGATTCAGTTGGTTTGTTAGATTCGGCAGTACCCGAAGTGCCGACGGACACAGGAGTTGGAGTTGGAGTTGCAGCTGGACTCGGACTTGGTGCATTAGAAGTCGCAGGTGTAGCACTGGTACTGCTGGTCCCAGTGGCAGCACTGTCGCCAGCACCACTTTCCACCTTTACTGGTTCCACTGGCTTGCGAATCATCTCCGGCATCGAGTAGTATCCATTGATGTGTTCAAATTCCTGAACCTATTGATTATTAACATTAACAAATTACAATGTCAATGTAAGTGTTTTGATCTTGAATAATAAGATACACTTCATGAAATAATTATATTTAACTGTATGCTTACTTTCTTACGAATGAGAGACATCACGCCAATCCTGGTGAGGACGTGTTGTCGACTTAGACCTTCCCTTGGTACACCGTCTGCGAATGTCTCTGCGTTGTCAGCTCCAGGCTCGCAGAGGTGTCGCATAAACAGCGACACGTACGCCTTGAAGTTCTTTTCGGATTTGCCCCGCAAGTCTCGCACCAACCTACAGATTAATGCATTTCCAACTACAATTCTTGCCCTCGTAATATTTCTTTCAATAAGTTAGTATTTACTACAGTGTTATAAAAATATTATATTATCCTTTTAAAGATGTCACTGCCATTTACTGCATGTTGATCAATAAAATTATTAGGCTGGAAATCAATACATAGAAGTTTTAAAAAATACAGATATATGGAGCGTCAAGTTGAACAGCGAATGGCGTACTGTGCTACATGTGATTTCGAATTGTCATAGTAATTGCAAGAGAGTGTATTGGGTATAAATATGAAATTGTCAGTGAAGAGATTTATTTTGGCTCGTGTAACTAACCACTGAGAATTGAATGCATCCTGGGGCGGCATTCCATATCGCATAATAGCATTCAAGAAAGCCTTACGCTGCCGGGCATTGAATCCCAGAACCTGAAACCAATGAAAAATATATATACAGACTGTTGTATGAATTTTTATGTTTACGAAAGATGCATTTATACTGTCATTACTAGATTGCAAGTTGACCAATCATAAAATGAGAACGAGCAAAAGTGTTTTGAGTAATTACGAATAATCTAAAAAGATAAGAAATGATAGTAAGAGAAAGAAGAAGGAGCGTACCTCAATATTTCCATTGACTCTAGCCAAAAGTGGTGGCAGTGGTCTGTCCTTTTCATCTCGCCTTTCCAATCGGCGTCTGCTTCGTCGTGAAAGTAAATCGCCATCACCTTTCTCATCGAAATCATCGTCCTCTTTGTCATCGTCACTTGGCGCACTGAAGTCGCTATTGTAATCGGAAAGATTCTCTTGCCAAGGTTGATCGTCTCGGGCACCCTGATCTCCGGTAACTCCACCGTCATTATAGTTGACTTGCTTCCGTACACGCTTACCTGGAGGAAGAACATTCGATTCAAGAAACAGATTATAATAGACATACGACTATCCTTAGAAAAGATATTAACCTTTTCCAAGAGTTCTGGCAATGTCCTCTTGCTGTTGCTCGTAATGATGCCGTAACAGTTTTATCCAGTAAGCAGGATCCGTATTTTCAGCCTCCTGCTTGATGATCTCTGTGTCGGCTTCTTCTTCAGTTTCACCTTCCTTAGTCACGTAAGAAGCCACTTTGAATGAACTGAGATACTCGTTGGCCCAATTTTCTTTCTGTTCGATTCCCTCCTTGCTACGATCCAATAGCTCAGCAACGGCCTTGTCGTCGTAATGAATAGCTTCATCTTCTTTGCCTTCCTCTTCTTTGAATAACTCCTCAGTACCTGCATATCAGATCACATATATAGATCTTTGCATTTCAAATAATTCACCATCAAACCTTAAGAATAGTTTGGCTTGTGATAAAGATAACATTCTTAAGGATCTTCTGAATGATTATTTTTCTGCATTAAATATATAATTTTGATTTTCTAAAAATAAATAGATTATATGATTTCGAAATCTTACCAAATCGTAAAATATCGTCAAGTTCCTGCTTGCTGAAGTTAGCGCCCTTGCCACCCATACCAGGACGCACGACAAGATGAGTGAGCATCATCTTTCTCTTTGCTACCTGGGTGACGCGTTCCTCGACTGAATTACGAGTAACGAAGCGATAAATCATGACTTTGTTAGCCTGGCCAATACGATGAGCTCTGCTGAAAGCTTGAATGTCGTTGTGCGGATTCCAGTCGGAATCGTAAATTATGACGGTATCAGCAGTTGCTAAATTAATACCCAGACCACCAGCTCTCGTTGATAGTAAGAACACAAATTGTTGCGCCCCTATAGATAAAAATATTATTGATTATGTCACAAGCCCAAAATAGGATGACAGTAAAATTAATGCGTTATAAAACGCGTCTATTCAACATAATCTTAATGCCGCGTATGTCATATATTTCTACTTTCATTAAAAAAAAGTATCTATGTAAAATAAAATTGAATTATGCAAAATTATGAGAATTATTTTACACTTCTTTTTAGCTTACCAGGAGCATTGAAGCGATCAATAGCTTCCTGACGTTGGGCTCCAGTAATGTTTCCGTCGATCCTTTCGTACTTATAGCCCTCACCCTCGAGGTAATCTTCTAAAATGTCAAGCATTTTCGTCATCTGCGAGAAAATCAATACACGATGTCCGTCATCTCTGAGTTTCTTTAACATTTTGCTAAGCAGTACGAGTTTTCCAGCTGCTTTGATTAGAGCGGAAGTTTCGTAATTGCCATTCGGTCCGGTTGGAGCTTCTTGTGATGCTGCGGGGAAGAGGTAAGGATGGTTGCAGCACTTCTTCAGGTCCATCATTATGTTGAGTAACGAAACTTGCTGGCCACCGCCCTTGGGATTCAGTGCCTCGAAGTTCCTTGTTAGGATATACTTGTAATATTTCTTCTGCATTGGCGACAGCTCAACACGCACGATGAATTCGGACTTGCTCGGCATGTTCTGCGATAGAATAAAAATGTTCATTTATAACCATGAAATAGACTTGAAAAAACTGCTGAATGATTACAAATAAAAGTATCAAGGCAGAACAATAAAGTCATTAACAAGCCTTACCTTGAGCACGTCGGCTTTAAGTCGTCTGAGCATATGAGGCCCAAGCATCTCATGAAGTTTCTTAACCTGTTCCTCTTTCGAGATGTCAGCAAATTCATTTTGAAAAGCAGCTAGGTCGTTGAACTTATCCCGACAGAGGAAGTTGAGCAGATGGAAGAGTTCCTCAAGGTTATTCTGAAGAGGCGTACCAGTAAGCAATAACTTGTATGCAATATTGTACGATGCAAGGAGACGGAAGAATTTCGATTGATTGGACTTGAGTCTATGAGCTTCGTCAACTACCAAGACGGCCCAATCAATCGATCCCAAACATGCGGAATCGATGGATATCAATTCGTAACTTGTGAGGAGAACATTGAACTTGATCTGGGAACTTCGTATCTTCGACGCTCGTCCACTGCGCACAGCGCCCTCATCAAATGATAATTCATTCTCACGGATGACTATTCGACTGTCCTTATCACCTGTTGGAATATTTCATAAAACAGTTAGTCCTGATAATGATCACGATGATGACTGGTACCACTTTCGCTTTCCATTTATTATCCATTGAATAGGCAATACGATGAGTCTCGGTACTAACCCACATAAGTAACGCAGTAAAAGTCTGGAGCCCAGGTCTCGAATTCTCTTTCCCAGTTGATGATAGTGGAAAGAGGTACAGATACCAAAAATGGTCCCTTACAGTGACCCTCCTTGTACAGAGAGTAGAGGAATGTGATGGTCTGAATTGTTTTACCAAGACCCATCTCATCAGCGAGGATAGTGTCTATCCCTTGACCCCAGGAGTACCTCAACCAATTGAGACCCTAAGAAAGTGAAAAACGGAACAACTTGATTAAACGCTGATACACATTTGTATATTTACAAGTGTTAAGGAACGGGTCCTCTATTCCTCTATTGTTATATTATTATTGATATGGATGTTCTTCATTTATTGTTGGTCCGACGAGCGGTTACGTCGGGTCTATGTTCATGGTTATCAGTTCTTAGTTATTTGTTTCTCTGTTCGTGGAATCGACCACGAAGCGTTAAGGAGGTCGACTAGCGGTTACGTCGGGCCTTGCTTAGTGCTGGCGCCAAAAGTTCTTCCCAAAAAGGATGCCCGATTTACCTTGTGGGTAACGCGGCCTTAGACTCGTGTGCCGATGATTTGTTTTATGATATCTTTGAGTCCGTAACAACGAGACTGGTTTCAATTAATTACGAAAATTACCTCAAGCTGATATGGATGCAGTTGCATCCCAGTTAAGTCCAAGTAGTCAGGTTGACGTTCGTATTTCTTCTTAAGATCGGTCGTTGGTTTGTCTGGGGGTGGCGTGTAACGTTTTGGCGTTCTTTCTTCGTCGTCGATAATTTCTCTAGTTTTGGATTTCTTTCCTTTACCTAACGAACGTCATTTATTGTTAGGAATTTATTATGGCATCTGTTCAATCATATTCTATTATACCCAAAGTTATGGATGCACAATAATGATTATCAAATTTCAAATTGATCATGATAATATAAAAGTCAAGTAACATGTACCTTTTTTGCCTTTGCGAGAAGAAGTACCATCGCAGCAGTTGGCAGCCCTGAGATCCAGGTAGTACTCGATCGCCTGTTTAAGACCGGGAATATCCTCATGTTCGTCCTCCCAGGTTGCTTGATCGTAACCAAGCTCGCGCCATTTCACTAAATAAGTTGCTCGGCCGTCTCGCTGGAGTCGATGATTGATAACTCTGTGTACCACTAACCATTCTGGACGTACTCCATACCGATAGAAACGTTCCTCCAGATTATATTCGTCGCGGTTTGTCGCGCCGTCTTGTTCCTTCAATCTTTTCACACGGGAATCACTCTCGTCCAATGGCTCCTCAAGTTTTGGTGGCTCGTCCATGTCATACTTGCGCGAGTAATTTCTACATTTTGAAAAATAAATTAAAAATTAGCACTTCGTTTGAAACTTCTAAAGGTCAGATTAATCAAAATATTGAAAGGGCAACTCAAAATCTGAATAACTAAGTCAAAGCAGTCATTGAAGACCCTCTTGTCAGATTCTCACGGGAAAAGAATTTGACAAAAATCAATATGAAAATTATATACTAGTCCACGTTGAAACGTAGACCGGGATCTATTTTACAGGTAATTCAATGAAGTTTTTACCTGAACATAAGAGGATGAAATACATCCAATTGAAGTTCTGTGATCCAGTCGCAGTGCCAATACGACATTTCTGCCCATTTGACGAAAAATTGTCGTATCTTTCGCTGTTTCGGCGCAGCTTTGCTCGTCGACGGCTCCTCCGATGGAGTCTCCGGACAATCCTGCCATCTCCAGGTTAAAATCTTGGCCACTGTATTTAATTATAAAATATTGCTTTATACATTCGAATAAAAGTTTCATTCGCAATGGCTGGAATTGTATGAGATTTATTTATGAAAAATATGAAAAAAGATAAGTACCTTTGCCACAAAGAGGAGGACACGAACATCTAGGACATTTCCAGTCGCCGTCTGGGATTTCAGATAATGGAGGATTAAGACAATGTGTGTGGTATGCACTGGTGCAACTGTCACAGCAAAGCAATTCCCCGCCATCCTTGCAAACTCGACAGAACTCCATGTGTTCATCGTCGTCGTCAGCCGCACCTGTTAGGATAACAATGAAATCGTTCTGCTATTAGAAAAGTATTCTCTCAAGCACCATAATGTCTGACATTACATTTACATTCAATAAATACATGAAATTTTGACAACTATTAACAACAATGAATTTATGACACCAAAGTCAGGTATTGGAATTCACCAAAAGAATAAATCCATAATTTATAAATTTGTTTTTAATTTGAAAACTGACATCAAATTTCTTATAATTATTAACATAAAAAATCATTTAAGTTAAACTACTTTAATGATTATATGTCGTTAAACAAAATTATGAATGTTTAAATCATGCTGTATCAATTGAGTTTAACCAGAGAAACAATTGTTCAACAAAAAAAATGTAATGTCTATCGTTAGGGAATTATAGGAATAGGAGTTTGGTTTTCGATAGGAAAGGTGTTTAGTGAGAATACCTGAAATACCTTCTCCTTCGCAGTGAGGGCAGCTCCATTTGCCTTCGGGTGTCTCTTCAAGTTCTGGTTCCAAGCAAACCAGATGGTAAGCACGAGGACAAGTGTCACAGAGAATAATCTCACCACCTTGCTGACAGACTTCGCAATAATCTTGGTGGTCAGTCTGTTTAGTCAAAGAGGCAAAACAAAGTTCACGGTCATTCTAACAATCATAGATTGTACTTTGGTTATCCATTTTATAGGACATTATTCTTAATGGATAAGTGTGACAGTAATTATGTCTTCGAAATTCTTAAGACTTAGGTGAAGATCGAAGACAGAATTGCCTCACTAGATAGTATTGTGAAAGGATATGATTGCATGATAAACAATCATTAGCATTAAACCAAGAGGCTTTCCTATTAAACATATACTTTCGTATTCATTGAAAATATACTAATAACTCAAATTCGCTCGTCTAGAATATACAGAAGATAAATCTGACCAAGATGACACTGTATCCTGTTTTGTCCTCGACGAAAGAAATATTAAAAATAAATGACAAATATTATTGGACAAGTAAAAATAGATAATTAAGTGAGGTAACATTATCCAAACCTGAAGAGCTGAATGATTACTTGATTAATTTCAAAATTGTTATTTGTGTGTTAAATATTAAGCATGCAAATCAGACAACGAAACCTTATTGATATGACGCAATTGAGGCAGAGCCAAGCAGCGAAGCATATGCGTTCTTGATGTTTCAAATCAAACCTTTATTATCCCTAACAGTTCTCTAAATGCGTTTTATTAGACAATTATAATTTTCGACCTCGCCCTTTTTCGATCAAAATCAAAATATCGAAAACGTTATAAATATTTCTAGATTAAGTTAACACATTGAAGAATAATTGGATCCACAAAGTGTAATTAGAGATCGTGGTGTAATAAACATAAAACAAAATAAACAATTTGAAAAGTACGAAAAATTAAACGTGGACAAGGGCGAAACCGAAAGTTTGGATTCTCGACAAAGCTAGAACGGCCATTAGAACACATGAAACAATTTTGAAATTTTGAATAACGTTAAAGCAAGATTGATTGTAGCCAATGATTGATGATTGGAAACTAAACGCCGCTATACTTTTTTGAGTTTAAATCTATGGCGAATAATCCGTCACCTGCATAATATATGGACAAGTTAAATAGGCATAGTTCTGAAAATCCGTTATTCCAAATTAAATAATAACACGAGAATGTCCATTTATCTAGTCCAGGGAAAGACGATGGTCTGAATGATATCGTTGTCTGAATAAAATGAATTAAAATCGATTAATCAATGATTCCGAAATTGAAATTGGACGAATAAAGGATCGAGTAATCAATATATACGAGTGTCTAACGCATAATGTCTCGAAGACCATAATAAGGTGATTTAAAATTTCATTGATGAATGACAATATAAAATGATCGATCAGTGAGGCGCAAGAAGCGACGCTTGAAACAGCAACGAACGCAAGATTCCCCGAGCTGCTCGACTCTACCTGGAGACCTTCCTCGCCGTCTGGAAATTTCGAGGTCGTCTTTGTCTTCTTTTTCTTCTTGGTCTTGTTGCCGATTTTGGTTTTAGCCTTCCTGCGTACTGGAGGCTCTGCCGGTGGTTCCGCATTGCCGTCTTCGCCAACGCTAACTCCACTGACGGTATTACCGCCATTTCCACCTTTTGCACTCGATCCATCTTGACCTGGTGCCTCCTCTGCATCCGCCAGCATCTGTTCGAACTCCATGTCCGAATCACGGTCCGATCCAGCACCGCTTCCTTCGGCATCTTCATCCTTTTAACGTCAATGAAAATAGCGTTTACACTTTGACTTGATATTACACGTAAATACTAAAACATAACATATTTCTGATACAAGAATTATCCTAGCGCATTATGCATATGGTGTGTCATAAGTATGGTAAAAAGTTCTCCTTATTCTTCAACAAGGACAGATACGGCAGTGAGTTTGAAACTAATGTAGGACACAGAAAAAAATTGTGTTATACGCGTACTTTTTTCTTTATGAACCTGATGCACAATCTGAAATTCAAAACTATTTCGTTGCAGCAGTATGCAATATAAGTAAAACTTCTTCCTCGATATGCATTCGTGCTTGCTACGTAAGTTTATAGAGAGACCGTCCCTAGTAATATCTCTGGATTCTGAGACAGACAAGTAGCAACGATTACAGTTATCTTTCAGTAAAGTGTTATTGCGTAACACACATTAGATTAATGTAACGAATACAAATATTGAATATATGTAAATACAGAAAATTTCCTAACAGAAGATGAAACAATTCTCCGATATTGACATTAAAAAAAATAAAAAAAATTGGCAAGATACGATAATACAACAAAGAAATAGAACTTACCGAACTACCCCGTTTGCGTTTTCCTAGTTTGATTTTAAGAGTCGGAACCTTAGATGCCTTTTTGCCTTTCTTAGCTCGAGAACTCCGTGACTTCTTCTTGCGATCGCTGTCCTCATCTTCCTCGTCCTCTTCATCAACTTCCGGCACAGGAACTCCGCGATTCGCCCTGGAGCTCCTGCTGTCGTCGTCGATATTAGCTGACGATACGTCAGCATCTGGCTGTGTATGCGGATTAAGCTCGGAGAAGTCGCGCCATTTTGCTGCCACCAACATCATCAACTTTGACATTGGAACCTGAAATATCCCAGGACACGTCAGTTACAATACAGTAGTACCGTGCATGACTATAAAATAATTGACAGGAGGTTCTGAAAGTTTATTAACACATTCCAAAGCTTAATAAATGTCTATAACAACCTCAAAAATAAACCTACCTTCGGATTCTCCTTGGCAAGAAGTGGCCTAACATGTTGCTGGAAGAGCTTGTACGTCGTTAGATTTTGGAAATCCGCATCAGAATATTCTATCTGTACATCAGTTAGTCCAAAGGTGCTGCAAACTTCCTCGATAGTTGGCATTCCAGTAGTTGGTTCTTGACCACCGCCTTGATTCGATGGTGTGTTGTGACTCGATGACTTCCTGGAGGAGGACTTCCGACTCTTGCGATTACTCGCGTAATCGCTATCATCACCGGCACCCTCGACTGCTTCGCCACCGCCAAAGTCACTCTCCTGCAATCAACAGTTTACCATCTAAATATTCCATTGGACGTGGTACAGCAATGCAGATAACAGTGGACATCATCTTAATATTCGTCGCGACCAAAAGTATACTAGATAACAGTTTAACGTTATTAGAACGATACAATAAAGAGTAATCACATTATTTGTAATGCAGTAACGCTTGACCCTCGTCAGTCTGAGCTGTTAGTACTAAAGTTACAGTAGATGGTTTGTATAATTGGAGGAAAAATCGCTTCACAAGTTAACTCACATCGCCGGAATCAGATTTTTTCTTTTTCTTCTTCTTCTTTCCTTTTTTATCCTCACTACGTGCTTTTCGTTTCTTGCCCTTTTTCTTCTTTCGTTCCTCGGGTTCATAATCGTCGTCCTCCTCCTGAAGAGAAGAGACATTATTTTTCATTTAATTTTTTTTTTCGTTTTTGATTACAAAACGTGAATTACGGTTTTCTGATAAGCATTCAGACTTTTAATATAAGAAATATATACTAACTAATCTTTGTGATTCTTCGGCGTCGGACGAGCCATCCACTGGCTGTCCAGTGGTTGAAACAGGAACACCGCTCTCGTCCACATCGTCTTCGCCTGGAATAAAAAAATTGACCTTTTAGTAAATCTCAATGAGATATTAAAGATATAATAAAAGATTGACAATAGATTGCTGATAATAATAAAAGAAGAAATTTTTAGTTTCTTTAAATTTTTTAAAACGTATACGTCATTTCATTACGGGAGGAGAAAATATTCCTCGAGCCAAATGAGGAGTACATGGACTCGGAATCCCTTATTGAAAAATCAATAACGACGGATTTGCTACTTTTGTTTCTTATTGCGGACGCAATTGACTCTCAAATCCAAAATGGCGAATATTCAAAGAAAAGCAATGAAATTCGTACATAGGCAGAAATCAATATGTATACCCTGGATTTAGCATTCTTAGCGAATTCAACCACCATTAGTATTTTAGATGTCAATCCTCTCGAGCGCCCCTGTCTTCATTTTAATCTAGCATAAACCACCTAAATATTAATAATTTATGCTCTCCGCGACCTCGAAAATTGAAAAGACTAATAATCGGTAATAATTAAAAAAGGCAAATTACTGGTGTCAAACTCTAATAAAAAACTAATATAATTAAGATACAAAGAATTCAAGTTGATTAAACAAAATGAGTATAATGAGACCTCGCGTATGTCTCATCCAAATATTCTAACTTTCTTATCGAACGATAAAAAAGGCATTGGTTTCTCAAATAAGATAAATACCGATTATAAATTTATATTTGAATAATTCTGGTTTCGAGGAATCCATGAAATCAATATAAAAAAAAGAAATGTCTTTTCGAGGCGATTCTCCAACTGGACGATAACCGAAACTATCACAATTAATACAGGCATAAATATTGTTTCATATTTTTAACTGGATAGTCCTAAAAAAACAGCATAAAGGATTTAATAACAACATTAGTTTACAGAGTTATCGGCATACGTTGGAGAGCAGTCCTCTTAAAAAAGAAAATTCAAATATTCAAAAAGACTAAGAATATTCTCAAAAATCCTCGACACGCATTCGAGCAATGCGAATGGACTGGGGCAATGCTTTGTGCGAGTGTACAGCCGCCATTTTCTTTGAAAGGGCACTCGCAGCAGGCGTTTTACTTTCACCGATGCTACTTTACCGACACGGTTCGCATTTTCGCTCTTTTCATTTTGAAAACAGAAAGGGAAACCTCGCATTTTCCAGGATTTTCTATCAATATTAAAAAGCATCAGCATACTTGAAATGCTCAAGGATTTTTTGGCCATCCATTTTGGAATATCGTTAGTTCTGCCGTCGTCGTCGTTATTATTATCATTATCATAATAGGAGCACCCTTACTATCAAGGGGCGACTGATACTGTGAAATATAGAAAAATGTAAAATATGCATTGACCTTTTCGCCAAACAATTGCAGCAAACATATTTATTACCTCTCCTTTGAAAAAAATAAGTTATTAAGGTCTGTGTGTATTATTAAAATCATTGTATATCAGAAATAAGTTAGATAAGTTCTGATAATAAAAATACGCATGATATATGCAGTTGGCTAATTGATTGTTGTATGTAAGAAATATGACTATTGTAATCGCAATGGTACTTTATGCTGTGTGATATATGGATGCCGGTTAGATCATGTAAGTTGTTAAAGGTGATTAAAGTTTCAAGTATGACTAACTGATTTGTATATCTGTGGTCAGGGTAGAATAAAGGAATTAGTAAGATAATATTTGTTTTATGCGGTTTAATTAAGATTTTTATATATGGATGCAACGTTATTATTTGCTGTCAATTTATTAAGCAGTGGGTATGAATTATATTAATTTAATATTTTTCATATAAGGCTTTACTGTTACTTATTGGAAGCTTCAAATATGTGTTTATAGGTATTGGTAATATAGTTTGTTCTATTATTATTAACAATTACGATTTTAATTACTGTTGCTGTGTAAAGCATATCTATTTCATGTATTTGCATGGGAAAAAAACTAGGTCATGCAATCTTTTTTACTTTTATTTAATATTTATGTATATATTGATGAGATAGTTATTATTTTATAATAATAATAAGATTATGGTTATTTATATTGATCTAAGGAATACCAATTTATTTTTGCAATGTTCAAGTAGCTATCACTTTGATAAATCTATAATAATTTTCAAATTAAAATTGATCTTGCATATTAATTTATAATTAAAAACAAAGCATTATTGATGTTTCAGTAAACTCTATCAATAGCAAGTTGATGCTGACATTATATATAATACAAAGAAATATTAACCGATGATTGATAGTAAATAAAAATTAAAAGAAAAGAGTAATAATTACATTATATGATACAACTGACTTGAATTGCATTATTAAGTTTGAGAAATATGAACTACATTCAGCAAACTGACAACAGTTCAGTGAATACTATGGTTTGTTTATTGTGATAAAGAAAAGACAAAGTTCTGTGCCATAATCAAAATTAACATTTACTTTGAGACATTTTACAATACCTGCCTATTCACTAAAGGAGCTTTAGTTTAAACAAATAGGATAAACCGAGCGAAGCAACATAATTATTAAAATTAGTTACCATTCTTACTATTATGAGAACTGATATTTTTTACAAATAAATCAAGTCACCATTTTCTTTAATATTCCTCGCATCGCATGATTTCATAAACTGTCGTTACGGTTCCCTTCTTTTTGTGAGTATTGCAAAGCCAATGATTATGATCGTTCATACGTCAAATCTAAGAAAAGCTAATGCAATATTCCATGCTACAATGAAAGCTACAAGTAAAAACACTAAGCACCAATCGAATTAATAAGAACGATAAAGATTGAGATTAAAAGAATCGAGTACTAAAAAGAATGCGACTGAGATAGCGAGTGCAAAAAAAATGTGAAAGAAAGAAAATATACGATGCCATGTGAGCAACGCTAAAGAAATCCATTGTAAAGAGACTATTTATTGTCTTATAGAATCCATATTTTTTCGGACTATTACAATGTTGAACAAGTGTTAGGTTAGCCGGTCGGTGTCGTTCCGGAGATCCCGATGAGCGGGTAATTTCCGGTTCGTATTCTCGTTATCGTAGCTACGATTGACATGGCAGCCATGCTAGCTACGTATGAAAAGCGCGCGTCCTGCCTCCAAGAGCTCGGAATGCTTTACAGGCTAAACTAGCTAAGACTTACCGGCGTAACTCTCATCAACTTCCTCGTCCGATGCCATTCTGAAAATCGGTCGATTGCTTCACCGATCACTCACTCACTGACGAGAACGAGCACGACAATACTATCACGATCAAAAACACCGAAATACGACATAAACGCGATCGCGCTTCGGCGTGCCGTCACTTCGCTGGCTGGGAACGCTTCTCCTCGATCGCCGATCGGCTTGCCCCCACTTTTGCTGTTATTTCTTTTCGCGCTGTATCTCAACCAATTGGGAATTGTATTAATGGAGGAGACCAGTCGCAGCTTCGGCGAATGAAATGAATCGAAAGATGATGGATACAAAAGTATCGACGAATCATATCACGCCTTTTCCTGCCAGCCAATAGGATTTCACTTTCTTGAGTTGATTTCACAATGTTGAAATACTGAAAAATACTTTGTACCAATGCTTTGTACTTTTTATATTAGATGACGCTTTTTAAAATACATGTGTATTTAAATTATCTACGATTTTTTGGTTTAAATTATGAAAATTGTTCTCGTATTTGAAATCTGTTACTATTTCTTATTAATGACGTAACTGATGGGCGAATTAAAATGGGAAATAATGATTTTTTAATGGATGTCTAATTAATTGGGGTCGCGTTCATATGCGGACTTTTTGTGTATATAGCATTGATCTTTTATTTCTATTTTTATATCTTGAGTTATTCTTTAACATTTATTTTGTCTTGCTGCATATTCGAAATTAATTGTAATATGGGATATTGGTATAAATTTACTTTCGAGGCGATAACGTTAAACTTTTATTTTTACAAAAACGTATTTTGTAATATGGAACGTTAAACGTTTACAGTCTTACAATAATGAAGTAATAGTGAATATTTAACTTATATAATATATTGTGTTACTGATAAGTTGATAGTATAATTACAATCAATGATTGTATTAGCTCAATACTTTTATTAATATTTAGGAATAATATTGGTCACAATTGTTATCGTATATGTGTCAGGGTACAATACACATTGTAGTCGAAGCTAATGATCATTGTGTTCCTGATATTGCAAGAACTAATTCTAAATTCATATACAGTTCTTCAATAGTTAAAGGAATCTCTTGGAACCTGGCAAATAAAATAACAATCTAATTATGAGCCGTCACTGGACAAGCTATTACCATGCCATGAAAATTAAAATTCTGGAAACATCTTTAATGTGAACCAAGAAAGCAGTTTCAATACCAGTTAAGATTCAACCATATTCAACGCTTAGAGCACTAAGTCCCTTTTTCTTAATGGCTTCTGCTACAGCACGCTCCAGAAAATCATGCTGTTGCACACTTTCATCTTGATGTTCATTTAATTGTGGTTCATTTGATACAGAACCCACCACAATGCTTGGAATTGTTTCCCGATTTGCAGGGCAGAAGCAACGTATATCTTGTTGGTAACAACCAAACGATTGTGCTGATTGTACTAATTCAGCTGACTGCACTAATCCATGATTCTGTATTGCCATCATTACTGCAGTGTCCTCCATTTCAGTTCCACAAAATAATCGGATTCGTGGATCTTCCAAAGAATAAGAAGCAGCAGGAGTCATAGTATGGATTTCCAGTAACTGATTTATTGTGTTATCCACAAAGCCCCTTGCTACTTGGCAAGCTTGCCATTTTTTCAATTTGTCGCGTGCACGACGTTCTGCTTCTTCACTCTCTGACAGCTCAGATGATTGTGTCTCACTAGGCTGTTCTCGATCCTAAAAAAATGTATAATTGAATAAAGTGATACAATAAATTGTATTATCTCATAAAAATGTCAACATTCACACATAAAATTCATCTTAATCTGACATAAACTTAGTGTAATTAATGAAGAGTAATTAATAATATTTAACAAGACAATAATATAAGCTACTACTGTATTGATAAACGTATACACGTAGAATTATATCAAAACAATTAAGAAACGTCAAAATGAATAGTTCAGTGAGGAAGATTACCGATGATCGGAAATGATCAGAATTGAGAAAACGAGTGCGTGGTCGTTTCGAAGGAGCAGGACGCTCGTGTTCATCAGTGTCCGACTCCTCGACGTCTGTTGCCATTTTTTAAGTTCTCAAAGATGTCCAAGAGTAGGCAGAGGTAATTTAAGGAACTGGCATTTCAGGGCGAGCAAAGCGGGAGATCAGGTCGATTGACACTACAGCGATTCGGAAATGCGTTGAATTTCTTAATCGCTTCAGTCACAACTCCTGTTATGACCAATCGACCACTTGCTCCACATTCGCTCGCCCGTTATTTTGCCCGATAATACATTTTTGTTGTATCAGCAACGTATGAATGTCGATTGATGTCGATGCACAGAACTCAGGCAGATCAGTTAGATACTTTTGACAGGTCAAAATGGTCGCCACTTCCAAGTCACTGTATATCTAAACTTTACAGAATACAGCTATTTCAGTAAATAACTAATCCAATACATTTATTACAAAACATATTATTACCAGAATTGAATTTGAGGAATAAAAGTGCATTAATTCAAATCTAAGTCAAAGTAAGGGATACTATACAGTGTTCTACTTGATCTAATAGTTGAAATTCAAAATGGCGTAAATATACAAGGATTTTGACAGTATTTTGACAGCTCCAAGATGGCAGGTACTAGCTGAGCTTTTATTAGGAAATGCCATTGCGTTTACATTATCGTTAATTATCAACAGAATAATAGCACAATAATTTCCATACAGTTTTATTCGTAATTCTCGACGTATACACATTTATTCGTCGTACAGTTTTTGATTGAACTAGATAGTTCTAGATGCTGGTTTGATTAACCGGATGAATTTTTCAAAATGGCGTGAACATGTGTCCGTAATCCTTCGGCAGAATTTTGACGGATACTGTTAATCGTTTCCAGAAATAATTAAGTATTGGTCCTTATCGACAACCTGACGACGACTGCTCACTGGTATGGCCGTGTGTGGCGAATATATCAGAAGTCAATTTCCAACAATAGACGACGATCTGTATCAGTATGTCGAAGGTAGTGAATTCTAACCCTGAATATATAAAGCCTATTCTTGGGTTTGATCATCTTTCCAAATAAGTGGTGTTAATCGTGTTCATAGGAATACTTGATAGCTCGAAGGAAGACTTTGAAGACGGTGATGAAATTTATGAAGCAATCGGCGAGGTTTTGCATGAGGTAGCAGACAAACCCGAAAACGAGGTTAGGTCTGTAAATGAGCACTATCACTTATTGGTATTATTCATTACTTATTTCTTATGAATTAATAATCAGCCGGTATTGACAACACATTTATGCAATCTTATTGTAGAAAATTTATATATTTAATACTTTATTTAATTCTTTATACATTGTCAATCAATGTGAATGGCTTATATTCCTAATTGAAAAGAACATAAACATGATACATTTATAATCCATACAAAAATATTCTAACAAAAAATATAGAACATAGAAAAATATGTGACTATAGGCCATAAACGAAATATAACTTGTTACATAGTATATATAAAATTACAAATAGAATGATTTGACATTTTTATTCTATTGGCGACTGAAAGTTATAAGTGTGTGTTTAGTACTATAGTATTTCTCTGACAAAAATTAATATTTATTTATGAAAATGTAAGTGCAGTTGATGATTATATATTTTCATGTTTAGGAAAATATGTGAGAAATTATTGGAAATGCTAAAGGATGCCAATGGGGAGAAAGATGGCTCGAACAAAAGAAAGAAAAATGGTGTTAACAAAGTGTTAAATGCTCCAGTTCATTTGGGCTCAATGGCTGCCACATTAGAAGCACAAGTTGAACAGATTAAGAGTATTTGGGTGACAACTCGTGATGATGCCATGGTACTGATATATTGTCAACAGTTTTACTATAATAAAATTCTTCATTTTTTTGTTATTTCAAATAGAATTAAATTAGCTTTAATAAATGAACATTTTTAATTCCTCTAATGTGCATATGACATTGTCAATATAGTAATTGCTATTATACAGAGCACGCTATTGTTTATTATACTAGTAATGAATAAAGTGGATGTCTTACAGAAAGTGGATGCAAAAAAGTTGGAAAAGGCAGAAGCAAAGTTGCAACAGAAACAAGAAAAACGAGTTGGCAATGAAAGTGCAGCAAACCGTAACACTCCATCAATGAGTCAAGGTATAGAGACAGCGAGTGCCAGTCAGATGACCAGTAAAAAAGATAGCCGATTGGAAACAAAAGGGGGTTCTAATAGGACACAAGACATCAGAATAGAAAACTTTGATGTAGCTTATGGCGATCGAGTATTATTACAAGGAGCTGATTTAACATTAGCCTTTGGTCGCCGTTACGGTCTCGTAGGTCGTAATGGTCTTGGGAAAACGACTCTTCTACGAATGATATCTGCGTAAGTACGCTGAATAAAATAAAAATAATCCAACATTACCACTATGCTATTTTTTTAGTAATCATCTTCGGATACCATCTCACATACGTGTGCTGCACGTGGAGCAAGAAGTTGCTGGAGATGAAACATCAGCTTTAGAATCGGTGCTAGGTTGTGATCAGGAACGTAGTACTTTACTTAGTCGGGAGGCTGAATTGCAAGCAGCAATCGAGAAGGAAGGTTCGTCGGGTGCTGGCGATTCTCTTGGAGAAGAGTTAGCGAAGGTGTACGAAGCGATGCGATTGGCGGAAGTAGATAAAGCTCCAGCTCGTGCAAGTGCTATACTTTCTGGTCTTGGCTTCTCGGTGGAACGACAAGCATGGCCCACTAAGGCTTTCTCAGGTGGATGGCGGATGCGTCTTGCTTTAGCTCGCGCTCTCTTCTCTAAACCGGATCTTTTGTTGCTTGATGAACCTACTAACATGTTAGACATCAAAGCCATTCTTTGGCTTGAGAAATATCTTCAAAATTGGCCGACTACCCTCTTGGTTGTCTCTCACGACCGAAACTTTCTGGACACTGTAAGTTTATATGTCGTATTTGATTGATACTGATAAATCGTTATTGATATTATCTCTCAAAATAACTTATTATCAAGTTTATTGCTTACTCTATTTAAAGTCTATTATTATTTCTATACAATAGACTTTAAGAACATATTACAGATATCGCCTAATGAATCACAATCAATGCTAGGTACCAACGGATATCCTCTACTTGCGTGGACAGAAGATTGAGTCATATCGTGGTAATTATGACCAATTTTCGAAGACAAAGACTGAACGTGAACGTAATCAGCAGCGAGAATTCGAAGCTCAGCAAGCTAAACGAGCTCACGTTCAAGAATTCATCGATCGGTTTCGATACAATGCAAATCGTGCGTCCAGTGTGCAGAGCAAGATTAAGATGCTAGAAAAACTGTAAGCATATCCTTGTATATTATCTCATAGTCATCTTGCAAGTCATAACCTAATTATAAGTTTATTATAACAATTTAAATTCTGAAGATTGCATAAAACCAAATCTAATCTCTTATTTATAACTGTGCTGTTATCATTTATTCAGGCCAGAGTTGAAACCAATGGAAAAGGAAAGTGAAGTTACTCTGCGATTCCCGGAAGTAGAGTCTTTGAGTCCGCCTATTTTGCAATTGAATGAAGTGTCGTTCCGGTACGAAGGTGTAGCCGACAATTCCTATATCTTCACTGGTGTTAATTTAACTGCCACACTTCAATCTCGTATTTGTATCGTGGGTGAAAATGGCGCTGGAAAAACGACACTTCTTAAAATTATAACCGGCACTTTGAGTCCAACTCAGGGCACCGTTCACGTACACCGTAATCTTAAATTTGGATACTTCAGTCAGCATCACGTCGATCAACTAGATATGCGTGTCTGTTCCGTGGAGCTACTGCAAAATCATTTTCCTGGTGAGATTTTTTATCGATCAGTAATACACAATAGCTTTACTTGTCCATTATTCTTTGTAAATGTTTCATGAATAATTACGAAGTACAAATTTACAATTATGTAAACAACAGGCAAGCCAGTAGAAGAATATAGAAGAATGCTTGGAAGTTTCGGAGTTAGTGGTGACCTGGCGTTGCAAACAATTAATTCACTTTCCGGAGGTCAAAAATCCAGGGTTGCCTTTGCTCTTATGTGTGCAGCGATGCCCAATTTCCTTGTTCTTGATGAACCAACGAATCATTTGGATATTGAATCTATTGAAGCACTAGGAAAAGCTCTGAACGCTTATCAAGTAAGATAATTGTTTAATTATTTCTTGATTTTTATCTTCTCTTTTATGCTGCAGTTGTCATCTTTAACCATGTTCAATAGGACTGATCAATGTATTGTCATATTTTATAGGGTGGTGTCATATTAGTTTCACACGACGAACGTCTAATTCGTATGGTCTGTAAGGAACTTTGGGTTTGCGGCAACGGTTCTGTTCATTGTATGGAAGGTGGCTTTGACGAATATCGTAAAATCATTGAAAAGGAACTGGAAGCATAATGTCTTTTAAGAGTCGAAGGTTCTGCGATTCAAGAATTATGGATTATCAGCTTCGCTGTCTACGATGATACGAAGAATTTCAACCTCGTGCGGATCAAGCTTGTACCATTGGTTTTTTTTTAATTGTGAAAATGCTGCTGATACCTCTTGCCACCGAATGACAGATATATAAATTTTCGATATATGACAAAGGATTTACTTTGAAACATTCTCATACTATTTGAAAAACACCAATCAAGGAGTTTAATATTTAACTGCGATCCATTATCACTTTGCCAAATTCAATAGTAATACGAATTCTATTTGCATTGTCCAAAGATTAAAACAGCGTTAGTTGAAATTGTATCATTATAGAACTAACAGTCGAATCTTCGAAAAAGTTTTTTGTATCCTTAGATACTGATTATGGAGCATAAGTATTATATGAGAACAGATTCCATGAGACAGTTATTACGTTTTTCAAATTATATTATTCGGTGGCACGTTCGGTTATATCAGACGTTAAATCATTGAAAAGCGATAGCGATGTTAGAAGATAGTATCCTATCAGATTTTCGTTACCTTACACCTACTTTAATAAATGGACAATTTGTTGATAATGACTTTCACTTCATCTATAAACCTGTATCATTTACAAGGGAGTATACAAATTGATCAATTGGTATAATGCAAACATGTTTCTAATTCTTCATTATATTTGCATCTGATCCTTTTAGGACAAGTAGATATATACAATCTTCATTTAAAGTAAACAATGCATAAACTATGTTGTTTAATAACAGAATATGAATATAGAAATTGATAAAATTTTATATTTAATAATTTTTTGTTACAATAATTATGGCCTTAATATGCTTTTTTTTATTTATTTATTTTTACACTATACGCTGAAATATTTTGAAAAATAGTCACATAAGCGGTAACTGTTTATTTGGAATGTTTATTTTATGTGATTTCTTGCATTAATTTACATTAAGAAATGTATAACACTTTCTAAAATCTCAAAGTACCTATATTTTCTAAAAAAGGTCATGAAACTTCGTGATCTGTAGTGATGATCTGCAGTCGGCCATCTTATTTGAAGAAAAGTCGCTTGAAGTAATTTTACCGGAGTTTAATTTTTTGCGAAAAAATGGCAAAAGTATCAGATCAAGAACTAAAGAAAGCTTTCTCAGAGCTGCAGGAGATGATGGTGGATGCAACGCAAAAGTTAAAACTCGCGGATGTACAAATTGAGACGTTAAAACGTACTAAACAACGAGGTGAATTAACCATCAAAGAGATAACCTTACTTCCCAGCGAGACACGCACGTATGAATCTGTGGGTAGAATGTTTCTGCTGGATGATATTTCCAGTATCAAATCAGGTCTGGAACAACGTATAAAAGCTTCTGACGAGAAGATTAAATCCTTGGAGTATAGCAAGACATTTTTACGCAGAAATCTCAAAGACAGTGAGAATCATCTTCGAGAAATGGTTCAACAGCGGCAAAGCAAGGAGACATCCAATTGATACGCTTCTCATCTTGCTGTTATAATAAGCTACAACCAACATTTCAGCGACAGAATATTGAAGGACTCATTAATTCTTTGCATTTATCTCAATTGTTAATGACAAATGCAGTGCGACAGACAGAAAACTTTCATCGGACTCTGATCAGCAATTTATAGTTATAATGCTATTCAAAGCCATTTAAAATGTTAATATTAAGAATCATCTTTATTTTTTTTCAACTCAACGTTAGCAATTATTTATATGTCTTAAAGATGATACAGAACAGATATAACATTTTATATATATATCATAATTACAAGTAACATTTGAATTGTAATTCTACACTTTTCTGACAGGAATAAATAATGCTTGCTATGATATTGCGGAATAAAATCAAACTGGTTTTATAATATACTATGAGGCTGGTACATTAGCTTTTTTTTTTATGAATCCTTTATAAGCTAGATAATACATCAATCAATTATTTACTTTTGTTGAATATATTGCTCCAAAAATAAAAACCATTAAAAGTTCTTCATCACGACCAGTTGTTAGACAATATTTGTAAAGACAGCTTCATAATTGTTGTAAATTAATAAGAAAATTTAATTTGCGTTTTACCCCCGTTGTAAAAAAAGAGGGCGCTGTCCCCCGTTAACTAAAAATACCCTTCCAAACTCTGAGGGTAGTTTGAATAACCGTTTTTAGTATTTCTTAACTTTTTGTTTTCACAATAAAAAATTATACAAATAAATTCGGAGTTCACATTAAAATTTGAATAGATATTACAAATTAGAGTAATATACTCACGAAAGCAACATCACATTCCAACATGGCCGTCTTACATCAGAAAGCTCAGAGCGTGTCCGACCCTCCCTTATAATAAAATTTGTAATCTGTGTTTAAGCAGTGATGTCAAAACTTGCAAAAATGGCGGAACAGAATGACGGGAGTCAACTACCACCTGGTTGGGAATGTAGATACGATACCCGAAGTGGTCGTCCGTACGTAATTATTTAAAAACATAATTTTTAAATCACAAGTAATAATGTCAAATGAAAATTTATAATTCCTTACATTATTTCTATTGGATTATGACATCACGTTTTGTTATTCAATGAAGTACTTCATTAATCTATATTAAAGTTTGTCCAGCAATATATAACATAGTCTTGGAAATGATTATTTGTTAATATGTTTAAACTTTCTAAATAATATTTTTATATACAGTTGTAGTTTATTGATAATTATGTCATAGATACTTCATAAATCATTTCACTAAAACTACGACATGGGAGGATCCAAGAGTGAGATATTGGCAGTACGCACAATATGTGCAAGCTCAAAACTCACTTCCAAATTCAGCAAACACTACGGAATCCATTCCAATGCAGGTGAGTCACATTAGCTGTATTGATATAATAACCTGAGTAGATGATATTGTCTAACGAAAGATTATCATGGTCGTTACAAGAATTAACAGAGTACAATCATGAGAGCTATCACTTCTTGATGTTTCTAAATTCAAGTTGCATGCATCTTGTACTATTAAGAAGATGATTGTATTTCATATATATTCATACACAATACGTTCATATGTATGCTGCATCTGGAAAAAAAATGACTGTGGTATAGAGTGGAGGAAGTGGCAGTGGTGGATATTTAGTATACACTGGAGCATACAGAGCTCCACAAGTGTATCCAACAATGTCACCATATCATAATCCACAACCTGCATTCTTACCCCCAAGTTCGCAGGTATGTAGCTTATTGTGTGTAGTGGTGACGCTTTAGTTATTTCAATGTTACTAGCTTTTATATAAAACATTTCGATCGTTACGGTGATGGTAAAAACAAATGTATATAATATGCTAATTAACTTGTATATTATGCATAGGAGTTGAAGACTCCTATATCAGGAAGATCAATTAGCGCAATGACAAATCGGTTTGGTGAGATGACAGTAGGGTCACCAACACCTGTCAGAAATATTGAGACAAGTTTAACACAGAATTCAGACGTCGAGTTACAAGTGGCCAAAATCAATGCGATGTTTCCTACAGTTTCGGATACCCACATAAGGCTGCTGTTAAAAAAGTGAGTTTCTTTAACAGTCGCATTCATTTCCAATATATAAATAATGTACATACACATACTGATTATATAAATAAGGTGATGACCTTAACTCATTCATTATCTGTGATGTACAGCAAAAAATGTTTTGAATGACAGTTACCCATACTTAAATATAGAATTTAGTACGGCCCCTGATGACCAATAAACAAATTAATAAATAATAATCAAGACATCAAAAGTTCTTTTTATATTCTATGAAGAATTTGTGCTCTTTTATCAAACTTCATCAAAACATTTTTTTCAAATTTTCTGTAGCTTACAATTAAATCCGTATGCTTTCTAACAAACAAAATCGAATGTGTATTCCGTTCGTAACTAAGAAATAAGATCTGATTATCTAAAGTACAGTAAAACCTGTTTTTGTGCGGTGGATAGGGACCGCATAAAAAAAGTCGGACTTAGAAATAGATCAATGATTCATGAAATAGATGAGAGAATGCTTTCAATTAAATTAAATAATCAAATTAGACCTAAAGAAATTGTAAAAATATTTAATTCTTCATTGTACATATACATGGAGAAGTTTTCAAATTATACATTAAATAGTTTGCTGCTACTCGTCGGAATCCAAAACGCGCATCTTCTTGTGATGAATTGGTTGAAAATCGCTTTCGACGCTTGAAGATAGGATTTTTTTTTTTAATTTTTCTTTTCGCGAGGTCCAGATACATAGTTCTCAAGGAGACCACGTAAACAGAGTTCGTCCACAATATGTATATGTACATTGATAGGAAACATTAAACTGATGCTAACACCGCTAATATTCATATACCGCATAAAAATAAATCGCAGGAAAAAAATCGCACAAAAATAAAATCGCATAAAAAAGCACCGCACAAAAACAGGTTTTACTGTATAATGGATCTAATTTTCTTATGGATAACAATATTCTTTATTAACATACAGATCTATTATTAACAGATCTATTATAACAATTGGGTGTCGCGTCTAGGGTTTCATTATTAAATTCATTTATTCATTAAGTCTCCCACCGGCAAAAGATAGTCTAGTGCTAAGTTCCTAGCTAATGTATTTCAGATACCATAACAGAGCAGCCGTGGTCATGAGTGCTCTCCAAGTGGAGAAACATCCTCTTTGCGAACCAGGTCCGTGTACACCCGTGGGAGTGCACTCAAACTATGCGATTCCACGATGGCGACTACCGGGCTACGCAATACACGCACCTCTTACGTTGAGTCCACCTCGAGGGGTTCGACCGCCCCCAAACTCCCCAAAAATAAAACTTAGGTCTACCCTGCATTCTCATTAATCTCAGTTTCACCCAGTCTCGATGCTCGATATGAATATTGTACTTTGTCATAGCCAAAAAGAAATATACCAGCTGCGTACTATGCTCAGTAATAAGAGAAAACTATATTATTCTTAACGATTAGTACAAAATATTGGACAATTACTAGAGTATAATTGCAATGGTCTATTTCCTAATTGTATGCAGTCTGTTTCAGTGGTAAAATAGACGTAGCATGAATCCAGGATGATTACATGGCTATTTTATTCAATATCTATCCGTCAACCTACAAACATTCACATTACTCAATGATCATGACGAAATAAATGCCATTAGTTATTCTGTATGAACGCACGGTAGTTCTTGACGTAGAATCCAAAAAAATTTATCTTTGACCTAATTGATAGAAACATTTTGGTTCGATGAAAAGTTCCCGATATTTTATTTTGTCCTGACAATTTTATGTGTACTTTGTCTTTCGTTAATTTATTTTTAATTTGTATTTCTTTTCAGTTTCTTCCTGGTTTTATAAATTCAGTTAAGAATGGGTAGTTTGAGAATTCTCAAACCGTAAATAGGTTAGTTTATGTTGAACCTTTTATTTTAATGTTTGACTGAACAGGTGGAGGAGTATAACTTTTATTAGATATAACAAGTTAGTTTCAGCTCGATGAAAATAAGTGAGTCTCGTAGTGCACAGTGGATATATGGCATTTTATTACTCATGCATTCCATTAATGAATACATCTTGCTACATAATAATTAAATGAATTACAAATGCAGAAGTAGATTATTTAAAATTTTGAGACTCATTTGTTTAAACATGATGCATAAATACAGCATGTCTGTATGTGCATGCGTGCGTTGTCCCTTTAAAATCATTTGAGCCTACCGGTACTATTATACAATGAAAGATTGACTGTATCGAATCAAGAATCATGCAAATAATATATACAACACCTGCCTGCTGTTATAATGTCTTGCAAATATTGATGGTAATATCGTTCATCACATGTGTATACTATTCGAAATGGTTCAACGTTGACCGAACAAACAGATATCAAATAATTATCTATAAACCACAATTTCATGAATATAGGTCAGAGATTGAACCATGTCAAAACCGTAGAGTAGCAAAAGGTGTAATGCAAAGACATAGAATTTTGACGTTCAATAGCCCAGTCTTGTATTGTATCGTGTTTGTATCGTATCTTACTGTACTTTGTGATTACGTGTATATTAATTATATACAAGAGTCCATATACCGAGCTATAATTTTTCAACTGTTTTCGCAGGTACCTGAAAAACATATTTCCAAAAGTCGACGAGACTATACTACTTGATATATTGGAGCAAAGTGATAACAACGTCCAAAAAGCGTCTGAAAAGTTAATCGACCTTGGCTATGAGAAACGCAATCCCACCGCGCCAGTTCGATCATCGATTAAGAAAAAAGAAGAAGAAGAGCGGGTTTGTGCAAAATTAGTTTAAATTTACGCCTAAGTACTTATAATAACATGTCAAACTTATAATCGAGTCAATAATAATTGATGTTAAAGACTCTTTGTGTTTTAGGCCAAAAGAGAACGTGCGGTGCCGACGCCTCCTCCGCGTATGAAAAGTTTGGAAGAGAAAAACAAAAGTACATTTCAATCGATTATCGCACGTGTTAATGTATTAAATGGAATTAATTAATTCGACTAATATTAATTACAGTGAAGGCACGGCTGATGGAGAAGTACAAGTCTGTACCAGACAGAGTAATTGTCCTAGCCATGGACAGTGTTGATTATGATGAAGAAAGGGCAGCACATATTTTAGACATTATGGTGTCCGAGGAGGCTAATAGAATACCACCTACATCTAGTGGCCACAGGTAAGTAGATCTGACTAATTGATCTAATGAATTAATAACGAAAACAATTAAAGATCCATTACATTATTTCACAGTAGAAGAGGGGACGATCGTAATGGAAGTCCTCCAGTGACAGAAGCTCTGAAATTGACAGCATCGCCAATTAAGAAAATCATCAAGGATGACACAGAGAAATCCAAACGTCCAAAAAATAAGAACGAGATACCAAAGTAAGTGATTTATCGTTTTATTACTATTAATTGCTTTTGATAGCTTTGTGTCTGTATAACGAACTGGAATATTAATAAAGGACTGTTTTTCTCAGAGTATCCAGAGGTACCAGCACTACTGAAGACAAACAGTACAAATCATCTTATCTGACAAAACCACTTGGAGCTAATCCTGACCTGCCCAGTGGACCTAACAACAATTTGCTCCTGTGAGTACAATACAAAATTTATATAAAAATAATGCATTTATATAAATATAATTAACTGGCCTGCCTTTATACTCTTTTTTTTTAATTACAGGCCAGATTATGCTCCATGGGCAGGACCAGATCCAAATCTATTGACAAAAAAGACGTTTACTAATACAGCTGTTGGCCATGATCCATCATTGGTTTCTGGTAGCCGTACTCTTGCCAGTGGACCTAATCCGTTATTACGCAAGGGATCAATGAGAGGATTAGCACAGGGTTCCATTTACTCTCAGCGAAATGCATCTAATTCAGAGAGCCGTGGCAAATGAAACATATTCAATTGTTTCTTTTGAACGTGTTTATGGGACAAGGTTCGTAAACACTTTACGTTATAAATTTAATTTTTTACAGTTGCTTTTTTTCGGGGATGACCTGTATCGGTTTTAATTGACGACTCCCTCTATTACTATAAATTCATTATTTAGACTCGTTCTCGGTCGCTATTAAAAACACTAAGGAGGTAACACGTATTATATGTTGTTTTGTGAAGCATAACTCACAAATATAATGATAATTTTGTTGATAATTCACAAGTATAATTTTGTTTGTTGGAATATCTTTTTTTGTTTACACATTTTAGCAGATTTATATTTTTCGTTATCCACCCTAATTTGTTGATAGAATTAGTTGATCTTTTATTTTATCGTTAACGGTGAATTTTTTTCGCCTTCTGTTATACTATTTTTTATAATATTTTCTCAATGTCATTTTTTTCTTATTCTCAAGAGCAAGTCTCGAGGACCTTTCGTTAACGTATCTGTAAAATATTATTTGTAGCCACACCTTGATAACTGGGAAATTATTACATTAGGACCCTTTAGATAACAAGGTTACACAAAGCTTACAATTTTAAGTTTTGGGTATTGTGTACATAAGGGTCCGTGTATTAACAAAATCAATTGTAAGGCGTAGAGCGTGAATATTAATTAAAAAATAGAAACAGTAATTCCTTTAGTACTGTAAATTCTACCTAGAAAGAATTCGTCTATGAATATCCGTATCCAACATAATAGCATCGTTGACAAGTACTTGCCCCTTAACCACCTATATTTTTCACGTCAGTCAAATTATCGTGAGTATCTCCCTCCAAGTAGCTAATATACACACCTATACTACATAAGCATCAGAGTACACAAGTAGAGGCTTATAAATTGAAACACGAATTTTGAAAAGAATGGTAAAAATTGCTACTTTTATTTTTCACATTAAATTATCCTAATCAGAGATCAATCAGTTCTTTTCTCTGGGTTAATTAATTTAATAGATTTTGTGATGAAATGTTGTTACTCATTGTTTTCTAGAAGTTAGATCTGTTTTCGTTATATCCTTGTACCTTTCTCTTTAATTTAATTTTCAATGCAACACTAATAATATACCCATTACCTTTGGCTACGTAATTTTCTACATGGAAGGTTTTGAACTTTAGGCATTCAGCTTTGAATTTATTCTTTCAAATCCTTTATCATTTCATCGTGCAGTTTTTTAAAATTGTATATTTGTCGATGATCGATCAATGAAGTTTATAAATGATTGTATTCCATGAGACTATGACTTACAGAGAAAAATAAAAAAGGAATACATTTTTCTTAGACACCTCTTATACTTAATATTTCATAGTTTGAACATTACTTTGTATGTAATAGTTTCAAGTTTATCATGACTACGATGGCATGATGATTGTACGTTATCGAAGTTTTTCTTTGTCAGGTTAATCAAGATGTATCAGTTAGGATTGCGTAATTGAATGTGGTGTATATAAACAGAGAGCATATCGAGCAAAATTTCAAATGCCTGATTAACTTTCCAGAACATGGCTTGTTGCAAAAAAAAAAGAGAAACACATCAATTACGTTATCTTAAGCTAATACACGTCCAATATCTATGTACGATAATAAACTGTTATAATTAACTCATAATAGAAATAAGTGAGAACCAATAGTTATGCTAGGCAACGAAACCAAACCTTTCTTGTGCCCCAAGACAAGAATTCCAATCTTAGAGAACAAAATCTTATTACCGTTTCACTTAATTATTGCATAATCTTTGTCAACTAAATAGAAAATCATATATCGATTTTTGAAACAGGGAAAATCGTAATTGACATTGTTTAATAATAATTACCAAGAAGAATCATTTAGAAAAAAGAAGAATTCTTTATTCTATTAGTCAGATTAAGTGTCAGAATTCATGTTTTAATTGTAAAGTCAGCCGTACCATAAGAAACAATTCAAAGATCGTAAAATCTAAAAGTATAGCGTTTTTTAATATGAAAACAGTAAAGGATTAATGTCATTATTAAATTTGCCCAAAGATGAAAGTGTATCAGTACAAGAGTCTTGTAAGATAAAACAAAATGTAAAAGGACAATTGGCTGAGAACCAAATACTCATTTCTATCGCAGCACTGCATTAGAATACACACACTAGCTCTTTAATGTGCCATAGTTAAGTCGATGTACAGAAGTATTTTCATAGCTTCATCCAAAAAAGGGGGAGAAAATAAAAGATAATCCTGCCTTTAAAAAAACCTAATATGTGAATACATAATTTAATAACAGACGGGCTGTGGCTGAGAAGTTAACTGAGAGCGATTTTTATAGCTTTTTGACTTGCGAGGAAACTAGGATGGATAAAATAATATATTTTGTCTACATTTTGAGTGCTGCTGCGTAAATAGAAAGAAAGAAAAGAAACTGCTAGTTGTACACGAGTGAGTTCTTCCGCATAATATTCAACGTATAAGTTAATACGATCAAGCTTAACTGTCTAACAAAAAGATATATATATATATATATATAATCTTGAAAGTATCAAAACATTGTCAAACATGTGGCACGTCCAAGTAAAAATAATATTCAGTATGAAACTCATCAAGATCCTGTAATTAATGTATATATAGAAAGAGATTTAGATGATACAAAAACAAAGTCAAGAACTCATTTTGTATATTTGTTATTTGATTTCAAAAATTAATAAAAGTATGAAAAATTCAATGCATTGCTAAACAACGTGGAAAGTGATTTTGAGTAAAAGGCGTGGGAAAATATTGTCCAAGGATTATTAAATTAATTAACTTAATGTCATATGCGGTTAAGAGCGTGTGAAAAGTTGCGTGCAGTATGTGTTAGTCTTGTGATGTCGACAAGTGATTGTTATCTCGTGGTATTTGTTGAAAAGAAATAAATATTTTTTGTCGTGTCAGCAGCTACGCAATACTGATGCATTACGAAGCGATATTTTAATTAATTACCACTTGCATCAGGTGACTTTGAACTAGCATGACACCGACATACAAATATATGGAATAATAAGTTTTAATTTGTGCACCGTGTATTATTCCTAGGGATACAATTATTTTTAACAAACGTATTGGAGTAGCAGATTATATTTAGCTATTATAATAATATTACAAACTGTTTGTCCATATAGCGATCCGAAAACTGTACGTTTCAATATATTTGCCTGATCGTATAATCAAGTTCTGCTACAAAATATTCTATTTCTAATAAACCTTTGCTGTTCGAGTCATTAAATAAAAGAATGTATGAAACGAGTATGGAAAGGAACATGAAGTCTTACATTCAGTAGCAATAAATATTGAATTCCAAATGAAACATAGGCAAGATATTGAATAAGTTCAAGGGAAATGTATCTTATTACTATGCCAACACATATCTGTGCAATAAAGTCGTCCATAATCATGATAATTGGTTGATTTGTATTATCCTAAAGTCATGATCATTCTTTGAATATTTAGTTTCGGTTTAATACCATCTTTTTTTAATTAAACTTTTTAAGGCAGCATTAAGCTAAGTCAGTGATGCAGGATTTTTTATATTCTTTAGGTAACAATAAAATTATGACTGTACAGTAAGCTCATTTATAATTGTCTATTAAATACAGTATAATTTATAGTGTTTTATAAATATTATATAAGAAAGTCACGATAGACTGGATTATTCAATGTATTTTATAAAGACTAAGTAATTCTATTAATATATTGTGTTTGCTGTGAGTCAGATATTGCATACTCCAATTATTTGATACTGCGGAGTAGTAGAATTCTTAATTTTTTTGAATAAGTATCTTTTATTTCCTCGTTCCTTGTAGGACGAATCGAATATTGTCTTTAATTTCAGTATTAATCACTGGGAGTACATGTTCTGAATTTACTCTCCGTTTTAGAAATAATAAACCATTCTTATTGTTCAAAATTAGAATCTGGTAATAAGGGTAGATAATAAATAACTTTCTATTTTGGATTAACAACTAAAATGTATTATTCTTCATGATTCTGTCAAGGTGTACATATCATATATAGAGTGGGATCTATAATAGATTTTGAATAATTTCAAATTTGTAATAAAGTCTGGAAGAACTTGATGCGATAAGCCGTTCTGGATAAATGATTTTCTATAGAAGTCTTTGTATACAATTTCAGTATGCTGCGACTCTTTTAACTTTGAGAATTTTCAAAAAAAACTTAAAGCTAAGATTATGCTAGCAAGAATTCGTAAAAAATTCGTGATTATGCGGTTGATATTTATCAATTTGGCATGAGGCTACTTATTTTCTTTTTTCTTTTATAAGAATATACGAAATCTAAAGTTATTGATTAGAGGCTCTACGTATATATAAGATAGAATGAATATTACATCTTTGGGATGTATGAAAATTCTTAACATAGGCTTCAAAAACGAGAAAAATTAATGAGACATAATGTCAATTAATCAATACTTTTATGTCGATATCGTTAGGAATTTTAGCGGTGTTTTATAATATTCATACACTTTTCATTCAAACTTATAATCATTCAAGGGGTTTGTCATGAAGCACAAGGGCTTTAAACAATTGACTAACAGTAGAGTACAGTTTAAAAAAATCATCCTAAGAAAACAATGAAACTTGTTGATTTCAAAATCATTGGACCTCCGGATATTCACTTACATTATGTCTCATATTACACGTTAGATGACCGCAAAATAATATGGATTATTAGACATAAAACAATATTCAAAACAATTAGGAACTATGCTATATAATTATATTATTTTTATTAACATTGTAATATAAATTTGTCTATCGATTCAATCAAATTGCAAAAGTATTTATATCGGTATAATTGTTTGATACTATTTGTGTTTTTTGGTGAATTTACTTTAAATACTTAATTTGTTGCTATATCATTACAATAGACAACTTACAGAAAATGGTTCACTCCATTCATTAGGATAACAGTGTTATGAATATTACAAAAAACCTAAGTTTGTCAAGATTATTAGGCTAAATAAAATCTTCATGCACTGAGATTTTTGTAAGAATTAATAATAGAGAATATGTTGTACTGATATCTTTTGTAACTGGGTCTATATAAGACTTAATGTGATCTTCAAATTGATTTAACACAATCCTTTAGATGGCTCACGTTAGAAACAAGAAATAGTCTGTCAAATATGTTTGTTCAGCATACAGTGCTAGGCCACTTAAGCACATGATCTGAAACTAGTTTTACCATAGAAATTAAATGAACAGTCTAGCTTTAGCTAGTGCGTTTGAGTTTCCTAGCCTCTATATAATTAAATCATTAGGAATTGTCTTTGAATAAAGATTTAACAACATAAAAAACATATATTAAAAAAGGACTTTACAAAGTGTGTATATGCTTAATACATTCACTATTTGCATAACAAAATTGTGGTTTGGTTTAGAGAATATGACACATGAGTTTCTGTCAAGTGGCATTTACCAGTAAATCGAGCTGTGTATGTCTTATGTAAGATTTTAAACCTCATCTTCATTTAGTAGCATATTAGGTATGCCGTCATTAATTGGAAATTTTCTGCCTGATTCTGGACATAATAAATCGCCGTTTATAACATCAACCTCTAGCAGCACATGATGAACTTTCTTTAAAAACTCTTCGTTCGTCTCAAAGTCTTGAATAAGTGTTTGAGGAAGTTCACCAACATGTCCTATCTATGAACGATAAATTTATATAGATAAAAAAAAGAGCGAATCAAGTTTTAAGTTGCTATAAAGACTATTATACAATAAAAACATACACTATCTGCAGCTTTCCAAAGTGTAGCCCAGTCCAGTTTTGGTATTATTCTTGCAATGAATTCAGAATTAAAATCTACCACACACAGTTTAATGTCCTTTGCCTATTAACAAAAATTATTAACGATTGACAATATACTTACATAAAGTATATCACTGATGTATTCAACTATTAAATGCCATGTGCCTTCAGTATTCCACTTCTAAAGCTAACCTCAAAATCTATAATAATCCTTAAAAAATGTTTTATCTTACCACAATTCCCAAGGGATATCCAACAGTCACACCTTTGAGGCACTTGGATGTTAACATGTTATGAGTTAAAAGCTTCATTTTCTTAGAACACTGTTAAATTCGTTGTGAAAATTCTCTTCACAAAGCAAAAGTAACTTTAAAAAATATCAATACCGCCAAACAGTCTCTGCACGTTGCAGCTGTTGGTAAAAGTAGAGTGGCAGCAAAGCTTGACGTATACCATGAAATTCTTTTTTTTCAAAATATACGAGTTCTTTAGCTTTTGATTAAATACTTTTCTCGTATATACCTATAGTATTCACATAATATACATATATTCAATATACTACGCCTACAACGTAACGTTTCGAATAATATTCAAAAGCCAGTGTTAAGTTTTGCATAATTTTAAAGAATAAAACTATGATCATAACTTTTGTAAAAGCTATCCTTTATTAGAGTCACTGTGGCCGATTATTTAATTTTACACGACCATTGTGTAGATCTATGTACTGAGATCTACAAGTTTATAGAGTACGTGTAATGATGGCTCTCATTCTTTGAGAGAACTGTTCCTCCTCCTGAGTAAAGTTGTGAATCACTAGTTCTCCAACTGGAAATCATCTCAATTGGTAATAAGTTAAAGTAGATACAATATGCGAAAAAAACAGCAACAATTAGATATTTATAAAGTTTAAGGAAATAAAAGATTATTATAAAGCTCACGAAGCGCTTTCTCACTCGTGATCAACAATGTTAATAGGAAATATGGATAACTATTTAAATTGACTGACAGCAACAGCCACATCATCCAGTCTTGATTAAAATATGTTATCAGTTCGAGTCTGCAAATTATTTATCTATTATAACAAATATTAGTGCGCGAACGTTTCTACCATCTGCTAGTCCAGTTTTCTTAATTTCGATTTAATTCGCTCCAAAGTTATGAACGAAATACATAACCTGATATTATAACATTCGGTCATTTAATCTGGGTACGTTTTCTTGTTCACAAATTTATGTTTTTGCAAAGTTAAACTTTTGCTGATTACTTTGTCCATTGTTAATCGACGTATATGTTGAGGTGGTGAATATGGAGTGGGAACAAACAATGTGTATCTCAACGTAGACAACAGATTGTAGCACGTAACATATGCTTTAAAGCAAGGATTCTATAAATTGAAACAAGTGGTGAATTGTACTGCTCTATGGCAAAAGTATGTCTGTTGTGCAACATATTATCTTCTGCTGTTAGAAGATACCTGTGAAATAAAGAAGTTGCTGCTGTATCTATTGAACGATGTACAATTCGATGAGATCTTGACGAAGAAAGAAATATTTCTGGTCCGAAAATGGCTTGTGATTCTTTTATTTGGGGTGTGCTGTTATTCGGATGCAGCTTACACATTCTCATCGAAGCATCCAATAATGATCCATTGGAATATATGAGCAAAGAAGAACGTGAAGCACTCAAGTTAGTATAAAAATAATGTGATTTATTTATGTTTGGAGGGAGTATCAAGCTTTAATTGTGGAATCTACCATTCTCTTACAAACTTTATATTAAATAAACATATGTATTTAGGGAGGAAGCAAGGGACATGTTCTATCATGCTTACAATGCATATATGGTAAGTTTCCTTTCTATAGTATTTATCTTTATTAGTGTTAATATTTTAATTTCTAATAAGTTGTTTCTTGATAAACTATATATAATTGAAATTAATAGAATGAAAGACTGACATACTTGAAAGTAATTAGAGATGAAAATACTAGTTGGAAAATCAATCAGTTAATTAATTTTATATGATATATTACAGGATAATGCTTATCCTGCTGATGAATTAATGCCTTTAAGTTGTAAAGGAAGATACAGAGGGTCTGAAGCAAATAGAGGTGATATAGATTCCACCCTTGGAAAGTAAGAAACAACATTATTCATATAAAGACTGATTTTGAATCATATTATTTCACTTGTACCTTTATTTGTATAACAATTTTCAATGTTACAGTTTTTCCTTGACGTTAGTGGACACGTTGGACACTCTTGTAGTAAGTACCATTGTAAATCAGATCAATTATTGCTTCACGTATAACTGAATATTCTTATAGGTATTGGGTGATTTAGAAGAATTCGAAAATGCAGTTAAACTCATTGTCAGAGATGTTACGTTCGATACAGATGTTGTTGTTTCCTTATTTGAAACAAATATCAGAATGCTTGGGTATGTAGATTCATAACGATTTGAGTATACAGTCATACTTATAATATAGTTCTCTCATAGAAACTTTATGAAACGGTTTAAAACTTGTATACAAAGTTATAAAACCCAACATACTCTGGGCTTCAACTATTTCTTAATTACAGGGGTCTCCTTAGTGGTCATATATTAGCCGAATATTTACAACAGAGAGCTGATATAATGCCATGGTATAAAGGAGAACTTTTAGACTTAGCAAAAAATCTAGGATACAGATTTCTGCCAGCATTTAATACAACAACTGGCGTACCATATGGAAGAGTAATTACATACATAATATTTAGCCTCAATATAATTATCGAATATTATTAAAAATCCGATATAAATTACAGATAAATTTAAAACATGGTATGAAAGGTGTACCTATCGAAGTTTCCAGAGAAACATGCACCGCCTGTGCTGGTAGTATGATCTTGGAAATGGCTGCGTTGTCTAGATTAACTGGGGAACCAATATTTGAGGTAAAGCACTATATCTTATAAACTAAAAATTTTGCTGCGGATCATACAATTACTCTTTAACTAAATAGGAAAAGGCTCAAAAAGCTATGGATGTCTTGTGGCGAATGCGTCATCGTGGCACGGATCTAATGGGTTCTGTATTAAATGTAAATTCTGGTGATTGGGTCCGGCGTGATTCCGGCGTAGGAGCAGGTATAGACTCATATTACGAGTATTGCCTCAAGGCATATGTTTTACTAGGTGAGTTACTAAGAATTTATTTTAATAAAATTATTTACGAATAAATATAAGTCGTACTTCATTTGAAAACATCTGTAGATAACAAATAAAAACTGTAATCTGAGGTTCTGTTTGTGTAACAGGTGATGAAAAATACTTAGGCCGTTTCAATCGTCATTATCAAGCTGTAATGAAATACGTGAGTCAAGGTCCCATGTTATTGGATGTACATATGCACAGACCGAACATAAATGCGAAAAACTTTATGGATGCCTTGCTAGCTTTTTGGCCAGGACTTCAGGTACTATCCGTGATGTATCCAGCGGTTAAGAGTGTTAATTAAAAATTATATTTTAAAACTAATTTATCTATGTAGGTGCTGAAAGGAGATATAAAGCCAGCAGTGGAAACCCACGAGATGCTTTATCAAGTAATGCAGAGACATAACTTTATTCCAGAGGCTTTTACCACGGATTTCCAGGTATTTCAATGTTGCTTTTGGGAATGTTAATTGTTATTAAAAGTGTTAATGCAACAATTGTATCAGGTACACTGGGGTCAACATCCATTAAGGCCAGAGTTTCTGGAATCAACTTACTTCTTGTATCGCGCTACGGGGGACCATTACTACTTGGGGGTTGGACGTAAGGTCCTTAACAGTCTGCAGACTTATGCCAGAGTAACTTGTGGATACGCAGCAGTATCTGACGTTAGAACGAACAAGCACGATGATACAATGGATAGTTTTGTACTATCTGAAACTTTTAAGTACTTATATTTGTTATTCGCTGATAGCAGCGACCTGGTTTTGGATTTGGATGAATTTGTTTTTACTACCGAAGGCCATTTGTTGCCACTAACATTGGCTTCCGTAAGAACCAATTCGTCATCTGTAAGTACAATTAGAAGTTATAATTTTTATCGTGGAATGCTACCAATATTATTCGTTCTAACGTAACAATTTTTTTTTCCTGAGAACAGGATTTTGAGAAAGATATAGTGCATATTGATGAGTTCGATAGAACCTGTCCAAACAGTTTACACTTATTCCCAGCCTCTGTCAGGCAACCTTTGAGGAATATGGTCGAGGATGTATGTCCGAGAAGAACGACAACAAAACGAAGACTGAACGCTTCTCAATTCCAAGTAAAATTCTTTTTGTATTAAATTTATAATTTTAATTAATTACGTTCCTTAGGCTTGTGCCTCTTCAAGTGTTGTATGATTTTTTTAGGCTAATAACTTAGAACATTTGACAATGTTGAGCGATATGGGCATTACGATTCTAACTCTAGCCGATGGACGTGTTCAACTCCTCCATACTTTTTCTAATGTATGTTATTACTGTGATTTAATATTATATATCAATTGTTCAATCATCACGTTAATTAATTCTAGGCGAAAACACCGCAAGATGCGGAAGAGGGTCTAGTATTCATGCAAGAGATGGTAGAGCTAAGTAAAATGCAGACACAACAATCAGAAACAAAGCCGCAAGTAGTAACATTTATAAAGCCAAATACTAATCCGCCACAAGAAGTAATGCTATTAGCTGGACCAGCACGTTTTGGGCCAATGATTTATGGCTCGAACAAAATGACTGGAAAGGTCACCTTTACGAGTCCACCATCAGCCTGTACAGATCTAGTCAACGAAGAGGCATTAGCTGGAAGAATTGCCATAATGGAACGTGGCAATTGTATCTTCGTAGAAAAGGTAATTGCATGATAAGTTAGTAAATGATTTTATTATCAAACAAATTATAGAATTGCATAACAATATATAAATTGGCTCTTAGGCACGGAGGATACAGAAAGCTGGTGCTTTGGCTGGTATAGTACTGGATAATGTTCCTGGCTCAAGTGCTGCAACTTCACCAATGTTCGCTATGTCTGGTGATGGGAAAGAAGTCGATGACATAACAATACCCGTTGTGTTTCTCTTCAGTGCAGAGGCCAATGAGCTTTTGCATGCTATTGTGCAGAGTCACGGAGAACTCATCGTCACTATCGGTAATGGATCTTCTTGAAGTGGGTCAAAGCTGTTGTTTTTGTGTATTTTAGTCAATTGTACGGTATAATTTTGCGATCACAGGCGATTTCTTAACGAGAGACGAGGCTCAATTGAAAGCGCCCACCGATTTATCGATGTTCGAACGACTGAAAGGTTCCCTGAAGGATTTTCTCACTCAGCAAATAACACCACAGGTTTGTATCCCTTGTTTCTTAGTCGTGATATTCCTTGAGTATTTTGCTCTCTGGGTTTTATCGCGGTACAAGTGATAGCTACTGGTTTACTAGCATTATTCTGGTATCGTTGCAAGTGTATTTATTTGTCAGTTGCGTGCATTTTGTGAGATATATGTGAAATTATAGTTTTGTGCGTGCGCACGGGCAAACGGGTTAAGTTTTCCTAGAGGTTATTTTGGAAATTATTCAGTTGAATGCTCCTTGTGATATTCGTGCAAAAGATATTTTCTAATGTATTAGTATAATTGAATCAGTTGAAATATTTTTGCCATTAAGGAGATATCAAGTATTCTTATATTAAAGTGATATATTCTGATGATGTCAGCAGACTGTGGACTGTATTCCTTTTTTTTCTTTTTTTAGTTAGAGATGTTATTACTTTCTTGTATCTTGAAAGATAGTATATTTTTATGTTTCGCACGACCCTTTAAATTTCTCATACACGACCTTAAACAAGTGATATGTTCATTCATTAATCATGAACTTTAAAACATACGAATGTATCTTACGCTGTATACATTATTCACAGTACAGTCCAAGTATTGTATTATTATTTATCACATACAATAGGTCTTTCGTTTCTTCTTATGGTTTGGAAAATTAAATATCAATGTGGCTGTTGAAGATGCCTCGTTTTTTTTTTCCTTTGTTTTATTAGAATAGCCTCCAATGCATCCTTATTATTGATCTGTACTTTTTGCTCTGCTTTTCTTTTCAAAGCTAGACATGCAAGCTTTATATTATATCACAGCATGTTGAATTATCCTTTTCAATTTGTATTTGGATCTTTAACTGAGGGAAGGGACCGATATAGTTTTTATTGAAACAGAATCCTCCAAGCAGTATTGCTACTACCGATGTCCTGGAGCATGAGGTCAAACAAGAGGATGATGGAGCAGTAACGGTCGAGTATGCACATTTACAGGCAGTTATCACCCAAGGTGCAGACGAGAAAGAAATAAGGATATCTGCTAAGTTAAATGTACCTATAGTAACAGGAAAGAAATCTAAGGAACTGTCAGACCCCGAGAAAAGATGGCAGGGTCTAAAGCAATCCGTTGTCGATCAAGTGTTTACAAATGTGATAAAACGTGACGCTCCTTTGCTCATTAAAAGTAAAGAGCTAACACACGATTACAGTTTCATTCAAAAAGAACGTGGATCAGGTGATGATCCCAGTGTAAGCTTAAAGGATAAGGTACTGTGGTTTTTAAAAGAACTGAGTGAAATACCACCAGACGATACCATTGGCAAAATATTAGAAATGAAGGCATTAAACAAGCGGAACGTGAAATTGTTAAGACCCCATTTGTTAAGAAAGATAAATGAGCTAGCCTATCTTAAAAAACTTGCGACTAGACTCAAATCAGTAAAAACAAAAAATGCGAATATAGAAAGGCTTATCAAGCTATTGGATTCTGTTGAGATGAAAATTGAAAATTATTCACACTTATTGCATGAGGTATTCGACGACAATTATACCGGATTCGAAACTTCGTACCTTCTACTTCTAGATCGCATGAATAAACTCCTGCTGTCACTTAATAATCTGAATGTGTTTATCAATCATTTAGGAAAGGAATTCGATACACCATTCGATAGAAAATATCTGGCAAAGCTCAAGGAGAATAATTTTATCGGTATAGAGTCGATCATCGATGTCGGCGGTGACAATAAGGAAAAGAAAGTCAGTGAAAATCATAGTATTTTGAAAGAAAGAGATACTCTGGACGATTTCGAATATTTCATCCCGACAGAAGTGAAAAACTCTTTGAAAAGGTCTGAGGAGATTTTCAAGATAAGAACCGACACTCTCGATACTTCAAGTAACGTGGAGAAAGAGTCAAAGATAAACGAAGAGACGTCGATATCTGGTGAACCTAGTGTTATTGCTATCAAATCTAGAAACAGAAGCCAAAACGACGACGGTAGAAATAATGATCTCGAAACTCATATAAACGAAAAGACAAACTTTCTTCCGGATATAAATCTCCAGGGTGCTGAGTATTATAAAAAGAATGTACAAGATCGACAAGGTGCTAAAGACAATGCATTGGACGAAGGATTAAACGATGAATCAAAAAGTGATGTTCCAGTAGGAAGTGATAGCGATAAGAAATCTAAGATATCCGATAGAGTCCTTAACGACGAGATACATAAATTGTTGCGTGAAATTGAACGGGAGATAAGTGATTCGAAAAAAGGACAAAAGAGCGATTTAAACTTTAAGAAATCCGATAACGAGGATAAAATCAATTATCAAATTCAATCTGGTGATAAGTTGGAAGAACTTAAGAGGCCGTTATGGGCGTTTGACGATGAAAAAGTGGTTAAGGATTTTTCGGAATATCGAGAGAAATCCGATGTCTCGGAAAATTACGAATCGACAACGGAAGCTGATTATAATTACGATGAGAAGTACATTGTTAAAAGCGAAAGTGATAATGTTAATAATCGTGAACATAACGACAGACATATCGACGATGAATTATAACAAGAAAACAAAAATGATATACCACACAGTAGACTGAATACTAATTGTTACAGACGTTTTCAGAGATTATTGAAACATTCGTCTGTTTGTTAATTCTTGTTAATGTTTTTAACCTAGTATGTCAGATATACTTTTCGGGAAGGCACCGGACACGCATCCTTAATGAAACTAAAGAATTTTTATATATGCAAATTATTTTGCGCATAGAATATATACATGTACACTTGCATATAAATATATATATATATTTATATAGTACATGTCCTAAAATAATTTCTAATCTAATTAAAAAATTATTACCTCGCGTCTAATTGCTACTTATAATCTCAGCAAAGTCAGACGAATGTTTTTAAACCCAAAGGCCAGTTGCGCTCATAAAGAAATAGTATACTATTCTAACACTAAAATTTCAAGTATAAATAACAGATTAAATGAAGAAGAAGAAGATGAAGAAATAAGTACTATTGCATATGTCACTTGCTGAATATATAGTTGCATTGAAATATGTCTGTCGGTGCATTTGCAAAGAATGTATGTGTAAAGGATATCAATTGGATGTCACGAAAGAAAACTATTATGGTATGTTTCAAAAGTATAAATAAGATCATTTGTTTTGTTAAATCTCTTAGCAGTTTTGCTTATTCATATTTTAGTTAAATAGCATACAGGCCATATAAAAACTTCATTTAGTCTTTGTTAATATACAATGTATTGCGAGCATTGTTTCTTGTTTCTATTGTTATTTGAGCTTTGGAGAGATTCGTTTTTCTTTTCTCTTTACTCCAGAAACAATCTGTAATATTCTATTGTAATGACCGACTCATGCAAACGTGTACAAATCATATTTTAAACTGTTAGACCATGGTCATAACGATACTCAAGATACATTTAAAATAAGTGCTTCAGATTTTGGTCGATAAATTATTTGCAACAAGTAGTAAAATTATACAGGAAATGGATTATGTAAGAAAACCATAAAGTCATTATCATCATGAAGATAATGTACAGGTAAACAAAAATGGAGAGTGCGTTGTATAGAAAACTGTGTGTATATATATATATATGTATATGTATATATATATATATATATATATATATATTGCCACAAGGCAGTGCTGTACATAATATTAATTTGTTATAAAAAAAGTAAGTCGATGTAAGTAACGAAAAGTTAATTATTGTTTCAATTAAACCGTTAACTTTCCCTTGAAATTATACACCAGATACAACTGAAAAAAGGTTGAATATGTTCTTTTTTGTTTTTCTATCTTAATTAACAGAATTAGGATTATAATTTTTGTTCTTATGCCAATTAATTTAATTGTCCAAAGTTATTATTTGAATTATAATGTTACTTTTTGTTTGTTGTCGCGCATTGTGTGATTCCATGGGTTACACGTTAATAATCATTGCCAGTGTAAATATTATGCAATAAGTATATCATTAGTTAACGGTACATATGTAATAAGTTAATTCAGTATCTGCCAAATATAACGCGAAATGATTTTACTGTGCGTAAAGTGAACTATAAGTTTTCTAGGCAGTCTGACTTGTACATAATACGTAACACTGTTGGAAGTCGTACATTGTGATTGTATAATATTAGTTAGGTCAAGAGATTGAATATGTTGAATATTGTTTTTGGTATGGGAGTAGCAGAGTAAGAGTAAGAAATAAAATATATGTTGTAAGTAATGTACAGCGAAGTTGTAATTAACTTAATTATTCATTTTAATTCTACTCAATTTCAGTATATTTTTATATACCGTATAGGTACAAGGTACTATATACAGTGTGTAAAAATTAAGAAATGAAAAGACGAAGGATAAGTATACATGCATAAATTAACACATATTTATTTATTTGTCAACGTATAAATTGCAAACTTCTACAATGTAGAAATCTGTACGAAATTGATTAACATATCGATCGTATTCTTACACCCTGCCTAAAAGGGAAACGTAGAGAGTCTTTGCAATTGCGTGAACGTTGTTAAAAACCTTACAGTATAATATAACAATATATATATATATTCTGTTATCGCCTACGAATTTATCAATATATTTCAAGCGATCGCGTGCACAAAGTGCTACGCTATATTGAACGTACGTACAGTGTAGGATCTTATTATGAGTATACGGGCCAGTTATATTCTATACGCGTTTGCTTATATTATTTTATAATATTTCACCCTGCCTGAAAGGGAAAAATAAGTTAGTCATGCAACGGTGCTCGCCTAAATCCTTCTTGCATCAGGGCCACGCGCTTTAACCATTGGTGTTTATATCGAGCTTGTACTGCTATTCGGTACACGGTTGAATGTGCGCGCTATCAATATCCTATTACAATGATCTGTATTGGAATATCATTTGATTGTTACACCCTGCTTCAAAGGGAAAATAAGATGTTCCTAACTGTCGAGATAATATAGTTAAGCAAAAACGTAGTGACTGTTAATTTATTAAAAAAGAAAAAGATTTTTTTGATACGGTAATGATTTGTCTTTTTTTTCTTTCACGTAGCGGTATTATGATGTCACCACGTTTGATCGGCTTGACCAATATATCTCGGACAATGAATAAATATTTCTGCAATAATATAAATATCAGTATCAGTCATATGTGTTACACCCTGCTTAAAAGGGAAGAGAAGATGGTCATGCAAACTTGCTCTATGCAGGGGCCCTTGCTAATACACTCGTGAGGTGCTAATGATTTAATCATCGACACGCTAAATTCACATTACTTGGCCAAGAATAATTAAAGAACGAAGGTATCTCTTTGTCATTCTCGTTACTTCGGTCGAAGCGCCTTCTTGCAATGGAATATAAAAGGGCCCTTATTTTATGATATTATTAATTAGATAGACATTTTAGTATTATATAGGGTTATTCAAAATATGTTGAATCAATGTAAATTAGATGGTGCATTTTGATTTGTATAATAGAACCAATTGCAATTGGTGTAACGATTCTGAATAACTCTGTATAATAAATACAAATGAATAATGGATTTCCTAGATCTTTGAGATTCGAAATTTGTTTTTTGGGGGTAAAGCCAAAAAAATGTTATTGCTTAAAGATCTTAGGAAATCAAAATATTCGATACTTAGCAATGTAACTTAAAAGTGATTCATTCTCGATTTACCTTGTGAATTGCAATGGTCATTATGTGGATCACTGATAATTTCTTTGAAGAGTCAAAAGCACAGTTATTGAATTATTGTATGGGTGGACAATTTAAAAAAAATAACTGATACCTCAACTTTTCAAAGTAATGATCATTGATTTTATGGTATGAAAATTCAAATCTTAACATATTGTACTTACAACAATATCAGGTTGTATCGTTGTTTCTTTCCTTTTATGATTTCTTTTGCAGTTTAGTTCCTCCTGTATTTCCAGAAGAGACTTACCCTTAGTTTCTGGTACAGCGAATAGTAAAAATCCTATCCCAACATATAAAATCATAGCGAAGCATCCAAAGGTTGTGTAGATACCACAAGCATCTGTGATGACTTGGTACAATTTTGATACAATGAAGGCCAAAAGGGATGCCAAGGTATTTGCTAAACAGACAGCAACTCCTTTAACGTTTGTAGGAAACAGCTCACCCAGCATCATGTAAGAGACAGGACTCAAACCCAGAGCTACGATGACTTGATAGAACATAATGGAGAAATCCAAAATCCATCCAAGACCATCCATATTGATTTTGTAATAAAGTTTTAGAAGGTAAAAAATTGTAGCAATGGTCAAAGAAACTCCAGCAAGTAAAGCACTGCTCAAGAGTAACGGTCGTCTTCCCAATCTGTCTACAAGTACAATAGCACCCAGTCCAGCCATGAGTTGAAGAACGCTCAAAATAATGACAGCAAGTCCTGGCGAGAGGCCGGAATCACTTTCTTCAAACATCTCCTGAGTGTAAGATTCAATGGCAGCCATACCACTGAGTTGAAGTACGAGTTGAAGACCAAGACTGATAAGGACAGCTTTTCTAGTGCCAGGTGAGTCAAATAGATCCCAAATGTGAACTGTGTTTGATAATTCTTTGATTACACTTTTTTGTATCTGTTCCATCTCTGTTTCCAGATCCTCTTTATCCTGGTAACGTCTCAAGGCTAATAAGCTCTTCTCGGCAGCTTCCTGGTCATTCTTCATTATTAGGTAGTATGGGGATTCTGGCATCCAAGAGAAGCTTGCGTAAAATACTAGTGACAATGCCACGCATGCATACGCCAGCCACTCGTACGAGACAAATGGACCCACAGCGTGAGCATACAGCTCTCCAAAAGTGACCATTAACCTTATAAAGGAACCAAGTGCACCTCGTATATTCTTGTCAGCTATTTCCCCAATGTACATTGGGCATACTACGTAAATTATTCCCTGACCTATACCGCTGATTAAACGTGATGCGTATAAAACATATGGATTCCATGCTACCAGGATCAAGACCCAACCAAGAAGAAGTGGCGCTCCTGCTAGTAGAAGACTTATCTTACGCCCTAAATGATTAACCAGGAATGCCGCGATAATGTTACCAGGAACGGCACCTAGCAAATAGAAGGATGCTATCCAGGAAGCTTCATTGGACGTTATTGGAAGTGGTGAATTTGAACTCTTCAGAAGTGGTAGAGTAGGTGACGTCCAACCAATATGAGCTCCAGTTGTTGCCAGAGCAATTGTCGCTATAAAATTGCAGTTAAAAGTATTCAGTTCAATATTATAGTAATTAGAAATCTTAAGAATGGTTTCTTTTGATAATTATCTTGTACAAATTGCATGTATAAACATGTTGATCATATTTTACCTGTGATTGCTGCTAAGTATTGCGGCCATTGCTTGGTGTTCGTGGCGTCCATCTTGCTTATTTCTTCTTCAACACCGACTGCATAGAACATGAAATTATTCTATTTTATTTACCATATTTAATATTTTTTTTATGAATATCAATATGAAACATTCAAGAATACTTACAGAGATAGTAATGACACTTGTATTTAACACCAAAGCAATGGGACTAGGACTGAGTCGCCTTACTTTAATACATCTCCAACGTACTGACGGTTGTGACTCCAGGAAGAGCATTTTATAGGATATTTTATCACCCGATTTCTTATCACTTCCATTTTAAGAAAAAAGAATTTCTTCTCTTGCAAATATTGACTTGGCTTTGCCCTGATGATTTTAAAATATTTTCCTCTCGCGTGAATGACATTGTCATTCAGATATATTTTAATACAATTACCGACGCATGTTATTGTGTGCTTTCACATTGCACGATCGTTCTACAATTTACTAGTTTACAGGATTAAGAATTAATTACAGAATTTACACGAATTTCGTAATTATATAAGGATGTTGGAGTTCACGCGACCCCCCGTCGTGTTCTTGACGAAAGCATCAGCAAATATTTCAAGACTAGACGAAGGAGACACGTTTGAATTTACAACGGTTATTATTGATAGTGTTTATCATGTCATACCTCGTATCATATTCTAAGTCATTCTAAGTCAGCCAACTTAAATTGTGAGGAGATTAACGGTTATTGTTGATAATGTTTATTGTGCCATACCTCGTATCATATTCTAAGTCATTCTAAGTCAGCCAACTTAAATTATGAGGAAATGGTCTGAAAGGTTTCTCCATTATTTAATCCTCTTCCCCTGCTTCTTTCAAGTACGTTCAGTCTGTAAAATTTTTGAACTGGCACACCTTCTCATTGGAAGAAGCAGTCATGAAGGAAGGAAGGAAGGAAGATCTTTGAAAATGAATCTTTCCATTCACCTACATTGTATTGACAACGAGCTATAAGTATTTCGTTCAAATTTTCTATTATCTCTCATATAATGGAACATACCGTTGTGACCGGCATCTATAATATAGTTTTGTTAACTGTCAAAATAAAATATTCAAAATTAAGATAAACATTGGTAGTCATAATAACTCAATTTCAATCTTAAATATTCACACATAAATCTATCGTTTATAATACGTAATGTATTCAATGTAATTAAGCTTATTCACATTCAGATTTTTTTGGTACTCATGACTGACTTTCTTAATACGTGTCTAAATAAATTTAAGATATTTCCTGTAATTCTACCATATAATTAAGAAAAGTTTTCAATACGTTTTCCAGCCGCCCTTTTGGTCTACTTAATGTTTAAGTTTTTATCTAACGTTTAATCAAAGCACGGACAGTTCTTTGCATGTAAATGATTGCAATTTAAAAGTGTATACCTATGTGACTAATTTATTAGAAATTATTATTTTCGCTATCACTTCTAAATGATCTTTTGTGTGATCGTAGGTAGAAAAGTTATTGCAGAACTTAAATGCTATCAGTTGCTTTATTATTGTAAACCGAGTATCTTATGCGAGTGCAATGGTAGTGAATTTGACATTTGTTTAACCGCACGTGAGTGTTAAATGCGTCGCAGAGAATCAGTGCGAAAAATAATGCTTCAAATTGTCAACGCGCAATAAGAAAGAAACGCTCGAGTAATATCAGAGTCGAATATAAATAATTCGTGGATGATTTTATGCAACAATTAGTTGATTCATACTTCATTCGGACTAAAAAGGCAAAGTCAGATTTAAACTAAAAAAGCACTTTAATCCTATACATTCAGGTGGCACTGCTGTAGCTACATATTGTACGTATAAAATAATTCTTGGAGTTCCAAGGATTTTAAACACGTTGAAGTTGGTATCAATTTCTTTTTTATTTGAAAATAATGTACAGTCGTTTGTTAGTGATTGTTCCTATGAACTGTATAAAAATTATGGATCAAATCATTGACCGTGTTTTAACATTTCAAACGTATCGTCCGAAGTTAGCGCATCTATTTGTTTCTTATGGTAAAACTATATGTACAGGTTGGTACGTTCGGACTGAATAACCAGGTATGTATTTGTTAGGCGTGATGAAAAAATTAGGCAAACATTGTTATCGCCCGACGTCAGGCATCTTTGCAAATTTATCTTCCTTGGTTTCTTAACAGACGCGTCGCCAATTATACGACCAAATATAGAAAGCATCACAAACTTATTGCGATGCTTCAAAAATTTTCCTTTATTACTGGGTCGCACACGTGAATGTCTCTTTGATTACGGAACTCTCAGAAACAAAATATGCTAATCGCACAACGCTTATATCCAACAGCGCATCTAGCGTCGGGCATCTGTAGGTTCTTGCTGGACACCTATAGGCGCTGCTCGCAGTCAAATGAGTAATAAGGTTTCGCACGGAAAGAAAAATGGTCAAAATGAATTTCAAAACGTCAAATCTGATAATGTCTATTGATTCGTTGGGTTTCAACGCCATATCAGATTTGTTACATTTTTCCTTACGCAGACTTTCTCCTGTATCTCCACGAGGGACTTTTCTCTGATCTCAGGTACAATAAAGTTCAAAAATGGTATACCTATGTAACAAACCATAGCGAAGCAAGCTAAACTTGTAGAAATTCCTGATATACCTTGAAAACCAGAAAACTAAAAATTGAGGCAATAATATTAGCCATGGAAAATAGCGATTCCTTCTACATTTATAAGGAAGACTTAACCCAGCATCATATAAGACACAGGACTCAATCCAAGAGCAATGATCATCTGTACAACATAATGGAGGAGTTAAGAATCCATCCGTAGTCATTTATATTAACATTGTAACGAAACTTGAGTAAGTAAAAAATACTGAAAACAGTAAGAAACAATGCAGATATTAAAGTACTACTTAATAACAAAGGCCTCCTTCCCAGTCTGTCAAAGAAAGTAATGGCAGCGACATCAGCTACAAGCTGAAGAATGCTCAGAATTATGACAACAAGTCCCGACGATAAACCAGAGTCATTTTGAAGATCTCTTGCGTTTATGCTTGAAAGGTACCTAATTCATTAAGTCGAAGTACTGCCTGAAGTCCAGTGCTAATAAACAGCTTTTCTAACACCAGGTGAGTTAAAGAGATCCCATAGAGTAAGTACCTTTGTTGGTTAAGTCTCTGACAACAGCCTTCTGTATAAGTTCTAGGTCATTTTCAATTTGATCCTTTGACTTGGAATTCTTTAATTACATCAAACATTTCTCGGCAGTTTTCTGATTGTTCTTTATCACTTGTATCATAATGTATTATTATTATTAACATACATTCCTTTCGGTTAAATGGGTATTGGATAAAAAATATAAAAGTTATTACGCCAATAATTAAACAGGATATCTGTCCATTGGAATTACCATAAAAACCTACTACGACTTTTATAAGATGATGATTTTATCTGCGAACGGAATAAAAAACAACAGATTTCAGTTGTAATAATAATTGAAAAAGAAAAAATTTCTTCATTTACAACCGGATTAATATATTCATATAATTATGTTTGTAACAAAACCCGTTTTAAGTAATCGATTATTCTTTAACAAAAATGATTGTTGATATGTGTATTAACAAAATATATGATAGTATGATTATTACGTATTATTTGCAACGGCCTTCAGTGCGAATATAAGGTGGCCGTTATAAATTATAGCCTTGATTACTAAAAGACCCGACGTGGTTGAAGCGGACCAGACGTGTCCTGATAACGTAAATTTTACTTGTCTACGTGCTTCCTTTTTCAAAGAACGTGCTTGAAGGTATGTGAAGTTCAATTTTATCAGTGTATTTCTTGAATTTTTCATATACTGCATTATTGCTTTTATACATTCTTGTAACTGCACAAATCGAATAAAAAAGTTCAACTCGGCATTTGCGGGTTACACTATCGGAAGTTCTTTCTTCCTATAACGAGGAAGAGAGAGCGTGAGAAAGGAAGACAGAAAAGAGAGTTGAGACAGATAAAATGAGAGAGAGAGAGAGAGACAGAGATAGAGTGATAGAAAAATAGATCGAGAGGGGGAGAATGAGAGAAAGAGAGAAATATCGATCGCCGCCATTGGACGACAGTCGCAAGTCGCCTGCTTCGAAGTGAAGGTTTAGCCTCTCTTCGTAGATGAATCTTAGGTCTTTTTGACAGTTGCACATTTTTTTTCTAAGGTCCAGCTGTTCTCTGGACGTTCGTATTCATTGGAGAGGAAATAACAAACTATAAGCCAGCGGAAGCATTGTATCGACGGATAGAAATAACTTTGGCGAAGATGTGCGGTGGATTTACGTGTTCGAAGAACGCGTTAACTGCACTGAATATTTTGTATATTGTGAGTGTTGAAAAGCCTTTTTTGTCATTTATAATTATTTCTAATATTAATCTTTGCTCTTAGGTCGTTGCCTTCATCTTGATTGGGGTTGCTGTCTATGGAAGGGCTTCTGCTTTAGTCACAAATCTTCCAATTATTGGAGGAATTTTAGCATGTGGAGTTATTCTTATACTGATTTCGATTGTAGGACTTATCGGAGCAGTTAAACATCATCAAGTACTACTGTTCTTTGTATCCTTTCTAATCTTGGAGATTGTTTTTATATATATAATAAGGTCATGCCTATGGGTTGAATGATCGTAATATCTATTGACCTTTGTATCATATCAGCTGTTCAATACTTCAGGGAGGTCTTTGTTTGACATTTATATTTATTGTTTTACAGTAGACTGCAGTGTCCTACATATCGTTCAGTCTAATTATTCAGGATATATCAATTTTAATGCATAGCTAAACTCCATAATAGATGATACTTAGTCTATTAAATTTATACTCTATTTGCTATCAAATTTCCTTAATTAAGTCATACAGTACATGCTAATTTTATTCCTGCTGTTCCTGATCCAATTCAGTATTGCCTGTGCTTGTCTCGCTGTTAATGCCAAGCAGCAAGAGCAGCTTGCCGAACAGGTAACTACTTTTATATTGCTCGGCATATTTATTTTTGAATAAATTAGTCATCTATGGTATTATGGAAGACTTATAGGTTTAGTTAGTTATTTATACACAACAAATTATTAATTATTTTTGTTTAGGGATGGAGACGCGTGGGGGACCCCTTGAAATTACAAGTACAGACAAGATTTACTTGCTGCGGATTTAATGACACCAGTACTGTAGAACCTGGAATGGGACACCCATCTTGCGACAATGTTAATGTGAGTATACTTTAACAATCTTTATACACAAATTTTCAAAGTATACAATAAATTCTTTTAAAAATTTTTTTTCAGGAACTCTGTTGTCCACCAGGAGTTTCAACAGACCAAGAATGCAGCTGTCCGACATGTATGAGAAAACTACAGTCTACCATCGATTACGCATTTAAACTCTGCGGTGGGATAGGATTATTCTTCAGTTTTACAGAGGCAAGTCCACAAAGCATCAATTCACATACACTTCTCTAAACAAAATCAATTTTTGGCAATATCATAAAAACAAGCTATCTACATACAACACATTTTAAACCTCTTCCATTAATATTTACTCAATAATGTCTATCGTTTTCTTAATATTCCCATACAAGTTCTAGATAATTTATGTCAAAGTAAAGGTCTTAACTTTTTAATCATACGACATTGAAGATGTTAATTAAAAACTTTAGTAATTCTTGCGTCATTTCTAAAATCGTATAATCATACATTTCTGGTGTGTAAAGTGTATACTAACTAACCGTACCATACCTATTACAGTTTGTTGGTGTTTGGTTGACCGTGCGCTACAGGAACCAAAAAGATCCTCGAGCTAACCCTAGTGCTTTCCTCTAGTCTAACATCATCGCCATGTCTCCTGTCTCCTCGTACGACCCTCCTAACAGATGGTGGGTGGTTTCATCGTGCTGCTTCTGCTCGTTTATTAACTCATCTCCCTCTATCGTTTGTCGTAGTATCTGAAAACTCCATTTTTCTTTTTCGTGCATTATATTCTCAATCTTACATACACAGGGATATACAAGTATCGCCATTTGTCTTTCAGTGTTCAAAGAATACACGTGAATACACTAGGGAAAATAGAATGCATTGTTCTCATCGAATCACGATTGGTGGCAGAGATAATGAGAACAATGCACTAATATATGATTATTATCGTATTATTACTATTGTTATTTTACTGCTACTCTATTGCTACCTGTTACTTTCACTGCGTGCTAACAGATATTCTATGCAACGCTCTAATTTATTTTTTATTTTTTTTTCCAAGCTATCCTCTGTCTAATTTAATGTCGATACTCTCCTCCATTCTATTTTCGGCTCTCACTCTAAGCTTCCTTAAATTAGTTTCTTCTCCAATTATCTTCACGTAATTTTCTCTATAACTGTACCTCAGATACCTTTCGTTACCATAAATTGACTTTTCAGGTGATTGCAGCTTTCTTGGCGCGGCGTTACAGGAATCAATTAGATCCACAAGAAAAAGCTGCAAGAGCCGTATTCCCTCGACAAAATTACCTTTACTGACGTGGCGACAATGCTAAATGAATATTACTTTTGGCGACCAAGCTGAATCCATCGTATCGAGAATACTCTTTAAATGATTCTGAATAACAAAAACATGAAATGGGTTATTTAAGTTGCTTCTGACTGTCTCGATTAAGAATGACATGCAAAGAGCCAAGGAGCATATTTTCGTCTACGTACTCGACATCTTAACGGAAAGAGCAAATATTAGAATTAGAAGTAGGCGCTTACACTGCACAGAATATCATTTATTTTCAGCGTTGACCGACATTCTCGCGTCGGTCACCAGAAACATATATACAATATCTCGAATTCAGTGCTCCTTTCGCATACCAAAAACACACTCAATCGTAGGACTTTATTTTTTCTTTTTTTCTTTTTTGTTTAAATTGACGATCATAAGACTCTACGACTGTTAGGAGATGGAAAGGGGTCGGGTCATGCAATAGTTGAAATGTGTGCCCTAGTCAGCCACTAAGAACACTATCATACCAAGCCTCAATGCGCCTTTGTAGACTAGCGTTTAAAATGGACCTTCTTATAGATAGATTTTAACCAGTACTTTTATTGCTACGTCATATTTCTCTCATTATTCTCAACGCAAAGGCAAACGTCGCTGTTTGCCTAAACTTCAGGCATATAATATATTACGAAGCAAAACATTCCAAGATTCGCTATTACCACGATAACAAAGCTCACTTTATACGAGACTGGTTAAATTTATAACCTTAACTACGTTTAGAGTACGAGATCCCGCACGTGTCTTTCGATCTTTACGTAATATGAACATTGATTAGCAATTTCGAACGCTTGTTAACCATCTTTATCATTGCTTTTATCCTGCTAGCAGTTATTTTGCTACCACAGGAACGTCATTCATAAACAATGACTATCAATTTATCACTCTCGAGGTACACTCATTTTACTTCACGAAAATTTTTGCGTATTCGTTAATTCACGGTATCCACTATGTTCATTGAATATAATTTATAATCGAACAATATTGGCTGTGTAATAAAAATGAGCAAAGGTCATGCGAGATGTTAGAAATGAAAGAAAAAAAGTAAGCTGTTAAATCAATGTGGACTAATTGAGTCACAACGAAATTATTAATTACTGATTACCTTGTTCTTTGGTTTATTACCCTAATTTGCTTTTTTAATTCGCCATTCCTGATCATGCCTTCCGCCTTGTGAAATTTATTCTCGACTTTTCTGCGTACTAATTTATTGTGTCGAATGCCTAGATTCTTGCTAATTAATTCGCTATACTTTATGCGTGAGACAAAAATTCTGAAATCCAAGACTTGCTTCCTCTGATTTCATGTTCTACTTAATCTACCGCTCGATCGATCTATCGTGAACAAATTTGTACATTATTGCTCTAACTCTTAGGATGTGAAATTATTTATAATATTCGATAATGCCTAATATCGAGGGTTGTATACGAGAATATCTCGTGTTCTGGTTCTCCGTCATGGAAATTATTTCGAACCAGTTATTCGAGTAATCATGCAAGAACTTTGATTTCTCACTGTGAGTCAGCTTACAGTATACCTTAGTAGTTTATTAATTTTATCTTGTTAACCAATTTTACATTTTACTTTATCTACGTAAAATTATAGAGTATCCCGCGAGCGCTTCGCATCAAATCAAATTCTATACGCTAATTAGAGATAAACTTTAGAATGTATACATGAACTATATACTATATATGCTAAGTAAAATAATATCAAGATTGCAATTATTCATAACGTACACATGTATTTCATCCAAATATACATATGCTATTACGTATTGACATACATAAATCCATCAGGGCCTCGTGTACGTGTATAAAAAAAATTGTACTTTTATTCATTCTGTTTTATCTGAGGTATATTTACTTTCTACTATGAATTATTGTTATTCAAAAACTTGTACCCGTACAGTTGTTACCAATGCGTATCATCATAGAATCCTATATATCGACTAATACACACACTAGTAATCGTGTGTTCATTTAGGCTATATTGTAATATCTCTGTTCGAATACTTGTCACAAAATACATCTATAGGACATCCATCGGATATGCTATTGAATACAGATGTCGAAGAGTCAATAAACCAGTCTTCGATGATAAAATTATTGAAAAATTATTGATGAAGTAATAGCCAGCAATATTATTTCCTTCGCTGTAACAATATACAAGGCTAAAAGGCTTTTTGGATTTCGAAGAAATTGTATTATTCAATTTTTGGGATAAAAGTGTCCTGTTTAATTTCTTTAGTTGAAAAGAGACAAAGTAATTATGTAACTACTTGTTAAAGTTTAAAATACCATTCCTGTCGCGCTTCAGCTTTACAAGTAATGTTTTAAAGTTACATAACGAAGTGGATGAATCTCAATGCTTAATTCTAATAGTGTGAATAATATCCAGTCGTGATAAAAGTTTGAAATAGAATTATGAAGTCGTATGCATATGCTAAAAGTATATTATATAGGACAGCTTAATTAATAATCCATGAGAGAACTTATAAAAGCAAAGAACTTATGCCCCAATCATGAGGTAGAGAATAATATTATTTAACTGCCATCATTGTCATCGTCAGGAATAAAAAAGATACATTACATAAAAATAAGAGACTGTTTTATTTGGTTATGTTCACCAAGTATATATATTAATTATATAAATATTTGTGCATATTCAGTGAGACGAAGGGATGAATTGTGTTACAATTAAGATATCTTCCTGTTTAATTATAAGCTATTTTACTTCCTGGAGAGAGAGACATTTCTTCCTAATATCTGACCAATAATACTTTGTGTCTTTACTGCAACTCTGAGTGCATATCTTGAAGACACGAGAGTTCTTAGAAACTATGTTCTTTATCGCAGATATTTACACTTACATATGTGTCATTGATAAATGAACATTGACACTATATATCACTTGAGTTACGATATAGAAAGATATATGGAGAATTGTAGAAAGACACCATTGCGAAGTATATTGAAGTTTTATAAGATGACGCGCAAGTCGATGCGATTCGTATTTCAATTGTTTATATCTTGTAACACTCTATTTGCTTTACTTAATTGTTACAGATTGTATCAATAGTAATGAGGATAGTGCTTGTAGAATTTATTCCCCTCGGAGTGCCCGCTGGCGGATTGACGATCAGCACCACCCTGCTCGCCATATTGATTATTATTTCCATAATGCACTTGATTGCCATAAGCAAGCTTATCAGCATTTTCCTTTCCTGCGGAAAGGCCTCGGTTGTACTGTCCCTTCTGGGCATTCTGACCAGAATTATATTTATTGTCCTGGAAGCCACCGTGATAGGAACTTCCACCAGCATCCCCAAAGTGTCCTTGTTGGCCACCAAAGTTGTACTGGTCACCCTCGTTGTTACCTTCGTCGTAGAAGGTTGTCGTTTTGCCAGTCTCATCCTTATGATGAGAAGTTTCAAAGCCTTTGGTCACGTGTCCCTTTTTATGACCAGAGGCATTCTTAACGTGACCCCCTTTACCACCTGTTAATAAATAACGACTTGGTTAAACTACCTAAATCCAGGGAGTTTACAATACCCATTTATATTTATCTGGTATCAGCTACTTACCGGACTGATCGTAATGGCTGTTACCACCGTAGGCTTTTGAATTTTCATATCCATTTTTTGCACCACCTGCATTAGCAAAATAGCCGGCCTCGCCCTTGGCGTTATTCTCAGCAGCCTGTCCGGCGGAAATACCTTCGGCTAACCTTCCGCTAGATTGACCTTTATGCCCTGCACCCTTCTGGTAATTGCCATCGCTGGCAACTGCTGCGCCTTTGGAATATCCATTTCTTTCCAGTGCACCACCACCATGTCCGCCATATCCGCCATATCCGCCATATCCGCCGTAACCTCCATATCCGCCATAACCTAGTCCGTCGGTATAGCCACCATAACCTAAACCTAAACCATGACCACCTCCATAGCCACCATAACCTAAACCGTGACCGCCATATCCAAGACCACCACCGTATCCCCCGCCATAACCAAGTCCTCCACTTCCACCGTATCCAAGACCTCCTCCGTAACCTCCATAACCTCCATAGCCACCATATCCTCCCTTAATATATCCAGATCCAATACCAGATCCTAGCCCAATACCCCCGTAACCAAGACCACCCTTATATCCAATTCCACTTCCAGCTCCTCCATATCCTAAACCACCTCCGTAACCGACGCTACTATACCCAAGACCACCTCCGTATCCCAAACCACCGTGTCCCAATCCAGCACCGTACCCCAGTCCGCCACCTCCGTAGCCACCGTAAGATCCTCCGTAACTTCCTCCATAACCTCCAATTCCGGAACCTAATCCGTAACCGATACTCGCGGCACTTTCGATGTCGTTATTCACCACGTCGGAAGCTGCTGCTCCGAATATTAAAATGGCGCAGACGAAGACGTTCTTCGAATGCATCTTGTATGTTCACGGGGTTCTTGAATCTAATTACTCGATTTCTGGAGGATCGAGCACTGATGCTGCAGTCGAGATCGTACTGTCTTTTTATACCAGAAAAATGTCTTGCCTCAATGATTACAAGATGTCCTCGACATTTCTAATCTGCTGTTAGCGTATGTGATGGGGTCGTACGGTGGAGTAAACGCGATTCGGATGTGAGCGCCGACATTTGAATTTCAAGCACTTCAACGGTAACTTCCTCCGATCACCGGATGTTGCCTCAACAAAGGAATCGGTGACAGGGACACTTTAATACATTCTGTAGATCCTGTTCTTAACGATAATGGCTTCTATTAAGTATCATAGATCTATTCCACGCTCTTAATTATCAAAATTCGGATTAAGATAAATCAATGATTAAACTGTGTGATGCACGTGAGATTAATGTTTACAATGACTGACAAGACTTATCTATTATAATAGAGAGGGAGAGTGTCTCGGACAACCCAACTCAATGCTTTTTAAATTTTTGAACAAAATCGCGCGTGATTTTTTGGATTAATTAAAACCTGCGAGAAATCATCGAATTTGTATGTATGACGTTTATAGTAAGTTTTAATAATTTAAAACATTTTTTTCTTGTTTTTTAATAGTGGTACTTTTGAGTATTGGGTGACTGTACGTATCAAGTATTCTTGTATACAGCGTGAAATCCTCTTTTTCCGGTATCTTTACTTAACTTCCGGTGACTCAGCACCATGGCCTCCTTGATACCACGATAATGGGGTAGCCTTGTCGATTTAAGGCTGCGATTCGAGAAATCGCGTTATGGTGGTACTACACTCCGAGGAAGTCTCAGTCATTGTTAACCATACAAATGGTGGTATTTCTATCAATTAGTTGTTACTCGGTGGTTATCGAAGATGGAAGACATTTTTGACCGTTCGGAAGCAAACAGGATCAGGACTGATGGGTAAGCGTGGAAAGATATTTATACATTTATTAAATCGATGGAGAAAATTACCTGGTGACACGTAAAATCCGAAGTCTTTATTATGATTATTTTTCGAGGTTTTATAATTTTTGTTAATTATTTTTTTTTATTGGTATTATTGTCGTCGTACTGTAATATAATTCTGACAAGAAATCGATACTGTCTCAATAAGATACTGTTACTCAGTGCAAGCATCTTGATCCCCTCTCCAAGTACACAATAGGTTATTCAATATAATTTCGAGTAGAATGGAAACCCTGGCTTCACAATCGACTATACTTGACAATAAAAATACCAGTCCATTATGTTATACTAGAAGAGAAAAGATAGGCAAATACGAATACAATAAAGTTCCAGGAACAGGAGGCACGAGCCTACCCAATCATATAACGATAAATTCGTAACAGTATTTCTGACAATAAAAATCTAAAACGGATAATTAAATCCACATGATCATGAAATACGGACTAGTTTTGTTTGAAAAAGAATTCCTAGACGTATTAAAACAAAAAAAAAGATTCGATTAACCATGCATGGAAATTAACGCAAGTCATTTGTTTTAGTTTCACAGAAAACGGGGGAGAAAAAATGTAAGGCAACGTAACATGGATTAAATTTGTCGGAAGAGGATATCAATGTGGATACCATTTTATTTTTTCTACCGCGCATCCCAAATTCCAATATTTAACGAAACAATTCGGGAAAGCCGTAAGGAAGCGTCCACGTTTCGCGCAGGGGTTGGAAGGAATCTTTACCTTGGAAAATGGGGGAGGTCTGTCAGCGCATGCGCAGATACTCAGCTGTACGAGCTCAGTGGGGATGCGCATCTAGTCCTGCATTGTAAAATTGTTCGTTAGGTGCGCGAGTCCAGCACGTCCATAGAAGACGTGCGCAACTGAACAAGAGCGACATAGTTACATTTCGGGTTTATCTTGCGCGAGAGGAAGACTATCCTGGCAACACCCTGGTGCAATTTGGCTTAACGATATTAAGTAGTCGTACATCAATTCATCGACCCCGCCTTTTGTCTTTGAAAATGAGTCTGCTGTTTGACGAAGAGGATATCGACGAGGAAGAGATCGACGAGTGAGTTACTTACCGTTAAATCTTCATTTTATTCTCTTATCTTTTTATTATATCCTGCGCCTATGCTTTTCCTGGAATTCAGGTAAGGAGTTGAACGAGTTTTTATTTGCACGTCATAACAAAGGGTCTGAACTGCATTCACTTAACGGTGGAGTCTCCTTTGGTTACCTTGAATTCCTTTTGTACTTGGAGTAATCATTGGTATGGAGAAATTTAGTAACGGTTTTTTTTTTTAAATTTTCTTATTAACTTTATTCATTTTATTTAGCCTTATTGTCATATAAGATAGTTGTCATATCTGTCAATTTGTACCATGAAATTTGGTAAGGTTTAACGCTAAGTTCGTGTGACAGTTATTTGAATTTTATTTATCTTTAAGTAAAATTGATTTGTACTCATTTTTTTGGGGGAATTTTTAAACCTTGCTCGATATAGGATTATAGGGTATAGACTGACAATGGCGTAAAGATACGTATATTCTATGTACCAGGTATACTAAAAACTCAGGGGCACGTGGTAGATGGCAGTGGTAGGTTTTATCGGCTAAAGGACAACTCGCTGATCGATGCACATCGGCCATTAGGATTTTTGCTTCTTTAATCTTATGAGTTCATATTACGTTTCTCTTAGGATTTATATAGGATTTTTATTCTTTCTTTGTTTCATTGTTGACTTGGTTTTTTTTTAATCTCCAGATTGCTCAATTTTTCAGAATTCATTGACTCATACGGATTAATACATTGATCTACTGAGATTAAACATCACAGATTATGATTAGTCATTCATTTTTATTATTGATTCAATCACTGTGGTAGTATAGCATATAAATTTCCATGAAGCTACATATTCCGCATGAATCATTTGAATTTTCGTGGAACTTTTTTTTATCTGAATCTTAGCGCAGACCTGACTTTCTTGTCTGTCGTCAAGTTCAAGGCTATGTTAATTTTTATGAAGGTATACATCGTTAAGTATTAAAGGTTTCATGTGAATTCCCTTTTATGGGAACGGAAGTATCGATTCTCTCCTAATATGGTATCGTTTCCTTGTACAACAAGCGTTCCACATGTAATTTTGCAATATTCAATACACGCGGTACAGTTTGAGCTAATGTTTAGACGCTGCAGCTATACTTCGAAGGTCGAATGACAAAAGAACCGTAATGACTTGTCAAAAATCTACGGTTCACCGCGTTCTAAGAACATCCGTTATACAGACTACGCAGGATGCAAGATGATTTTAGTCGAGTCATCAGGAGTCATTGATGTTTTGTACGCTTGAAAGCGACACCATTTTGAAATAATAAAAATATGTTCATAAATTGTAAAAAAATGATAATTATTTGTCTATATAAAAAAATTTTCGTTTCGAGTCGATATATCGTAGGTAACTCAAAACATAAGATGTTTTTTGACTAGGTACCGCGTAGCCAGAGTAACTTGATTAACGTAGTAGACGATCGGTTATTTGACGTGTAGCAGAAAACTTTGAATTCGAAGTGTGTCATTTACCTACGCAGGATTATTTATCGAATAGAATCTATTTTTAAAGTGAAAGATCGATTTTGAATTACTGCGAGTACTGATATACACTAAACGCTACAATTATTAGTAAAATGCCTGGTAGGTGGATACTACTGTCGTTAGTGTCAGGTGATATCGGATTTTCGATGAATTCTGGAAATTCAATTTTGCTATGGTATGAATACATATGTATATAAAGCTCGCACCACACCCTTTAAAACCATGACACATTTTGGTATTCTCCGTTTCCATGGCAACAACGGTCAAGCATACCGATGTCATTCTTCTTTTTTTTTCCAAGGATGAAGGATAATTTTCCAATATCAGGAAGTGAATAGAGATAAAAAGAGCCAACAATTGAATGACTACCGGTATTTTAAGCTGATTATTTTTCGACAATGTAACCGTGGCTTTTGAATGACGGCATTGTTGACATATAATCGCGTTCGCGCGATTTTTCTGTAAAAATGTCAGTAATATTTTTTATTATTATTGTCCCGGCAACAGTAATTATTCTCGAGTTGATTTCTTTGTGTCAGAAACGAACTTACCATTTTTGCAAAATTACGCAACAGTTATCCAACACGTTGCGAATCGACTTTTTCTCTTCGTTCTTAGGATTATCAAAGGATGTTGAAGTGAGAATAAATATACTACGAAGATATTTTTTTGTTTTCGAAATGGGATATTTGCTAACGAGATCGTTTCAGGAAGGCATGTAATTAGTCTTTCCATCACGTCGTCAGGCGTCCAACCAATCTCACGGTAGAAATTGCATAACGCTTGGGGCGAACTACGTTAACGTTTACGTTCATTCATTTTTAATCTCTTGGAACTATCGACAGGATCCGGGAACTTTTTTGATTTAGGGTACAGTTGATTTTTTGAAAACGAATGTATAATAAAAATAACAATTTACTTTTACATTGGCAAGGCTACGTGCACAATTTTGAATTTCAAAACGTCAAGATAGAAAAATTAGCACGCGTTTTTCTCATATATTTTCGTCACTGTTGATTTCTTTTTTTTTCACTAGCTAAACCGTTATAACACGTACTATTAGACGAATAGATAAACTCACTGATTTTTATATCTACTACCAAATTTAACTGTTACTATCGACTAGTCATTTTGATTGAAAATTTTTTGGAAGCACCAAACTGAATATTTAAACTAGTATTTTTTCTTGGTGGTTAATAACAAACGTTACGTAACCGACTGGTTTTATGCTATCAGTAAGTATATGTTATTTCAGGGGTCACGTAAGATACTTATCACATTGAGCATTCAAGAGCAAATTATTATTTGCGTATTAAAATTGTGAATGATAATAAAAACGTCATACGTATCTCCGTGCAATATGGTTCAACACTCCAAGTGGGAACAATGATACATTTTTTTGTTTTGGTTTCGTTTAAATTACGACAAACAAAAACTGTATCTCGGCTTCGTTCCATTGTCATAACCAGAGACAGAATAAAATGGGAGACATTTACAAAATTCGTACTTGACCCTTATCCTACAATTTTCACTTTTTTTTTTAATCTTTCGATCGTCACTTTATGTTGCCATGAAGTCATTCCGACGTAGTACTAAAATTACATAGTACTCGATATAGCTTATCAAATCTTTAATAATTATCGTATCAGTAATAACGAAATTGATGATTTAGTAAATGACCTTGATGTCGCGTGATTTTACTCTCGAGTATTGTCAATCATTTTCTGGATATTTCGAATTCCTGAACATAATCGAGTATATAAGTAAAGTGATTATGTGATTATTAATAAGACTATTATATATGAGTATCGGAGAATCGTGCAATACGTTATGAAATTGTTTGGGGAATAAAATGATTATTCGATAATCAGCCATAAGTAGATTAAAGCAGAAGAAATTCAATTTTTATTGTGATATAATTTTGTCGTTCGGTATATATACGAATAGTATACAAATAGAATGATGCAGGTGCCATTTTATAACGTTATATAATTTTCGATTAATTATCGATGATTTAAAACGTCAATTCCCATCAGTCACAATGTTACGCGAGGGAATGAAACCTGGCGTCGATTCAAATTTTCTAAACATATTCGACCGTTTCACTTATTTTTAGACAGTTCGTCTGAGAATCTCGTGACGATCAAATCTCGACTGTAAAAATTCGTCCGCGCTTGACCGGATCTCCATTTTATCAAATTACGTTAGATTTAATTTAAAATGAAGCGCTGCAACTTCAAATTATTCCATAAGTCATGCTCGGGAATTTCAACAGTCGTGTTTTATAATCCAAATAAAAGTGATTCGGTGCTCGAGTTTGTTCGGTGTATTACGAACTTCCATGTTGCCCCATTGTGACACGTTCTTGAGGTCTAAAAATCAATAAATTGCGCTGTAGGTAGCGATTTTTAATAAAATGTATAGACTTGTCTAACCTGACATCGATTTATTAACTTGACACGTCGTATAATTAATCGTCGTTTCTGATTCTTTCCTTCAGGAATTACTTTTTTTTTTCTTCGCCTACCGTTGAGCATTGAGGAAGTTTTAAAAACGGTCGTTCACTCAGTCCAACGGTTTGAATTAATAGTACGGAGTATATGTATGAAGGAGCTAAACTTTGCAGCAGACCATAACAGTGAGAATTTGCTATAGTGCGTTGCATAGTTTTGGTCTGGTCTATAGGTTTCTTCGTAGGACGTGGCGTTGTTCTTTGCAGAGCCGGTACATATTCACTGTCAGTGGGACTGGCAGATGTGTTGTATCTGTTGCCATGGGGTGGTGGGAACGAGCGATCGAGTATAAAGGCTGACCCACAGTAAACGTGTTATTATTCTGCGAACGTTAAGGCAAGCGCGTTGACCGACGTCGGAACGGAAGAATCGAGGAACAAGGCTCTTATTTTGTTTTCGTAAAATTTGCGTTAAACTGATTTCGTAACGTATTGGACTAAATTATAAATCAAAATGCCGACTTGCACGTGCGAATACGAGAGGGTCGAGGATTATGAGAATCACGAATGTCAACTGAAATTGCCGATTGAAAATGATGCACAAACTGAAAAATCGGTTCACGATGGCGTTGAGACGGCAGTCAGGTACAGAAAAATTGTTACTGTGGTTTGGAAGAGATTTGTGAGAGTGATTAGTCATTAATTCTTTGATGTGGATTAATCGTGTAATTAATTGTGAGTGGCTTTTTAAATATGTTTTTATGATTAACGTATAGTGCTGATATTTAAGGTATGATTTTTTGCTGTGAATTTTTTTGTTAGCGTTTCGCAAAGTTTAAACGCGACAACGTAGCAACTGTCCTTTTATTATCGACGTAAAAATTCAAAGTTTTTTTTTGTATATAATAATTCTCAATCTTAAAACCGCTTATAGCCGGAAGGTATACAATCCCTTTCGAGATATCTTAACGTGGGGAATGGTAGTTTCTAAAAGTATAGACAGATAATTCGACGTGTCTGTGCAAAAGATTATTATTTTAAAAAGTAAATTATCTTTTTACATTTATTCCATATCTGATTAACGTGTTCTTGTGTTTATCGAGCATGTTTAAGATAATCCAAATAAATTCTCTGTACTCCTTCAAACGCATCCTAAAGTACTAAGTTCCAGGAAGCTTTCTCTCTGTATGTTTCATATGGTTTGCAAGTCTCTACGGAGAATGACGTAAATCCTTAGAAATTTGTTCAGGCGATGTGGTTCCTTTACTACACGCAAAAGAAATATTTTTTTGCCTTTCATTTATCAATCACTGGTACAGAGTTGCTCATGAAAAATTTAACGACTGACAGCACTTTGTTAAATTAACATAAATAAATATAAGAACGTATTCGAAGTATTTATAAACACACATACTTATCATAATAGTACCGAGTTTCGTGTAATTATGAGAATCCAAGCAAAAAAAGCTAGTCGTTTTTAAAAGCATTGGTTCGTTACAATACGTTATGTCAGAAATCACACTCGATTCAATAATCAATTTCTCAATTCTAATTCACTGCGTGTAACGGTATTTTGAATTTCAACATGCAAGTAATATTTTTGACACCACTGATAAATCATAGTCTCCAAATAAGAGCAGTGTACATATGAACATAAATATAAATTGACGTATATTTTAAATATTCCAAGTATCGATGACTATATCACTGAATAATTCTTTTTTTTTTTCTTTTAACAAAACACCGCCTCTACCGTTCACAGGTATATGGGATCTTGAAAAAGAAAAAATATTGCAAAATTGAATAACCCTAATGATTTGCGGCCATAAAATGCAAATTATAACATCAATCATAATACGTCTTACTTTGATAATCAATAAAAGTCATACTACCCAATGTATGACAAAAAAATGGCATCATCACATTTTAATTATAATATATATTTTTTTATGTTAATAACTCTCTTCATGTTATTCCAGATATCGAGATGGTTCCGTACGTCTACGAAATCCTCACATTGAACTCATGGATCAAGATATCCTATACCATCTTGCACTGGGTAGTGGTTCTCATGATTTACGCAGGATGTTCGGTGACGTTAAGGTGCGTTATCACAATTTTTCGTATCTCATATTTCAAATTATATATTATCAAGTGACGGCCTTACGCTATTATTTGGCTTGATAAAGACTCGTAATCGTTTCATGTGGGATATTTTCGTTGTATCGCAATTACTTCACTATTGACCAAGGGACTATGATGATTATGTAACTTTGCATGCAATGACCTCCTGATTCATTGATGCCCACAATGAATTTGAGTAAATATTGTTTTTTTAGCCTTTGAATTTTGGCAATCATCGTGCAGACGAAAGTTTTGTCCCATTGTAAACTTGCGAGGTTAACGAATGGGAAACAATTTAATTGATGTCATAAGTTGCTAGAAAATCAACAGCCGAGCACTGGAATTAAACTGACCTTGATCTCTATGTAGATAACGTATTACATACTTTAGTGGTTCACTTGCGACAAACGCTTTCCTAGGGTTACGTCCAAGCATGCGAAGTCGTACGAGTAGAGAGTGACTTTAGCATCATCAATAATTACACTTGATTGGCGTCGCAGCAGACCTTCGAAAAAGCCGTGTGCTACCTTTGCGAAATACATTATCAGCAGGATATTGATTGGATATCGTTCATTAATGAGTATCCACGAGATGCGATTGTAGATAGAGCTATGAGGATAGCTTGATTGGATTTCATTTTCATTTCGTTTGATTGCATTTCATTCCCTGTAAAATGTTGGACTAATAAGAGAGAAAAAAAAAATAGTGACTGTGATATGAAGAAAAAGCGTGAAGAACAATAATGAAATGTCAGTGGAAAAAAACTTTGCCTTTGATTCAGTTGACTGCCAAAATAATTTTAACAAGATGTTTGCAGGACATTCAGAGGACGTTTTATAATTTGAGATGAAATAATATTCGTTAATTATGTGTTACAGTTTGTGTGCATGGGCGGCACACCAAAGCGTATGGAACAATTTGCCTATTACATCATGAAGGAAATTGGCCACAAACTTCCTGCTGGAACGACTTTGCTTGATATTAGCCAGTATTCCTATCGCTACTCCATGTTCAAGGTCGGACCGGTGCTTTCCATTAGCGTAAGTACCAAAATTAAATTTGTTTTACAACAATATCATCAAATCGATAACACGATTATTTCCTTATAAAGGGTGATAAAGCAATATAAAAAGAAGGTTAAGATACACTTAAGAATTTCTCAAAATTGAGTAAATACTACTTTATTGGAAAGTGATATGCTAAAATAAAAGTGATGTTACATAAAAATTATACATACTTGTCTCTCTGGTTTTATGTAATTAGTATTTAAAAAAATGTCTGACCAAGCATTCCAGAATAATGAAGGTCTTTTTTACCTACTTGTATTTCTGCTGTTTTAACCTCTTTTTTTGTATCTTTGCTTCTAGTTCTAGTCCCAGTGGAAAATAGCGAACAATCTATTTATCTTGAGTTATCGATATTTCAATTTTTATCTAGCACGGCATGGGGATACCTTCCGTTGGGATACTCCTTCATGAGGTGATCAAGTTGATGTACCATGCCAAGGTTAAGGATCCCATATTCTTCAGAATTGGTACCTGTGGTGGAATTGGCATCGAAGGTGGTACCGTCGTTATCTCCGAGGAGGCAGTAGACGGCATGTTACGACCTTATCTGGAATTGGTATGTAATGACTTTCATCATACGTTAATGCAGGTGCTTGATGATTACCTTATATCATGTGGTGAACGTTATTCATGACTGAACCAGGTCGCACTTTGCAAACCGCAAATTACTGTCCAGCAGAGTGTCTTTTGAAACAGTCGCTAGTAGAGAAGAAAAGCTGAACAAAGAAAATGTTGAGGTCTTTGTCCCTTTGAGGTAGAATTTGTATAGTTAGTTTAGATCATTATCGACATATAACGGTTTGCTCGTTAAGTTTTATTTGGCTAAAGCTTTTTAAATTGGTCACGAGCATTTTTAAGGTGTCTGTTGATTGGCTACATGATATTTGTAGTCTAGTCGCATAATAAGATTTGTTCATGGTCGTTCAGGCTGTATGTTCAGCAGTTTGTTTGGAATTGAAATACCATTATATTTATCCAGTGTTGTTGATCATAATGCAATCCCTGATTCTTTATATTTTTTTTTTGTTCAGCCTGTTTTGGGTAAACTTCTGCAAAGACCAGCCAAATTGGATAGACAGCTAGCGCGCGACTTGAAGGCCTTGGCTCATCCTGAAGATCCTTACGATACCATCATTGGCAAGACTATGTGCACCTACGATTTCTACGAAGGTCAAGGTAGACTCGACGGCGCCTTTTGTGAATTTACGGAGAACGAAAAGATGGAGTACCTCAGTAAGGTGCACAAAGCTGGCGTAGCTAATATCGAGATGGAGAGTCTCTCCTTCGCCGCTCTCACTCATCATGCCGGTATAAAGTCTGCCGTAGTTTGCGTTACTTTCTTGGATCGACTGAAAGGCGATCAGGTACGTAAAGTTAAGTATGTTAAATACGTAAAGTGAATATGGCTCAGTTTTAGTTACATTATGTCATCCATCAGGTTATGGCACCGAAGGAAGTTCTAGACGAATGGCAGATGCGACCTCAGCAACTGATCTCAAGATACATCACGAGGTATCTTCAACGCAAAGGTCGACTATCGGTCGAAGGTCACGGCTCAATGTGCGTAAAGAGTCCTCGTCGCTACAAGCTCGTACAACAAGAATCTGAGAACTACGATTAATTTTCATGAATTATTAGAACGACAAGCCTATATCGTATCTGTGTTCACGAATGAAATCGTTGAGAATTATGTACCTCGTGTACGAAAGATGATAGAAGGATGAGCTGTAACTAATGTTTATTTGTATATTTATTTATTTATTTTTTTTAGCGAGTTCACAGGAGCGTACGGCGGGAAGTTCAAAAATATTTCATGAACTTTTCACTATGACCATCCAGGAGATATTGATAGAAAGAAGGGTCAGTCCCTCGTGTATTCTATGTCTTAAATGAAATGTACGGTATTTTAATCCCCTTCAAAACTTTAGTACTCCCGTACTCACTGGGCGTGCACAACTAGTTGTCAAACATAAAGTCCCATGAACTGTGGTTGTTTTTTTTTTACTAGTATCTACGCGATAGTATCATTTGTGTCAGGAAATATTTTTTATACCAATTGTACTTTGTTTCTGTGGTTACGCAACACTGATTGTCTTTTAATACGTATGTTTGACGTTGATCATTTTATTGTGAGAATTACCTGCTGGAAAGGTTTCACGGGTTGCGCGACCTTGTTTACACCGACTGGTGGGAAAAGTACGTTTAGTTTTTTGATTTATTTAACGGGAAGAATTACGAGATAAAAGGAAGAACACAGTTAATGCATTGTTAAATATTCTTGGTATTGATTGAATAGTCCTTGGTATTTTTTAGAGATTTTCTGATTGGTTGGTGATATGTAAAATCTTCTCAGAAATAATCTGTTTATTCATTTCTTCTGGTTAATTGTGAAATATATTTATTTATTTGTAAATGAGGAAACTGATGCACTTTTTTCAATGTTCATTGAATAGTATGACGTATGGACACCATATTGTTGGATATTGTAAGATTAGTTCTTGATTTCTAAAAAACAAAAGGAGTACGAAAGCTCAAAACAATTGTAACGATTCATGCAGGATTTTTCAGATGGAAATCAGCGAACTCTGAACGTTGAATTTCTAGTACAAAGTGGACAGATACTTTAATCCGCGAAGACGCGCATCCGCCGTACATATTTTGGCCGCGTATCTTGTAATTATATTTAGTTGAGGACCGTCCTAAAACGGGGAACGTTTGCAAATGATCGAACGTTTTTTTTTTTCTAATTTCTGACCAAACTCATCTTAATATTATTTAAACATTTTTTAATTTTGAATAATTACAATTAAACTGATATATTTTCTTAAAGTCTCCTTTTTCATATTGCACTCTTGGATTCACCGTGCGACGAGGTATATTTCTACGCAGATCCAAAAAAATGAAATGTCCACGGACGAAATAACGATTACAAATTATAATTAAAGTGATGAATATTCAATTAAACGAATCCATTGTATATGAAAGATTCGCTGTCACTATAATATTTAGATGTACGTACATTCCAAATAATTTAACAATATTTGTCGTTCTGTGATTTATTCTTTAAAGATAAAACTGTACGCAAAGCACATAAACCTTACACACAGTCCGGCTGACGTTGAGAACGTATAAGGAAACTTGATAGACGAATAATAAATTGAAATACTGCGATCAAGATAATTATGTAAGCGAGTAACAAGCGTGTTACAAGATTCTTGTAAGGATGGACGTAACAGTAAAAACATTAAACAAGATAAGTAATTACGTGACAGCGTTCTCGAGTCGTTCGCCGAATTATCAGTGAAAAAAGAAAAATAGTGAAAACGAGTAAACACAATGTTATCACACAAGTGCCAAAAAATTAAATTAACGAGGTTGGAGTCATTTTGAAAATTGTCTCTTTCGAATCAGCTCCTTCAGTACTTTCTGTTCAGTAATAATACTCGATGCTCTGCAATCTCTGTTTTATGCTTCTTCGCAGTTGTGAAACATATACAAATATATATCAAGACCGAAGCACAAACTAATAACTATTTAACAAGAATAGAAAAATCAAAAATACGTAATACTGAGTAGTTCATTATTATATGATATTGATTATATTTACTGATGAAACACATGACTCACGTTCCATTTGAAATATTCTCTAGATTCTCGTTAATTAAATTTAATGCTGGATCATTTAGGATCTTTGTACCAACTGATTGGTTCTAGGAAGAAAATCCAATCTTCCATGCTGGTTAATTAATTCTGAATGAATCCTGTAAAGATGATCGCATCTTTTTCTAATTAAAAATTTGTGAAACTTGAGTCTTATGCCTGAGAAACTACAATGCAAGAGGCAGGGCTCGTGGTAGAAAATATTTAACGATAACAGTTATAGAGAGCACCATAATTATTGTTCCAAGTTACTATTACTTAATTAATCCTCGCAGAAGTAAATCAAAAATGGCCGTTACTCTACACTAGGCACTATTAAAGTAACACTCAAAATATTTCGAGTACACCATATCATTAGTTTCCACGCTAGGGCTAACTAAATCCTAGACTCACCTGTTGCGTATCTTCTACAGCCAGATGTAATTAAGAAAATCTCATCAGTTTAACAAAAAGACCTTTCAACACTCCCGAGAGACTCGTTACCCGTATCCTAATTAGTAACGCTGTATATACTCGGAAGTTGTTGAAAACAAGAAAAGAACATTTTCTTATTAAAGAAAAACGTTTTACGCAATATATTATTATTAATATATAACTACTCTTACAGCTCCTCCTACTACTAACGTTACTATTACAATTCTACGCTATTAATATTACGTACAACTATTATTCTTATTGTCATTATTATTATTATACAGTAATTAATTAATGGCTCTAGTAACCGCTGTGTGTGTTCGCTGGGCCCTTTGTGTCTTGCTGAAAGCTGACCGTTGTCCAAAAATGTCATTGTCTATAATTACTATTTATTTAATGCATATATGTGTCGGGTACGCTTATTAAGTATAACGCATTAGAAGACATATAAGAACAGATCACGGGAGTGGGGGCGCAGAAAGTGACAGTGGAGTAAAACGAGACAACAGCATGTGGGGTCCGTTTCTATCTTTGTCTAACTGCGCATGCGCGAATACCAAATATACAATAGACGCACCGAACCCATTGCGCTGAAATTTTTGACTTATTGTGGCCATTATCATTGACAAGCACAGAAGGAGGACCCCCTATGCAGTGTTCTCATTCTATCCCACTGTCGCAGCCACTTACGCGCCAGCCTATCTGTCGCCTGGTTTGTTCTTATATGTCTCTGTGGTATAATATTCAGGATCCGCTTATACTTTATCTGCATAATTATTCTCCATTTGTCTCTGTCTAGTACGTGCAATGCACAATGGCGTTGATATACGTTCGAGAAGAAAATAAGAGGGAAAGTGAGAGCTTGAGGTTAACGATAGTAATGTGTCCTTGTCACGTATCGCCTAATTGAATTGTTTCTATGCGTAAAGTTTATCGGTTTATTCACAAAAGATTGTACGTAACAATGAATATTTAGAGTAAGAAAAAAAAATTGTGTGGAATCGTAAGAAGCGTTGCGGATTTGTATGCCAAGTTTGCTTAACGACGTCGCATCGTTGTTGGGTGATTTTTTTATTTAAAAGGGAAAAATTAGTGAAACGTAAAGTTTGCAAAGTTCTCGTGTAAATTGGACAACCTTTTTTCTTTTCAATGAAACAACGACATATCTGTGATGCATATTGATAACCGATGTTTTCATCTAGCTTTCAGTTTTTACCTGGGATATTGACGTCATTAAACGCTTAATTAGAGGTAAGAGATTGTATTGTTACTCGTGAATCGTCGCCATTCCTTTTGTCGTTATCTGTCTGTTGTGATCCGCGAATGCGAAATGTGGATGGGAAGTAAATTAACGTTTTATTTAAGAAAAGAAATTATCGTTAACACACCAATCACACGGTTATTACTCACGTCTCTATGTAACACTGTAGACTATTAATTTGTACTTCAGAAGATTGAACCTGTCCTTTTAAGAGCTAATGTTGACATAACGATTAAGATGTTATTGATTGAGTGTTACATTATAAAAGGACAATAAAGGGATCTAATTGAAACACAAACTAACATTTTTTAAATTTTTTAACAGTTTAATGCCGAAGGAGACTGGACAAATTTTAGTTTCATATAGTAATTAAATATTACACGCAGCAAATTTAAAATAAAGGAACAGTCATCCTGATAATTTCTATTAAATACTTTCAGGTAAAAAAGAATTAAGGTAATGGAGCTCACAGTGTTACGGATTCACATCCGAACGACGTTCTGTAGTTACAAAAAGTTCCGCTCAAGGGGGCAGCACAGTCTGGGCAATATCGCAAGCAGAGATAAGTAAGGAGATGCACAACGTTTCGATTTTAGGCGATACCAAAATCATGGTTCTAAATCATAGTGACGAGTCTGGAAGAAGGATTTTGTAATCATCGCATCCGTCGACAGTGCGAAACCCGTCGTAGCCAAGCTAAACGTGACGGCGGACAGAAGTTCGCCGGTACTAACTGCCAATTCCCAAAGTAAGCCTTAGAACGAGACCGGGAACTATAGAACTTCTCAAGAACTATTGAGAAAGCCTATTGTTGAAACATTTTAAAGACATTTTTAAGAAAGTGCAGTACCAACTTGACACCCGTGTTGCACCTCAAAATTTATTAAATATTATTGGATCTTGATTTACTTTCAAAATTTATTCAAAATATAAAATAGAGGCTAAATAAAAATTTCGCAGAATATACGGAATAGATAAAAATTCAATTGTTATTGTGGAATATCGAAAATAAATTACGATCAATTTGAAATATTAATACATTAGATGTTAGGAGCACTAAAATAATTAATTAAATCAATAAAGTAAAATATTGACACTTAGAAATCGGAAATTCTGGCCAAGCATATTTAGAAGTACTGGAAGTTGCCCAAAATTGTGCGCGCGCAACTCGTCACGCACGACTCGGCGAGCGAAGGCAGGCGGAAGGTGGGGGGAGCGCTCGAGGCAGAGCCCGGGACTCACAGCGCTCATTCTTCCTCGAGCCGGTCTCCTATACTGGTCTCTTGGAATCATTTCGAACTTTCTTCTATTTTTAAATTTATTTCTTCTTTACTTCGTTATTTCTTTATCTTTCATTCTTCACTTTCTTATTTATCTCTTTCCTCATTTCTTCTCCACTTTTATAATTCTATTCCTTACTTTTCTACTTCTTCACTTCTTCATTTCTATATAATTTTACAACCTCCTTCTTCTTCTATATTTATTTCTTCTTTACTTCCTTATTTCCTTATCTTTCATTTTTTACTTTCTTATTTATCTCTTTCCTCGTTTCCTCTCTACTTTTATAACTCTATTCCTTTTCTACTTTCTGACTTCTTTATTTCTATCTTCCTTTCTGATTTCTCGTTTCACTCGGTTCCCCCTCACTTTCCATTGTGCTTGTCTTACTTTTCCTATACTTATTTCTTCTTTACTTCCTTATTTCTTTATCTTTCATTTTTTACTTTCTTATTTATCTCTTTCCTCGTTTCCTCTCTACTTTTATAACTCTATTCCTTTTCTACTTTCTGACTTCTTTATTTCTATCTTCCTTTCTGATTTCTCGTTTCACTCGGTTCCCCCTCACTTTCCATTGTGCTTGTCTTACTTTTCCTATACTTATTTCTTCTTTACTTCCTTATTTCTTTATATTTCATTCTTTACTTTCTTATTTATCTCTGTCCACATTTCTTCTCCACTTTTATAACTCTATCCCTTACTTTTCTACTTTTTGACTTCTATATTTCTATCTTCCCTTCTGTTTTCTCGTTTCGCTTTGTTCCCTCTCACTTTGCGGAAATGGGCGGGGAGGGGCCCATTTCACTCCCTTATACTTCCTACTTTCCCTACTTTTTCGACTGTTTTCTTTTCTCGTTGCTCCAGATCTGGTCTTCGTGCATATGCTTTACGCATCTTCTTCTCCCATTGTTCCCACAGTAGCGCATGTAACATACCACACGTATATTATATTGTAGTGATATATTTTAATATATTTCTAATGGCATTGATATTACTAATCTTTCGCGGGTTATATATGTATGCACATCTGTACTTTGTATACTGTATCATTATATGTTTGTAGAATAAATTATCTTGTAATACTTATACACCTTTCAAATCTCCTATTCCTTCCTACGTCTCCATCACTCTCTCCCTAGTATATCCTTAAAAACTAAGTTTTTAAAATGTCTTTTGGAAAAAGAAAAATCCAAAGTGGTAGCGCATATTACATACCACACGTGTATTATATTGCAGGGATATATTTTAATATCTCTAATCGCGTTGATATTATTAATCTTTTGCGGACTGTATATGTACATCTGTACTTTGTATACAGTATCATTATTGTACTTGTCCAATAAATTATCTTGCAACACTTATACACTTTTCGAGTCTCCTATTCCTTCCTATATCTCCATCACTCTCCTCCTAATATATCTTTAAAAAAAGGTTTTTAAAATGTTTTTTTGGAAAAAGAAAAGTTTCAAGTGGTAGTGCATGTAACATACCACAAGTATATTATATTGTAGTGGTATATGTAGTATATCTCTAATGGTACTGTTATTGTTAATCTTTCGCAAGTTATATACTGTATACGTCTCCATCACTCTCCTCCTAGTATATTCTTAAAAACTAAGTTTTTAAAATGTCTTTTGGAAATAGAGAAGTCCAAAGTGGTAACGCATGTAATATACCACAGGTATATTATATTGTAGTGATATATTGTAATATATTTCTAATGGCATTGATATTACTAATCTTTCGCGGACTATACAATATGTACATTTGTACTTTGTATACTGTATCATTATTGCATTTGCCCAATAAATTATCTTGTAACACTTATAGACGTTGATTTTCTTTTGCCCTATGCGAATATCCCAGAGTACGACTGAGTTCTGTCTCTCTCTGACTCTCCTCCATTATAACAGTATCCTTTTCCTTCTCCTCCTCCCTTATGCTGCTACACCTCTTTTCCTCCAGGAGGTGCTGCCCCCTTATCGGCGAAAATTCGAACTAATGCGAATTCTTTAATAAAAATTTATTCATTGAAATTTCGACAATGGGATTTTTCAATTGAATTCGGAATTATTTTATCGAAAAAGTTCACTCGTTCTCTCAGAGATGGCGCCACATATCATGCCCAGGAGGTGCTGCCCTCTTATCGGCGAAAATTCGAACTAATGCGAATTCTTTAATAAGAATTTATTCATTGAAATTTCGACGATGGGATTTTTCAGTTGAATTAGGAATTATTTTATCGAGAAAGTTCACTCGTTCTCTCAGAGATGGCGCCACATATCATGCCCAGGAGGTGCTGCCCTCTTATCGGCGAAAATTCGAACTAATGCGAATTCTTTAATAAAAATTTATCCATTGAATTTTCGACGATGGAATTTCAGCACAAGCACAAGTAGGACTTTACCCAAAGTCAACGGACTACCCCTCCGACCTCCCCACGGACAAATAGGATCGTCTCTACCCACACAAGTGCCCAAGGGTCAAGACATGTTGGAGCGTTTTTAGCAAAGCGAACAAATTATACTAAATACGCGAGAGCTAGACACCTGGCTAGATTCACTATACGAAAGACCATGGCCGTAGATACCCTAAGGGGGCTCAAGGCCCCCGTCGGGAGACCCATAAGGTCCTGTTGCGGCCACAACTTGGGCCACCAACCACTGAGCAAGCTCAGCGGAAGAGGCGGAAGGGCAACCCCCGACACCATGGTCTTAAGTCTAGCTGCACTAACAGGGTGACTACCCTTATATGACTACTTGAATTAATATGCTCGACCCGACCAAAGGAATAGGAAGTGTAAGACAAGCACAATGTAAAGTGAGAGGGAACAGAGTGAAACGAGAAGACAGAAAGGAAGATAAAAATAAAAAAGTTGGAAGGTAGAAAAATAAGGAATAGAGTTATAAAAGTAGAGAAGAAATAAGGAAAGATATAAGTAATAGAATAAGGAATGAAGGATAAAGAAATAAATATAGAAAAAGATAAAGGTTGAAAATGTATATGAGGGGTGTTTCCGAGATACCAGTATAGGAGACTGGCTCAAGGAAGAATGAGCGAACAAGAAGACAGAAGGGAAGATAGAAATAAAGAAGTTTAAAAGTAGAAAAGTAAGGAATAGGGGTATATAAGTAGAGGAGAAATGAGGAAAGATATAAATCAGAAAGTGAAGAATGAAATATAAAGAAAT